CATGAATACCCAAACTTAATTATACTCTTTAATGTAATGTATGGACATCATGCTCCAGAGAGAATGTTGTAAAGGACAAACTGACTACACTGACATTTATTGATATCACCTTTCTTAGGCTGGACAATCAGTGCAGCAAATACATATCAGGTACATATTTTAATAAATGTTAAATATCCTGTCAGAAAACACACATCCATTAAAACTGACTTAACTGTCAAAAAAGGCCCTGCTATCAGGATCCCTGCCAATTATCAAAAACATGTCTGAAACGCAAGTCAAAGCAGCAAACAGCTTTTTTTTTAAATTACAATCCTCCATAATACATCAAACAGTACATTTGCATCAAAATGAAGTATTAGTGAGACAGTCTCTTCTCGTTGTAGAAGGGAAGTCTGCAGCAAAATAAGAGACTATATCCTTATTCACTGATCAAGCAAGAAATTAAGTAACTGCTTCAAAAGCATCCCCAAGATGATGTCTTCCCTGACTGCTCTTGCTCCAGTGATGAGGATTAATGATCATGAGACAGCTGGGCCACTTTGGCAAAGGGTGCGACACATAAAATAACAACAACCCATGTATTTAATTAATACTACAAATCGCTACCGATAAAAGGTGTACAACATATTAAAGGTGGGAGAGAACCTTTGTCTCAACTATTGGTTTCAAAGGTTAGCAGATGTTTTCACTCTACTTATTTGTGATTTCACTGCCCAAATGGACTGTGCAGTGTGCGCAGTTAGCTGCTCACTTTATTAGTTAAACAGACAGAAGGAAATATGCACAGAAATACGTTGGCAGCATTATGCATATTAATGCACAGCTCCGGCGTTTGGCTGGTGCTGCTGCTGTGCAGTTTCTAAGATGCTGTTCCAAGCACAGCTCTCTATTGTTCACAGAGGTAATGCTTTTTAGCTGCTCTCCTCTGAAAGGTAAAATGATGACTCTTAATGTATCCTTTCTAGAAAAATTAAAGTAGTGCTGAGGAGGGAGTTAACTGGATTTCAGATGATCCTTGTACATATAAAAAAAAGGTAGAGCTGCATGTTTGTTAATTGTACTTTAAGGTTTGTTGCTAATTAAATAGAAAACATATCAACTGTGTCTCATTTAATATGTGCGTGCCCCTTCAGTTAACATGTCAGACACTTCCCTCCCTTTCGCCTCACCATCGTCTTCTCATCTTTGTGTCTCTTCAGCCAACAGACAAGTTCAGTGAGAAGAGGTCTTGTTGCCAGGCAACAGCCCAGAGTGTATGATTAAAACTTTGATTTCCAATCTATCACCTGAGAGACTGATGTGGCTCCTTCCCTCTGATGCTCTGCAGAGCAGCTGGGGATGGACTCATGCATAGCAGCTCCACACTTGCCAAATGAATCCTTACTGTGAAATGAAACATTTGGTTCACATGGAGTCGGGCTACCTCGTCACCAACCAGCTCCACATCCAGCTACACCTTAACAATGTCATTTTGCACCGTATTCCAAAGTTATGCCAACCGAACGTGGTCCGTTTGGGGATTTTTGGTGGAATTAGTTTCCTCCGCTTGCATGTTTGAGTACAATATTTGTTATAGCTCTGCCGGTTTGGTCTTTTGTCCATTTGTGCCCTGGCTTCAGATAAAAGTAACTGCTGTTAGCGTACAACACTGATAAAAGGAAGGACAAAAACCTAATTATTGTCTGCTTTGTTGAATGACAACAGCCACACTGATTGAGGTGTTACAACCAGGTTTCATCATTGTGATTGATTCTTTTATAGCTGGGACACTTAAGTTTTGAAAGACAATTTGAAGGAGGAATGGAAGATAAAGGCCATGGAAGTGAGTGTGTGTGAGAATGCATACACGGTGTATGTTTTTGTGTTTGAGAGTTTGTGTCACATTCCCAGACGAAGTGCAGAGCTAAGGCAGCTAAACAGTTTGGCCCCTGGCAGCATAGTGAGACATGGATGACGTATTTATTCCTGGCAAACGATGTCTGTATAAAAAAAATGACAGGTTTGTGTGTATCTGTGTGTCTTCAGAATATATGTGTGTGTCAGAGCTATCTGAGTTTCATCTAAATGCTCCCCTCTGGCATCCATGGCATCCCAATAGGTGGGAAATCTAATCTAGAGGCCAAAGATGATAAGAAATGGTGGCACAGAGAGGAACGGGTGAGACAATCACATGAGATGCTGATCTTAGACGAGGAAAACAGGGAGGTGAAATGGAAGGCAGGAATGCAACATTTTGTACCTTTAGGAGACAGGTCAGAAATATATAGGCGCTCTGAGATTCAAGAGGGGGGGGGGGCTTGCCAATGGCGACCATATCACTGGAGAAGATGGGAAAAGGGCATTGGAGGAGATGTGAAGTGTGTTGATATAAAAGAAGCATCTATCAGTTTGATTCTTGAACCACAGTGGACAGAGGCTTTTTATGGATTCTGTCTTGAAGGACAGGTGGCAGATCAGATTCCAGAAGCAGCCAAGAAAACAGCTGTTGTCAGTGTTTCAACAGGTTGACATCTAAAAAGATCAAATAAGCAGATAAAGACTGAATGCAAAAAGTCTTTACAAAAGCATAATGAAGCCAGAAAAAAATAAAAACTATCACAGCATGTATCCACTAAAGCTAATCTGTAAAACTTGGAACAGATTGTCCTTTCAACACTCAACCAACCTGAACTCTTGAGCACCTACAGGGCTACATGGCCTTCACCAAACTGCAATGTACTAAAAGCTCCATCCGTCAAGTAGCTAAAATTAGCCTAAATATTAACATAAAGAACATCTTGTACTCTTACAGATCCCAACCTCGCCAGTGAACACGACTGACCTTGCAAAATCAGCAAGGACCACCAGAAGCAGAAATGGGACATACATGCATTTGTATGACTTACTCACTGATTTTGATTCTTTGGCTGATAAGTAGCGATGTCAGCATTGACTAGTTTGTATCGCGAACATCATAAATTAATGCATTCATTTTTTAATCATGATTGATTGCATGCTATTTTGTCCCCTTAAGGTGCATCATGGGTAAGCCATTGCAACGTCTCCATGTAGACACAGTGATGGGAAAGAACAACACTGCTTCATCTTTGAATGTCTCATTTCATTTAAAAAAAAAAACACTTTATAGTTATACAGGTAATATCCACCTTATGACATCAGACAAATCCATTTTTAACCAGTCGTTTAGCTATTTTCATTTAGTTTTTGATCTGTAACAAGTTCCCTTTTCATGGTTTAGTTAATGACTTAACCTTCAATCTATTAGAAGGTCCTTTCTCTATTTCAAAATATAAGCATAACAATTTTTACTTTTAAATGTGAAATAATGGCATTTCAGACATGCCATTGAAAATGCGCTAAATCACAATTAACTATTGAAATGTAGCAATCAATCCAGATTCAAAATTATAATTGTTTGACAGCCCTACTAATAGGTAAGCAGACTGCACTTTAACATTACCTTTCTAGTCTTATTTCCACTCGTAGCACCTTACACTATATGCACACACTCGTACCGATGGCAAAGGCTGCTATGTAAGGTGCCAACCTTATGTTGACCTCTTGTCTAAGCCATCCCATATGCAATCTCTCAATGATGATTTCACCCTCAAGAGTGATTTGGGGTTTAAGGGAACTTCATGTTCATTGGACAGGCAGTGAACCACGAGGATTTAGTTTAATCAAAAAAAATGTGATTTATTTCCTCGTACTTCACAGGTTTCCTTTTAGGTTTTGTCCGGCCATACTTTGAGCCAGCCTTTGCCAGTGCAATTTAATGTGTTTTTATCTCAGAGCATCAATTACCAATGATTTGTCACAACCATTTTGCATCTTTGTGATTTAGATTTGGACAGTGTCATATATATGCACATAAAAGCGTCTGTTTTCTTCCAGTCTGTAATATGGTTAAGTATGTGTTTGTTAGGTTAAGGCACAGAGAAAATGACATGCTTATAGTTCAGGTAAGCATCAAGGGGTATAGTCAACAATGTCAGTTTTTTGATACTGGCGGCGGGAAAGCGTTGGTATCTGACACCTTTTTAATGAATACATGCTTTCCAAACTGTAGTTTCAACTCTGGCTTTCTGAGGGACTAATCTGTTCTGTTGTGGGCTGATTTGGTTAAGTGGTCCAGCGTATAGTTTTCACATTGCTTACTCCCAGTATTTTCTCTGTTGGTTGCCTTTGTCATCCGTGGAGGAGTAGACACTGAACAGTTGGAGATGACACAGGCCTTAGGCAAGTCTGTGGTTTCAACTCAGTGAGGGAGCTCCCGAGAGCAGGACAAGGAAACCCTCAGCACCACAGGAAGCTGGAAGCCTCCAGGAGAGGAGGAGGAGGAAGAAGAATGGCTGCAATTACTTCTTTCATTGTGTGTGTGTTTGACTGTTGTGTTCTATCTGCTCTCTGCTAGCGGGCACAAACGAGTACCTATAAACTTTTAAAGAGCTGCCTACAGACTAAGATGAAAGAAAAGCTAATTCAGACATGTTCGAAGTCAAAGAGAGTGGGGTTTTCATATGTGTATAACAAAGTGTGTTGATTTGGGTTAGGGTTAGGGAAGTTTCTTGTTTACCAAAAGGTAAATGTCACCAAACTTCTATTTAGCGTAGCACCTCTGAGCAGGGATACTTCATTATCTGCACAGCTTTGCTACATACACTTTGATACAACATTGAACACATCAGTCTAAAGTAAAGACTAAGATTAAAGAGCAGTCTGGTCTTTTACTGTGTGATTATTCACATAACTCAACCAACACTTTTTTTATAACATAAACTCCATAGGCCATTACAAGCTGAGTGTTGTGTACAGTTTGAAGGAAAAGCTGGTGAATGATGAAATGGATGAAAAGGACTTAGCTGAGCCTTTGACCTCGATGAGCAATCAACCTACTTCTTTTCAACCAGATAGTTGTTCTCATTACGTAATACAAACTTTTAGTCTTTGACCATTTTGACAACCAATATGTTTTTAATTGTTTACTCATGGGCTGCTCCTCATGTGTCTTATTATCGATTCCTCACTCCTGGATCCTCGCTTCAAAGAGGCGTCGTTCCATTCCACCATGTTGAAGGACGTCTCAAGTCTCAGCACTGAGGAGCGAGGATCGAGGGAACAACTCTGAGGAGCTAAGATCGAGGAAACATGACACCAGCCTTCCTGTAAAGTATTTTTACTGACAGAAACACCCCTCTATCGAATATCAATCATTGATTGGACAATGCAGCCGATCGTACTTCAGTGAAACGTATCTACATTAGAGGAGTATAATAACGGAGAAAAGACAGACATTAAAAAGACAATAAATGTACACAACAGCTGAGCGATGATCAGCTGATGTCATCCTCAAAAACGGTGGTCGAATGTCTCTTAAAACATATTTCCTCTCTCCTCTGCTTCGTTTCCTCGTGTCGCTCCATGTATCCCTGGTGGGAGGGACCAAGATGCAAGCGAGGGAAGCAAGTGGAGGAAACGCGGATGCTATTTAAGAGACACGAAAAGCACCCATTGTGTAATATTTGTAATGCAACAATAAACCAGTGTAGAGTTTGATCCAAAAGTTAGAAATGATGCCACCTTAAACACATATATATATATATATATTTTTTTTTTCCTCTCTGGAGCAGTGGACTCCAAAGTGCTATAAATTCCCCATCTTGTCCACAAAGCTGGCTGCATTGGCCTACACTCTGCAGAATCATTGGAGTCAAAGGTCAAGATTGTTGGTGGTTAGAAATATATTTATTGATTATCGTATAAAATGTTTTGTTTGCTTTGGTTTGCATGTGTAGTCTTTTAGTGGTCAAATATGTGACCCACATGTTCTATATAAAAGGTTGCTCTATAATTTTCCCTTCCCAGTCTCTTTTAATGCATTATTAAATCTCGCAGTGTGGCGGGTAGTATAATAATCAACTACATTAGTGTCCTCTGGGTGACGACTTTTGATTGGGAAACTATAGTAGCTAAAGTTTCATGAGAAAGAGAGATGCTGCTGCATTTAAAAACTTTTCTTCCCTGAGCCTGGTTGTAATTTTTTTCCTAGCAGATTAAGAAGCAGTCATTGACCACTAGCTTTAATTAGAATATCACAGAGGGGTGTCATGTAGCCTTACAATTATACAGTACAATAAAAAGGCTTGGAAAGCAAAGCTGTTGGCTCATCAGGTTTAAGTGTTTCAAGAGGTGCTGTGGAGTAAATCAACTGATGGTCCGCAATCATTTCACGAGGACAATAAAATACTGTGTGGATTCATTTTATGCCACCACAATTAAACTGCGACTTTAACAGGTGAGTAGGATTATTTCTTTCCTTCATGCATATTGCCTCAAATACGTCATTATCTCTTGTTTTTTTTAAAGCTGTCTTAATGCTTCATGCCAAAAATAGCAATGAACATGGCAAGTAACGTAAACAAAGAACATTTATCAATTACAATTTTGTTGCTGCTCTGGTACGCATTAAGCCAGAAACTAAATGGAACAAGGATAGAGTTTCTTTTTTTTTTCCTGTTGGCTAAGATTCTCAGATTAAATATTGTGTTGAGCAATGTCTAGAAGGAAAAAAACTTTTCTGCTGCTGGAAATCCTGACCGCCTCTGTGCCTATCCTTTCTGCAGACCTACAATTCCATTTAGGGAAAATAATGATGAAATGTCAAGTCTTGTCAAGTCAATTTTATTTATAGAGCCCCAAATCATAGCGGAAGTTATCCCAGGGCACTTTTCATATAGAGCAGGAGTAGACCATACTCTTAAAACGTGCCTGAGGCATCAACTGGGTGGATTGAAGGGGTGTTCACTCACACTTGTGCCGAATTTGAGTGGGTGTGCTGCTGCTGCTGCTTCATCCACTCTGGGGCTGACTGGTGTGATTGAAGTGGAATGATGAATAGTTTGATTTTACAAATGTCTGAGAAGCTGAACAAAGCACTGAATCCAGCGGGCGTCAAACCCTCTGGGATTGGTGTTGCGTGTTTATTTGACCAGTGCAAAAAAAAAAAAAAAAAAAAAAAAAAAAAAAAAACAGCTGGCTGGGAGCTATTTCATTAAAGAGAGTGTAGTTGATTGCATTTTCTCCAGCACTCTCTGAAGTGCCTAAATGGAACTGTAGTCATCGCCTCATAGCCAACACTAGATGCTGCTACAAGTCTCCCTAAAGCCTGTCAATTGTGAGACGGAACATTTCAAAATCTCGAACCAACCATCTACTTTTTAAGACCTACTTATAAAAAACTTTAAAGTATTTCTCCTCCTAAATGTCATGTAATCACAAGAGAAACTAACATCTCTCAGTAGTGTCTGGACTGCACTCAATCTGTCATCAACATTTAGATGCCAGAGCAGCAAAGAGAGAGACAAGTAAGTTTGAAGGCAATTGAGAAATCAAATGTATGGCTCGATTGATGTGGCAATGACCATGCGAGAGCAGTGTGAACACATCGAGCTGCGCCTCTCTAAGTTACTACTTCTGCTTATCAAATGTAATATACGCCAGAGTGTAAATTCAGACACGAAATGAGAGAATGGAGGACAGTTCAGCTGTATATTGAGGTTCCTCGGTTTGCATTTAAGCTAAATCTTGAAATTGCAGGTCATAAAACATGTTCAATCTCCTTACTCAGATTCATTTTGAGACACAGTTCACAAACACATAGGGCTGAAAGCACTAACAGGACCTGCATTCATGTCACAATGAAGGGGTTTTATAGAGAATGGCGCCCAAGGAATTTGGGGTTCAGTGCATTGCTCAATGGTAATTTGGCAGTAATCCGGGAGTGAACCTGCACCTCTACAGCCTCAAGTCCCAATTCCATGCTTGGTCTGTCAGGGACAGTCGACTCTCTAGCTCCCAACCCAAGTCCCTACAGACTGAGCTACTACCACCCTCGCCCAAAGAACTTCTGGTGCCTCTGTAACACTTCACCATCTATGTCTTTGACAGGGAGCAAGCCCCACAGTGTTTCTCCACTTTGCTTTTAAAGATTTATGGATGAGCACACTGTGTACAGTACTGAAAAACATACAGTTCCCGATAAAAAAATGTAAGATCAAACATGGTGAATACATGGACAAGCACAATTAATTACCTCACATTATTATTGAACAATGGAGATAAAGTCTCACATTGCAAGAAATGCCAATACATGCGAAAATATTCATGAAAAACAAATCAATATAGTCTGCCTGAAAGCATTCTCAAAACTGTACGTTCATTGAATTGTTACTTGGAGGGAATCCTAGTGATGGACAGCAACCCGAGGAAAGAATTTCAGTTGATATTAACCTTGATAGTCTGAAGGCAAAATAACTAATGCTGCATTGGGGTTAAAGGGGTCTTCGATACCACCAGGGGCCAACATGTTTTTTACATGAAACCTTTTTTTTGTGCTACTTTTTGAGTCTCTCCCCACTGTTCTTTCATTACAATAACTCAAATAAGACTTAGCTACAGGGATTTCTGGCAAAATACCTTGGATCAGCTGAATTTCATTAAAGATGTCTTAAATATACCCTAATCTCCATAAATAAGTGCATGTTTTATGGATTCCTTATTTATAATTTATCTGCCCCCCAACTTCAAGGGAGAGAGGGAGGGATAACAAGTACTGAAAATCCTCATCAAGAATTAACAATGGGCTCATCTGTCATGTTATTGACCTCACACAAAGCTGATTACTTCCCTTGGACGCCGTCTCATTTCCGCTAAGTCGTGTACTGTGTGGAAAAAAAACATGAGCTGAATTCTAACTGAAATTATAGGGTTAGAAGTTCAAACTGAGCAGGAGACAATAGCAGGTGTTTTTAAATGATTGGGTTCAAGGTGCATGTTAAAGTAATACATTTATAGTTGGGGTTTTGTGTTTAAATTCTAGAGCTTAAATAAAGCATAAATATCAGTTTGAGTTTGACAAAGTTAAAGTCTGCTTAAGAAATGTGTAAGCAACTGTAATTTCTCCTAGACAAGAGTAGATTAGCACGTAGATACAGTGCATAGTCCAATATTTAAATAAATATATGTACTGATAAAGATAAGATAGCCTTTAGCCCTAGTTACACTACTGACCATTTGTATTTCTAAACTTAAACCCATGATTGCCTGATATGCTGTTCCAGTGTGTGATTTTTAATGCGACAAGCAAAAGAGACATGTTAAACTAAGACTCATGATAAAATGATGAAGGATGCTACAATAGGGGATGTTTTAGAACATGAGATGACAGCGTATATACGTCTGCAATGTTAATGCTACATGGGAAAAGGAAGTATTTGCTATTAGTAATTTAATGCTAACCCAGAGCTACTCCAGAATTCACAAGATGTTGGCAGCTGTTTCCAGAGGACTATATCGTCGTCAGACAATGAATGCTGATGGGTTCTGAGATTGCTACCAAACCATTCAACCTCTGTACCTTTTCGGAAAGACTGTGAAAAAGTCCTGTCTTGAACAGGCTGTGTACAAGGGGCATATCATTAGAGCCAATCATTTTGAATTATGATTTAATTCAGAGAGCCTCCAGTGACAGAGTTTGAAGGAAGAAAGGGTCACTTTGGATTCAAACTGAAACTTAATCTGATTTTGCATAAAATGTAAGCAGAATTTGTTTTGGTTTATTGTTCATTTAGCCAAGTACTTCTCAAAGTATGGGGAAGGCCCCCCTGGGGGAGCACAGAGGCATTACAGATGTGTGGCCAACATGTACTGTAGAACGCAGTGTTTCTCAGCTAGATGGACTGCCCTGGTATACAGTATATTATCCACCTGCCCTTGTAATTTCCCAGCATGATCAGCATTTAAAACCAATGAACCAGTAGGTGATCGATGTCCCTCGCTCTGTACCCTCACATACATGTTACAGGTCTGTATACTCTGCAGGTGACCAGAAAGAGAGCTAAAAAGAGAGAGATGTCTGCTCCTGGTTTTGCTGTGTCTTGATAACAAGCACATGATGTGATAATTGCTGTGTTGTACAAAGCCATTGAAGGCTCAGTTTAGAAAAAAAAATAAAAGTAAGTTTGAAAATCCAAAATCCATGGTTTGCAGAATCTATGCAGAATTGCAATATGTGGGCAAGGAAATCATTAACAAATCTGTGAGCTCAGTGAGATCCATACTTCGGCTGATACTATTAAAAAATCAGAGTTATATAACAGAATATTTAGGACGATGTCAGTTGCAGCATATCAGCGTTATCTCGCTTGTTCAGTGTATTGAACTATTACGACCCTCTTGTTTAAGTTTAAGACCCAGTAAATGTTTGCATTTTTTATGGTTTTCCACTGTTACCAGTGTAAAAACAAAGCTACAGCTTAAGACATTCGGCACAGCTATAGTGTACTTGTAGAATATGCAGAAAACTACGGGCACACTATTCTTGTGTGATCAACACTAAAAGAGATTTGAAAATGACAAAAGGGACAAAAAAGTCTAGCTCCACAATCAAGGCTGTGCAGAAAAGCACAAATTGGTGCATAATAATTGAACCAAATGCAGGAAAAAAAATGTTTGGTTTTAAAAATGTTCTGTGGTGACTTTCAGACCCCCCCTGGTCTTACCTGATGGGGGTGACTATTAAATAGCAAATTGACCACTTTTAATGCCATTAACCAAGATGCCCTGTTAAATCTGGCCCCATTAGTCATGATGTTGTTCAGATTAAGGGGTGCAAAATATTTTCCTCTCGCAAAGAGGGGCATGGCAGAAAACAATTAGGGAGCAGAGTGCTCCTGTTGCCATGGCAACGTGTCTTTAAAAACAGGGTTGTTTGCAGAGCTCTTTTCCAATCTGGCTGTGAAGTGGGGTGTAGCAGTTTGCAGTGGAGCCTCCCTGTCGAGCGTTTTTTTTTACCTGACTGACTGAACAGGCCCTCACTATGTCAGAAAAGTCACAAGTAGTGTAGCTGCTGGGTCAGGCCATTTGATGACAACAATGAACCTGTCCAAAAGTTTTCTGTGATGTTGACATGTCCCTGTTAGCAAGGTAGCTCTGCAACATCTGACGGTTTGTGATGCTATTAACTCTTCTATGTGTGAGAATAGCAAGACAAATATGTTATAATATCTGTATCAATTAGTGATCCATTGCATTCATGCACTTTATCAATTTATTTTTTAAATGTTGATTTTTGGGCTTCTTGTGCATTTATTTATAGACACAGCAGTGGATAGACTCAGAATTTGGGAGAGTGAGTGGGGAATAACTTGCGGGAAAGTAGCCACAGGTCGGATTTGAACCCAGGCAGCGCACTTGGAGGACCAAGGCCTCTGTACATGGGGCGGTTGACTAACCACTAGGCGACGGGCATCCCCAATGCATTTTGACTAACGTGAAAACTGAGTTGTAGATGTTGTGAGTCAGTATTGACACATCATCCTCTTTTTGGTTACATGACACCTAAACTGCCTTAACAACAATTTAATATAACTTGTTTCCCAAGCATCACTCCACAACCTTGGAACATTCAGTTTTTAGCATTTTAAGACTATAAAACTATAAGACTATAAAAATGACACAAATTATGAAATTATTGTCACAGTGGTTGCTGAACAATGTACTGTGGATTAACCAACTAATGGTTGCTACTTGAGATGGATTAATCAGCAAGCAATTCCCACTTTTGTCTGTATATTTTACATGTTTTATCTTATACACTAAAACATCATATTGAAACATTTGATTTCGAATCAAAATATTGGTAAAAAAAAAAAAAACCTATTGAACGAATATTTCAAGATTACTGTGTATGTTTTGCAGTGCTTTAAAGGTGGATGAATGGAGTGCTAAAAGCTACGAGAGATGTCATGAACAGCAGGGATAAGAACAGTCACACACTTTGCAATTCACTTCAATAATTTCAAGCTATGTGCTCATGTATGTATACTGTTTGTATGCTCACACATACACATGCGTGCTTGGTAACGTGTGGGTGCGTGTAGTGAAATGGTACGTACCCTGATTGTCCAGAGACTCAGAGACTGTTTAGAGGGTGTAGAGTTTCTGGAAGAAGAAAAAAAGACTGTGTCATCAGTCCTTGGTAGAGCAGACTGTCTGGTTGCTGAACCTTGAGTCTCTACGATGTACCTCATCTGAAGATGCAACACAATAAGTAACACTGAGTCCATGTACAGTACATGAATTCAAGTGAATAATTGATATACTATTTTAAACCATGCTTACCATGACCATTAAATATCATCCTGACCTTTGTTCAGAGAGACACATTTGGAACTATGAAATACAAGATGTTGAATATAATTGTATAACTATGTACTAGTACAAGTAAATCAATATATACTTAATAAACACGAAATGCAATACTTAGTAAACAATAAATAGCAAACTTCAAGTACCATATCTTATTTACTCCTGCCAGGATGGAGTATACTGCCGAGATAAACGAAGCCACAATGCAACCCAGAGACCACTTTATACAGAAGCCCCAATTCAATCTCTGTAGACCTGGGAGAGGACCAACATCCATGATAACAAAACCTCAAAGACAATTTCAAATATTTTGACAGGTATCTGCATCACTCAGAAGCTCTACAACTACTCCAGTTATACTTTTTCATGATGCTTGAGATGTCTTGTGTGAAGCACTTTGAATTGCCTTGTTGCTGAAATGTTCTATATAAATAAACTTGCTGTACCTTGCCTTGGCTAACATTAAATCCTCTCACAAAGACAGTGGGTCTGGTTAAGCCTCCAATACAAACATCAAATATGGTTGGGGTTTATGTTCTACAAATCGAGCTTTATCACACTAACAGTCTTCAATGGATCCAGTGTGTTGGTGAGCTGAAAAGTTACATGAGTATTATATTTTAACAATGAGGCCCAGGATGTCCAATAAGTATTCTTTAAAGGCTTTATATGTGATTTTTCACACTTAAATGTAATAAAAATCAAGTATATCCTCTGAAAATAACTCTGTGAGTCATGACTGTCTACAATGGGTGTGACACCTGAGTCCCACTGTCTGTGATGCTTTCCGAGTCCTATCTTCAGTTTGTTGACATGGACAGGACGGCCGGCTGGCTCATCTCCTCGCGTATAAAAGTTGTTTCATTGAGGGACTAGAGAAAATTAGAATAACATACTGTACTCACTGCTTAACTGTGTTTCTAGATCACGGTCATTTCGGGTAAATTTACATGCAATATAAAGATACGAGCATGATAAAGATTGCATTGTGAGTTGTTTTGGTTTCATGCTGGTGCTTAAGAGCGACATCTGCTGGATCAAAAAAATCGCATATAAAGCCTTTAAGGTTTTCATAAGTTTATATCAACATACCTGCTGGACAATGGTCTAATCTCCTGCAGAAGGAAACAAGGTTGGAAACATCTTTCCATCATGGAGTACAAAAAACTTTTGTCCAGATGTTCAACTCCAGTCAAAAATATACCTGTCAAAAAAAAGCTTTGTGCCATTAAAATAAGTTGCCCTTGTCCAGGTCAAGCACAGAATGTTTCAATAGGGAGTTCACCTGGGGAGACATGACAAGAAGGTTTTAATTTGTATTTTATCCACGTGAAGAATCCATTAGAATCGCAGGCTTTAATACAATTCCTTGATGGAAACTATCTCTGCAACTGTACATTTACATTTTTGCGACAGTGCCAAAGGTGCCCTGTCCAAGGACTGACTCCACCAGTTAGAGATGATAGATCTAGGACAGAGCCACATCCCGTTGGCTAACTATGCATCCTGGGCAGGATGAGCGGAGGACATGTTTGAAGACATAAGAGGGTTTGAAACCTGCTGCTTGGGTCTCAACGCTAAAAGGAGAACAGCTAAGGATGGATGTGGACGAAACATTATGACTACTTTGAGTCAAAACCACAGTACAACACCATAATATTTCTGTCTTAAGATAAATTTCTTTAAAACTAAGTATATATTGTGGAACTTATGAGATCAAATCAAACACTCAGGAGGGTCATATATAGTGAATTATTTTTAGTGATAAGTGTAGTCCCAAGACCAGGGATCAATCATAAACATAAAAAAGACTTACCAGACTGGCTGCTGATGGGATAACTTGGGAAGTTCTCCACAAAATTAGCCAATAAACCTAATGAAAACAAGTTCTTACAAGCCTGATGGTGCTTCAAAATCAACAGTTGATTGAAGAAACTGTCTAAATGGGTCTTCACTCCTTCAAATTGCTAATCACGCTCTTTAGTAAAGCCTGTTTTATGCCTCCTACAGACTATGCAATTATTGCAAGCCAAACTGTGCAACAGAAATATCATAATGTTTGATACAGCAGGCCTGTGAACTGCATGCTGCAAGGGAACACACCGTGTCATTAGCATCATCAGTGTGAGGCTGAGGTTGCCATGGTGGTCAGCAGAAAGCGAGCTCGGGCCATAGTGGCGTTCATGTGCAAATAAAAAAAATATAAAAGAGGAGCAAGAGAAAATGCGGACATGGTTTTGGCTAAGAAAAAAGGTCCAATGTTGCAAAGAGAGCTTGAAGTAACGTTATTGTTAGCATACATTTTGACAGCTTTGGTGCCTGTGCAGTTGCTCTGATTGGTGCATCGATTCATGCTGCATTTGTATTGGTTGGCAGTTGTCATAGATCGTCGAATATTTCACATTGTGAGATAATCTTCCGAAGTTGAGATCAGTATCTACTAAAAAAGAAGACTTAAAGTTGCAAATGTGTAACTAAGTTAGGGAAAAATGTCACATCTTGCTATTTGAAATGTCAGCATTTGCTGTAAAAAAAAATTCAAGAATTAGTCCGAAGTCCTATTTTGGGTCCGTATTATATTGAGTGACATATCTGGCCCTTTAGCTGCTTAAAGCTATACTTCATTCACTATGCTATTGCACAAAGTCTACCGTGTGTTCCCCAGAGCTTTTATTTCTTTATTTTTATGCTAGAAAATTGCCGAGTGCAGAATAACGGTTAGGGAGTGATGAGAAATAAACAAAGTTGTGATCTAGTCAGTTAAAACAAGCTGAAACAGAAGCAGATATGTAGATATGATGATGATTTGGTTCTTCACCACCACATTTGATTCTATATTAATATGAACAACTAATATGCTTTGAGGGGTGTGACATGAGGCTTACATTTCCACTGTTGGACCTCAGTCCCCCAATGTAAAACTTAAAGTATGATAGAACAAGGACAACAGAAGGACTGCATATATCAGACATGAAAATATATATGCCTGTTCAAAATATGTTTAGTATGAAATAATGAAAATATAAACATTTCACTGCCTCATCAGCGACTCCTTGTCCACTGATTTGTTATTAATTACCTAAATAAAAACGCAAATGTGCCAATTAATCAATTTGACAGTCACACATGGGAAGCCTGCATGATCCATTCAAGTCGACTACAAAGGAGTAATAGGGAAAGAGGAAGCGTTGACTCTGATTCGGTTTCTACGCTTGTGCATCTCCTCCTGATGAGCGCTGGTTGTTATTATCCCATCATGCCACAAAGCCCTGATAGTTCCCTATTAGTTATTGTCCCATTGTTATGAGCCAAGCACGGCAGTAATTGGAGATTCACAGTTGATCGTTATCACAGAGCTTGGATTTTATTTTTACTCATCCATTATGTAAAATAATGAGAAGTTCTTTTTCCTCATTCTGAGACTCAAAGGACATTATCAGTCTGTTATTTCTTTGCTTTCTTGGTTTATAAAAGCATAAAGACGGGCTGAAGGGATTAGCACTCTTAATTTTGTTTTTTTATCAGTACAAGTTTGAAATTTAAGAAGTGTGAGTGACTTAAAACAAAGATGCATGGAATAATTTTATGTTGATTTGAGTGCATCTCCATTTTTGCATGGCTCATAAAAAAAACAGAATTCCTGCAGGCTAAAGAGCATGTCCTAAAGAAACCCCTGTGATATTTTCCCATAATTATAGTGAGCTGGCCTTTCCGTGGCGCTTCCACTGAAGTAAGTAAGCCAGCCCCCTGCTGACAAATTCAACTGACAGAGCAAATATACACTTCCTCTCATCATTCAATCCCTTCATCCTTGGTCCAATGTCTTCTGGGACAGCAGAGGGTGGATTTTGCCAGATATTAGCCAAGGCCCAGGCCAGTACACTGGGGGGATTTGCGAGGGTAAACCTCTTGCTTTGATGTCTCCTCAAATTTCCCAGCTTGACACAGTGAAACAAGGAACAGCATGCAATTGAGGGGAGTGATCCAAAAGAGTTACCCTTCTGACCTTGCTACCAACACACACAGGGGCAGTAATTACTCAAGGGGTAAAAAAAAAAAAAAAATTCAATGTAATCTCTGGGTTATGATAAAAATAAATGTATTAAGTGCGGGATACTACCCTTATGAGTAAAATACAAACAGGAGCATTCTTGCAAAAAGCAAAAACTAAGACATTCACATTTGTCCTGACACCACATCAACCTGCTCAACGTCTAATGACTACATCTCGTATCTCTCAATGCACACTGCCTCTCTGACAGAAAGTCCAGGAAATTGTTTGCTCACAAACTAAATTGAGATGGTTAGTCCCAAATGATCTTTGCAAAAAGTTGTTCCATACTGATTTCTTTTCTGCAGCGTAGTAAGCTTCTTCATTATCAAAAGCAGGAACATGGCTGCCGGACACCTTGGTAATTGGGGAAAGCTGTCATTTGAGGTAAAGACGGCTGAGCGTTCAGCTGTCAGTGTGATGTGTCAGACTGCATGGCGATAAAAGTGACAAAGCTAATTGTTGTCTCGAATCCTCAAGCTCAAAGAAACTCCAGAGACCTATAAAAAAGCTCTTCTCTTCCATCCTTTCTTCAGAACTTCTCTCCTTGATATTGAAAAAGCCTGAGGGAGACATTTGGGTGGTAGAGTAGAGTAGAACAGGAGTAAAACTGATGTTGACGTTATACTGGCTGGGAAAATACGAGCGACTCAGATTTAGTTAAGAAAAATTAGCTTGCTATCACACCGACTCATGCGAGCAATGATGGAGTATCTGCAATCTGATCGGAGAATTTACCGGAATTCACAGAAGCAACGATGCACATAAAGAGTTTGCTCATTGAGCTGGAGCAGCAAGCCTCTTTTAAGCAGTTCAAGACCTAACGCAGAGAGAAACCAAACACAGCATTCCACTTGGTATTAAAAATGACCCTCTGATGAGGATAAACCGTTATTCAGTGCAAATTGAGCAGAATCTGATTTTAATCTGATGAGGAGGCAATCATAGAGAACGCCTTGAGTTCATTAGATGGCAGCATGTTTGATTTATCTGCCTGGAAACAAAATCAATGGCTTCTTTTTGATCTGCATCGTCAGTTGGTGATGAAGTGGAGCGGCCATTATGTTAATCCTCCACATTGACTTGCGACCAAAAAACACTAAGGCCATGAACATTTTTTCAAGTCCGGTCCTGAGGATGGAGGGGCTAACAGGCAGCTGTGAAGGAACACTCTGGGGTCAGCAACTTGCCAAGGTTTGATTAATCACCGTGGGAAACCTGGTCAAGAACAGGAGTGACTAATGACCCGTGTATGGCTGTTGATTTAATCAATCAAGAAAAGGCTCTTACCTTGGCGATACACAGCCAAAAACACACAGCCAAAAACACACACACACACACACGCACACGCACACTCACTCCCTTGCACCAGCAGGAGTTGTCATTAAATATTATGTGTGATATAAAGTGCTCTTTAGAAACCACCGGGCAGTTTTTTTTTTTTGTTTTACAACACAGGACATTTCTATGGTGAACTGGATTAATCAAACAAACCCATTCAAAATGACCTGAAGAAGAAACAAGGGACTTCTCCATATCTGTATAAAAGATAACATCAAGGCATTTTCTCAGCAGGCTATGAGTTCTTCTACAAAATTGGTCTGCAAGGCATTTGTAGCTGGTGTTATTGATTCAACTGGAAATGTAGTTCTGGAGGCGTACAGATACTGTCAGAATATAAGAAATAAGCAAATATGAAATGCAGAAAGCTCCAACTGTTTCATGAACATGATGTTTGAGATCAACAATAGGTTATTTTGTAAGTTAAATACAGATATTTTGGGCTTTTGAATTCATATTGCTGGACTCCTGTTGTGTTTTGAAAATCTTGTTTCGCTAAAAATCAGACAAAAAAAAAAAAAAAAAAATAGTACTTATGTTTCAGCTGGAAATCTAATTCAAGGTTTCCTAACAGTCACTGTTTCCATGCATTCATATTTTGACCTTAAACAGAACATAGAACAAACGTCAGATCACTGCTCAACCAAACTGGCTCATTTTTCAAGATCAACATTTGAGTATTTCAAGCTAATGAAGACTTCCATTGCTTGTCGATATTCAGAATGACTGTGGCAGGCCTATAGAAGGGGTCAAGGTCACAGGTCACTAAGCTACACCCAGCAGTGTTCCTTTACGCGTACTGCTTGGTTGCACTGGTGAGATATTGGTTATTTCATAAAGCCTTAAACTAACCCCAAGCAAAGTCACATCATTCCCTTCATTAGTTTTGTTGCACAAGAAAGTCTAGTAGATTACATGAGATTCATTCAGACATCAAATGTCACTGACGAAAAACTGACCTTTTTCTGAAATCTTACTTCAAATGAAAAGGTGTAAGCTACTGTAAGGAACTCTGTGTTCATTTTAGCAACCCCTGTAGTCAGATTGGTACTCTTTATATCATGAAGCCAACTGTCTTTGTCAAATTGTAAACAATCTTAAATCATTCTTTAAGTTTACTGTATGTAGTTTTAAAGGTGCACAGTCCTCTCTCTCATTCACTCTCAATGTTTAAGTATCCTGGTATTTTAATACAATCTTCCTTTGAGAATTAGTTATTTCTATTTTGCAATGAGAACTCAGTTTATTTTTTTCTGAATCTTCTTCCTAAAAACAATAACAGCAGTGAGTAGGGAATTACTTGGAGCCATAAATTGGACATGAACCCAGCCTGCCTTCTTCAAGGACAACACCTTCTCTTTATGGGGCGTGCAAACTAACCACAGGGCCACAAGTGTCCCTTTTTAAAAAAAAAAAACTATTTTTGCTATATCACGATTATCGTTTGACTCCGGGTGAGGGGAGATGGACCCTGCCTGAGTCAAGGTGACACTGCTGAGCAAATACCAGATTGGTCCAAGAAAGCAGGTAACAGTGCACACAAGATAATAACTTGAGCACACAAAATTTCACAAAAAGTCTCTTTTCGCAATCTCTCACATCCAATTCCAAAACAATGAATTAAAAAATACAAACTTTATAATTAGAAAAAGACAATGAATCAGTAAAATAACAGAGCATGTAAAATATGGAAATATGAATACGTTTTTTTTTTTAACCCTAGGTAATTGAACTGTTGCTGTGCTGGGTTTGTGTTGGCTGGCCTTATTCTTGAAAGGGTGTAGAGTGGAAGCTGTGAAAAGTCTAAAGTGGAGGATTTAGCAACTACTGGCTTGATGTGTGGATTGTGGTGGTAGCTATCCCCTGCTATCTTGAGCTGTCTAAGTCAGCAAAGTATGAAATAAATATCATTTTGGCTATTTCACTGCTGCAGTTGGAAGAAGGATAACCTTCTCCTTTTACATGCAGATCTGTTGAGGTGTGCAGATTACTGCTGTTAGGGTTTGTAATCAGGATTGGAGAGTGGGGGTGGTGGACCACCACAGCAGCCCTTGAGAGCTGTCTTGGTGGTCCTGCTTTCACACCCTCTTCATAAGGGTAAACTGGAGCATTGTTTAAAGGAAGTATGTGCAACATTTTAAACATAAATACAGCAGAAATCAAGTAAATCCTCTGTAAATGTCTCTCCGATTCATGACTGTCTACATTGAGTTCACATCATGGTAACATGGTCGGAACTGCCTCAGGTATAAAGCTGTTTTAGTCAAGGACTAGAAAAAAAGAAGAGTGACACAGCCTACTCACTGCTTATTTGGATGTCGCGTACGTGTCTTTAGATCAATTTATGTGCAATATGAACCTACACGTGAACTAGAGTGTGCTAACATCAACCTGCCAACACAACAATGCAGGCAACAGGCAATTTCAGCTCGAGCAAAGGCCAATAAGCCACTTCCACTTAATGGTGCTTAATTATGGTGCGTTCTAATTCATAGCTCCTTTGTGCGAACACGATTGGAGAGGGGTTGAGGAGGAGAGCGGAGGCTTCAGAATAGCGGAGGTGTCGCCAAACAGCGATTTGTTTTGGTTTAATGCTGGTGCTCAAGGGCGACATCTACTGGATCAAAAAGTCACACATTCGTCCTTTAAACAAACAAATATTATGCAATGTGTGATCAGTTGATCCCAACACACATACAGTCAGCTGCACTTACAGCCCTTAGCTTTACATACCTACCTACTATAAATTAGCAGATTACGATAGCCAAATAAAATCCCGAACAAAAGACACCAACAAAGTGTTATAACAAATACCTAACCAGCAGCCTGTTAACATTAGACATCACGTTAAAACTCAGCATGTCAGATGTAATTTCAGTCTTACCGTTGAAGATTGTCCGTCATTTGTCCAGCGGTGGGTACCATGGATGGAAAAGCAATGACCTGCCTGCATGGAGCCCTTTACAAGGTTGAGGAGCACATGATCATGCTGCATTATTCCTAAAGAGCAACTCCTCTGGAAAAATATCCAAATATAAAGGAGCTCTTTCAATTTCTGACTCTGCCATGCCAGGATGGGTAATGAGTGTGCTTTTTTTTAAATATGTAGGGTCCTACATAAAAACAATCCACACAAAGCCAGAAAATATTAACTCTGTGGTCATGGCAACACACTTCCAACAACAGTTAACTGTTAGGAGAAGCCAAGATGCATTTAATGCTAATGTAAGAAGCTTACCACTTTTTTTTTTTTTTTTTTTTTAAATCAAATAACATAACAAAAAGGTAACAAGAAAAAGGCAGGGACTACAATAAGCAGCCCTGCAGTTGACTTCGTTCAATAAGCAATTTCTGTGTTACATATAGCAGCATCATGCTCAAACAAGTGGAGTCTCTCCACAGAAATGACTGATTGAGAAAATCTTGCCTGAAGTGTTAACAAAATGGATTTTTAATATTCCTTTAACACATTGTATAAGGCCATTATCAAGGTCATTAACGGCTCTCTACATAGAAAGACTCTTTCTATTCTCTTAGTTTTTGGCACGTGAGCTGCACTGCTAATGTAAGCAGTGTGAAGGTGGTTATCTGTTAACATGCAAGCTGAAAAGAACATGAAGAGGTTCTTCAGCCGTCACCACTGCTCACACAGCTTGTGTGAAGCTGCCATAAAATGATTAATTTTCCTGCTGTCTTCAAACGTTAAACAAACTACTCATATTTGTGGACCAGCATATGTAAATACAGGCACTTCCAGCCATTGCTCGGCCTTGTCTGACACTGACCTGATGCGATGGTTACAGACATCAAAAATAACCACTGTTTAATCTGCATGTTGTTCCCTGTGCTGTCTGTCCTTATGCCCCTTCTAATGGCTCCAACTCTGCAGGTGAAGCCACTGATTGCACAACGAGGTGCACCTGGCCTCAGTGCTTGAAAAACTCTGTGCTGAGTTGAGGAGGAGAGAGGTTTTTGGAGTGGGGACGGCTGCATGTTGCCTCTCAGTTAGGGAGTGTGTGTTATCTTGGTGATTAAATCCTTTGACTTTAGTTAACTATGTAGTTATTCTGGTGTCTTATTAAATACCCATCATTTTGACTTCCTGAAGGTGTTTCTTGTGCTTTATTTGTGGGTTGTCGTTAGCCCCATAAAGCTGTCTTAAAGGTGTAACACCATATAGATGTAATCTAACTGATGGACTGGTTTACAGAACCAACAGACAAAGTTTAAACCTGGTTGCACATTTAAGACCCCTCAAGAATTGAGTCTAAAAAAAGATAGGTAATAGGCCTATTTCAAAGCAGGCATTTGATTTGTACAGAAGAAACAGCACAGTGTTGTTAATGTGATTAACAGACAACATGACAGTTCTGGTTCACAGTGAAATCCTGAGGACATGTAAACTATTAAACCTTGATAACTGTTAGCAATGCCAAAATATTTACATGGGCAGATAGGACATCTGATGTGAATCTTAAACACTTACTTTTCAATACACACAGGATAAGGCTTATACTGTATATGGCATAGGGAAATATTACTCTTCAGAACAGCAAGCAGACAAAGACTGCTTGGACTAGATATGAAAAGCAGCACATTATTTGGTTATTATGCAATTGTGTTGCTTGCAACTGGCTGAACAGATCCCCGGCAACAGGTAAAAAAACACAGGTCATCAATAAATACACTGATGGAAAGTAGGTTTTATATTTTATTCCAAAACTTTCAAAATAAGTTTCAAGTTCAAGAAAGTAGAATAAGCTTAGACACAATGCAAAGCATCATATACAGACGGATAAAATACATTTTATATATTGCAGACAAGCCATGGTGGGTCTTACATATTTACAGTATGTATGTAAACTTTTATGTACAATATTTTTTACATATACAAAAAGCCTTGTTTCTATTTTTCTTTGTATATATTTATATATATATTTATATATTTATATATAGAGATTTTTCATATACTCCCCACTAGCATTTGTACTACAATAATGAAAAAGAAAAACATTTACATATATGTCAATCCATTTTTTCTTTTTATATTACAAATGTATTTCCATAAAAATATATCTCTGTACAAAAAAAGTTTTATTCGTTATTCTCTTTTCTTAGAGACAGTTTCACCTTTTAAAGTTTCTCTCTGTACTTACACACAGTCTGCTGACGTCCATGTTAGTCGATTTCTTCACAGGTAACCCTTTTGGTGTACAGCAAGAGATCGACTCTGCATCTTTGTCTTTCACTGTGTTGTTTTGTTGAGGTGTTCGAGGGCCGTGTTTGTCTGGCTTAGGCGCTATGGGTTGTTATGAGCTCTAGTCTCATTCAGAGGCTAGTTGAGAGATCTACTGGACATGAAATATTGTCATGGAAAACAAAAAGGTAATGACCGTGGCATGAATATATAAAGACTGTGGTATTAAAAAGCAGCTCTGTAAATATTTTGCAAGATCGTACTATAGATAAATTGGACATTCTGTTTGTAATTCAAGGTTCACACATCGGCAAAGCATATATTTTCCATTACTGCGCACAGACAGAGGAGCAGTTGTGGGGTTACAAATATTGAACACAGTACAGATAAATAAATTTCGATGCACTCAGTGAAATGAAATACATTCAGTAGTTTTCAGTAATAACTGCACTCATCTGATCCCAAATGATGTCACAATTGGTCCCCTCTTATCTGCATTTATAGAATCAAATTCATCTTAGCTCCATAGCTTTTCAAAAATACATCTCAGTTCCCTCTCCAACATGCTTCAGTCCCGTAGACACACTGAAATGGGCTGAATAGTGAAAGCAAATTGGATGGAATAGGTCTGAAAAACACAGCAGTTAGTGTGGCTTTGTCGTATAGCCATCGATGTGCGGTGACAACGAACGATGGACGATTACAAACGACAGTTGATGCAGAATATGTCACACAGCATGGCTGATGGATAGCTTGGTTTTTCAGTACATGTTCACTGTGGCCTGTGCCAAAATCGGAGGGCTCTAACTGCATAAAGAAACGGGTCATTTTTTTGGCCTAACACTGACAGTGAGAAGATTCAGTGAACTCAGTGCCAAGTGAAAGAACATAGCTGTGATGTGTTTCATGTTAGAAGTGATGGTGAGCAGGAGAGAAGTCAGAGCTGTGTCTGACTGATAACGGAAATGAGCCAAGGATGAACCCAGTTTCTGTCTTAAAATAAGTAAAAGAGAACCAGGAAGTAGCCAGCTGCTATCAAGGCAGACTCTACCCTAAATCGTAAAGCACGGCTCTATCCAGAACTCAGTCATCCTCATGGTCATTTAACTGAACTGAACTTTCTTTGAGAACTTTCTGGACTAACCTAGTTTGACTAAAAAGGAGCATATTTCTATAGATGTATTGCCATTAAGTGAAAATTCTTAGTCCTGCATAAAAGTTTATGTTGATTAGGACATTTCGAAACAAATTTGGCTAATGATTGATAACTGTCTTTGGTTATTCAGGGTAACCTTTTAAACTCTCAAAAACACACAAACCCTCAAAGCAAGCACATAAAAACCCATGCCACTGATCCTTGCGCACTAAGATACAGTACAGTTGAGCTCATTTCTGATTCATAAGGGATAGTAATTGATGGTTTCTCTGACATGAACAAGCTCAGTTTTTCTCCTAAAATATTACAAACACAGAGAGCACAGCACCTCTTCGGTCGACGCATCTCTGAGTGTGTCTGGGTTATACATGCAGAGATTATTACAAAGACTTGACTGAAAACCAGACAAAAAAAAAAAAACGACTCTAATTTTCTATCTGACACAAAAACCTTTCAATAACCCCCCCGTGCTTTGTAAAGAAATGATGGAGCCATCTCATCATATCAGGGGGTTGTACCAAGGCACTATCATGAATGTAAAGTGCTTATTGGAGACTGGTGGAGGTAAATAACATGGGGAAAAAAAGGTAAGAGTCTGGTCCTTTGAAACCATTTGATTTTCTTGAGACTGAGCCCTTGTTGGTTTAAACAATCATAGTTGTGTTAGCTTATGCTTCTGTGTAATGTTTGTCCAGTTTGACAGCCTATCACGAGTCGAATAGAATTTGTTCCATGCAGAGAGTGAGGGGCATCATGTCCTTTCCCACTAGCTAATCACATTAGTTTGTTTGATTCCCAACACAGCTTTAGGTTGTGTTGTTTCATGTGCTAGATGTGTACATGGGAGAAATGAATGACGGGGGAAAGATCACATCAAGGTGACCTCAACAGAAACTAAAGGGAATGCAATGAAGGGATAGAAGTATTTGAAGCGTTTCAAGAATAAGACAATGAACCGTGCAATGCAACAGCCGCACAAAAATATGAGATCTGAGTAACAATGTCTTCAAGCTAATGCGAGTGCAACTGCTCCTCTCCCGTGAAATCTCCAGGGTAATTCAATCGTTTCCTTTTCCATCAATTCACGACCTGAGTAGGCAAGGGGCAATATTCTATCTGTACTGTCGAGATAAGCGAGAGCTTTGTAAGTAATAAAATTGTAAAAAGCAATTACCGACCAACAGCGAAACTGATTGAAGGAACAATACAGTGATTGGTTTGAAAGGCCTGGATTTCTGAGAAAAATTATGTACTGTAGGTGTCATTAAAAATAAAAATAAAACCTGTTTGTTTGGAGGTTGAAATGACTGTGAAAGCCACAAAGCTGCATTTTATATTTAAAAATGACAACAAAAAACAAACATGTTAGTCAATTTTTTCCCTTTTCTTCTAACATGAAGGGAAACATGTGAAAGTTGCAAATCAAAAGAAGTTTGGGTATTTTTGGAGTCAAACAGTATTCAATTGACTATGTGTCCTGTCAGTGGTAATAGTAAGATGAATTCAGGATTCAATATGGGTTCCACAGTGAAGCAGGGCTAAATTAAACCAAATTGCATGTAATGGCTCAATTTGCTGCAGTGAAATCTGAGCACTATTCACCCCACTCAGCATCCACAGGATACAAAGGTATAGGGACAGAAAGTGGAAAATAGGTGGGAGCAGGGTGTTTGAAACGCAGTCTGTTTCCTCTTTGAATCGGCTACTCGTACACTTTGCACACACATACACACATCATGAGGTTCACAAAAGCGTTCACATTTTGAACTCTTCCTCGTCACCATGCCTGTCGTTCCACTACTGTCCTGTTGTTAAATCTGATGACTAGATCCCTCCTGTGTCGCCAATTCAAAACAACATTTTCTGTATATTTCTCCCCAGTTGCCATAGATTAGAGAAGTGTCAGCTTTAGAGGCATAAACACGTTTTTTTTTTTCTCCCCCCATATCATATTCATCATTTCCAATTTAATGCATGGGCGTAGTAATCAGTATGCCAGCAGCTCCCCTGCTGTCACAGCTCTGAGGAAGCCTTCTGCAACGTTTTCATGACGAGCGAAGAAGCAAAACAAAGCAACAACTACTCTCTTTTAAAAGAATGGAGCTGTCAGAAGTTAGCTTGGAGGAAAAGACCTGAATGTAATCCAGGGGGAGCAGTTCACTGACTCATCCATTCTTCAGACTCAAGCGCCTTCAGTTGGACATTTTGTGGGAGTTTAAACATGACCACACTTGTGATCTCTGTTTTCCTAGGGCCAAGTTCAGAGCACTCATACTGCGTCTTTATCTCAGAGGGGATACAGTCCGTACCACTTTCAAGCCATGGGAACGTTTATCCGGGGTTAAAAAAAAGAAAAACTCAAAGTTGAAGGTTTTGACATCAGACTTGCAGCCTTTCCAAAGAGAATGTGCCACTTTTTACTCCTTTGCTTGGTGCTACAGCTTGTTCTGAGTTTTGGTAATGAAGACAAATAAAAGACGTGGTCCAAAGGCTTTCCATGGAAATGTAATGCACTGCAGTTTCCGTCCCTCCTTTGAGACAGCCTGTGTTTTTTTTTTTCCTCCTGTGGTGCCTCAGTGTGACAATGGTACCCAATGCCTACAGGAAGCATAACAGACTATTGACTCTTGGTTGTAATTAAATGCATCAGTCAGTCTGTCCCTGACACAACAATGGAGGGTGAATGAATCGCCATCAACAAAAAGAGGCAGTGGACAAAAGTTGGAGCTAGACACTACCTGGGATTTCATTTTCTTAGAGGATCTTTACATCGTCATTTGTTTGTTCTGGTCCAGAGCATTTAGATATTGTAATGAACCTAAAACCAATTCTCACTTTCTTCTTCAAAATAAAAGGTGGTTTGTTTGGTGAAATCTTTGGGGCCAAAACAGACAGCAGTTATTTTGCATGGATTGCAGATGCTGCCGTTACAAACGTGTGCACAACCTACATGCAAGTACACTCTCTCTCTCTCTCTCTCTCTCTCTCTCTCTCTCTCACATAAGTTCGCTCAACACCTTCACTAAGTGCTTTTTTCAGCAGCCATAGCTACCTTTAAACCCATGCTCTGGACACAGCTGCCTCATCCAGCAGAGAGTCATCTCTGCATGAAAAAAATGCTCTAAAAGTAAATTGTAATGTTAAAATCTGTCTCCAATATGGCCTTCAAAAGTTACTGAATTTTTTATTCATTCTCAGCCAGAAGCTCAGGCCTCTGATGAAACCTTTCAAGCAGCCTCAGGAGCAGACGGTTTAGGAAAACAGGGTTCCCAATTACTCATCACATAAAGCACGCCATGTGAAGAGAAAAAAAAACAGGGAAATATAAAAGTAAATGGAAAACAGTCCAGACTGTCTCTCTTTGACTCATAAAGGCCAACACAGGGCTGCCTGCCTTACAGTTCACTTGCACAGAGATCACTGTTAGCTACTGGTCAATTTCTTGACTTAGAGTTGACCTATAAATTCCCTTTGGGTTTAGGCGGAGGGTGGTGAGAAAAGTCATCACAGCTTTGCTTCCAGCATCACTCCGGCCAGCTGCAGTGTCAGGTGAAATATTTCCCTTAAATATGGAAAATGATCAAGAAACCATGTGAAGTTATAAAAGCATGTTGGAGTTGGAATTAGATACAGTCATTGTCTTCACATGGTTCCATTTTTTTTCTTGCCTCCTGCAGGTAAGAGCCTTTCCACTGGAGATGTTTCTTGAATGTGTTTCAGTGAATAAAATAATCTTTGAAGGCTTCTGCTCAAGGAACAATGGACGTCCTCCGTAGGCAGGCGAAGAATGTGGTGCACTCCTCCTTCCCTCACTAAATCAAGGATGAATGCATGGCATGAAGGGGGTGAAAATGTTTGTAGGATAAGGGCAAGACAAGGTATGAAGGGCAGGGAAAAGAAGGAATGCAAAGAAAACAGACAGAAAAGTAAGGAAATCAAAAGATGATTAAGGGGAACAAAGAAGAAGTAATAATGAAAAGAATGAATATAATGATGAGGGGAATCACAAAGAAGAGAACACATAAGCATTAATGTAAAACCATCATCACTTTTACATGAATAAAAAATCATGTTCTAGCTTTTTTTTTTTAAAGAAGTTTAAACAAACCAAACGGAAGTCAAGTATGAGCAACAGATCAAAGGAACCACAGTAGGAAAAAAAAAATTTAATCACAGCTTTTTTTATCCTCAGGAAAACTTTGAAACTGGATGCTGAATGTGCGTCTTGTTGCTTCAGCAGTTTTGACACCTTGGAAGTGTGATTAGCTCAAGCTAGCCACAAGCTTATAACTTCATATACTTTCAGAGAAATGTGCATACAAGGATGCCTGTTACTTCAAGTGCTTTATGATTAGTCCATTTGACCTGGTTTTTCGTGAGACTTACCTCAGGAGGAAGCGGTTGCTATACGGCTGTGCACACTGTGCTGACTGTGAACTCTGTCTCATTGGCCATGATGTCAGTGGGCTGGATGTTGCGGTCATACATAGGGTTCTCGAACGTAGCTCGTCCATTGGTGTTTTCATGGCCCACGTAACCATTGAAGGGGACTTTGGGTCTTCTTCTAAAATGAAAAAATCAACAACATAATAAACTATGAGTTCACTTACACTAGGATCTGATAATACAGTTTATCAACCTAAGGCAGACATACTTGTCATCTTTATAGTTGAAACGTTTTGCGATCAATCAATCATTTTACTGTAACTTGACCCGTGGATTAGAAACAGATGAGGATTTGGCTTTACTTTGTGATGAAGGGAAAATCATATAAAGCAACACCCCACCATTTTTATGTGAAAGCTTAGTGTGCGAGACGATCTATCAAAGATGCCAACTCAGTCACATGTTTCAGTGCCAGTTTTCTAGGCAGTGGAATCATTCTTATCTAGAAAGTGCAGATGTTGACATGGCCTGAAGTCCGCATTCTAAACATCTAAATGTGTTGAATGCATCAAAATTATGTAAATGTATTCGTCAGGTGGAAGATAATTTATCTAAGTTGATTAAGCTTTTATTTAGAAATCAAAAAAGACTCTTATTAGAGAGATAACTTGCAGAGGTGAATTAAAGCTGTTTTAATGTTTATTATACATAATGACAATAATGAGAAGTGTAAAATATAGTATACAAATTGTGTGAACCTTACCTATGCTTGTAGAGGTACAGAGCGAAGCCTGCAATGATCATTGCTATAAAAGGCACTAGGATGGCTGCTGCCACTGAACTGCTGTTTGACGCAAAGTTGTAGCCGGGGTTGTCTTTGCTCGGATCTAAACTCTCTGCAGGAAAACAAAGAAGACAAGGAGATGTATTTATTTAAGCATCAAGAGTGCAACGTTACTTCAGCAGCAAACATTATAATCAAAGAAAAAGAAGGAGACTAATGAATTAAGAAAATAATCTAAATGATTGATTTCATCCTCTTCCAAGAATGTGTAATAATATAATACAAATAAAACAGGAAAAAGTGAAATCAAATGACTTGTTTGCTGAAGATATCTAAATAGTGAGCAAATATTAATTTTTATTGAATACTTAAAAAAAAAAAAATGTACCCCCTGGGAACGTCACATTTCTTTATTTTTACAATGACTCTTAATGACTGACACTAAAGGCCAAAAGCTATGAAGTCAGATTTATTACATTATTTATGAAGGTGTGCGTCTCAAAAACGGCTCCAGTGGAGGAGCAACAGCGCACCTGTTTGCCACAGAATGCCAAAAATCCTCCAATAAAGGACGACTGACAAACAGAAAAGGAATTCAATTAGTTGGCCCTGTGGTGTTTGCCAATCAACCCCCTGCTGCATGAGCGCAAGCACAGAAACAAACACACCAACACATCCACACAGGTGAAATGCAGTCGCCGCTATGACACTGCTGAGCTCAGAACAAAACACAGAATCCTAAACAAATTGAGTAGGATTGGTTCCAAGACGTCAAGCCCACCTCCAAGGTGCGCATGCCTTTTTTCTCATAGACACTTAGACACACATACACATGAATGCCCTGGCACCAGCCCCAGTCCTCTGTATTAATAAAGAGCTGTTTGCTCAATCAGTGTGAGCTGAGGCAGGATGGAGAGGGGGGGGGGGGGGAGAAGACTCTGCACCTGCTGTACAAGCATCTCGCTCATTACAGCAGATTTTCATATCCACTTTCACCATGTCCACAGAACCATCCCCGTGCATACATGTGCTTAATCTGTGTTAACACCTATTTCAAATCGGTCAGTTCCTCCTTCCTGCTCATATGTGATCTATTTTTATAACTACACTCCTGCTCTATAGTCTGTCTCACTGCCAGTATGAAAGCACATCCAATCTGGGCTCTGCTTTTAAAAATCGACTAAATTCATGTGAAACCTGTCATCAGAAACAGCATTAACATTAACAAACAGTAAGAAGCAGTGTCTCTTGTGTTAACTGCTTTAAATGTGTTTGCATGGATTCAATTTTCTGAGATCTGTGTCACAAATGGAGTAAGAAATACATTAAAAAAAATCTTCTTAGAACATATATCACAGTTGTTTTTTTTAATTTTACAATCCCACTTGGTTAAGTTTCAACTTGGATCATCCTTTTTCACTGCATTGGAACAGTGGGTGGCAGCAGTAAACTAGCATTGTGACCAGCCAAGTCAGTTCCAGCATCAATTTAAAATGCACCAATTAAAATGCACATCCACATCTGCAGAGAGAATCCTACTGATTCTACCTCCTTCCTCTACGTGTGCTTTATTTAGTTCACACAGAAGAGTGGGGAGTGTTTTCAGTTGCAATGCATCAAACCATGGGGGAAAAAAGCCCCCCCCCCAAAAAAAAAAAACATATCCAACAAACACATCTGCTTGACTGCAGCAGCAATTCACCTCCATAGAGAGTGGATGTACAGATTTGCTGTATACAAAATGAAACAAAAATCCCAGTGAGGAGCATCACATGGTTTTGTATTTCTAGGTCAGAAACATGAAGCAGAATAGATGGATGGAACTGCAGCCTTTTGAGAAAGAAAATAAAAATAAAATAAACAACTCTTTGAAGTAGCAGTAGCAGCAGAGCCGAAGCTGCTGCAGGAAACAAAGAATGACACACAGCAGAGAAAGGAGGATATTACTGTATCAAAACAAAGAGATGTGAGTTTACTTGATATGGCAATGACACCACAGGCATCAACACACTACCCACAAACTCCCAGAGGAAAGACTTTGTGAAGCTGTGTTGTGTGTGCATGTGCTTGACTATAATTCATGTTTGTGAACTGCGTTTGCCTCTCTATAGGGTTCTCAAAGCCACATTTACTGAAATTGTTTCAGATTTGTCAAAGTAAATAAATGATAAATTCAACACAGCAAATGCATGCTTTGAAAGCACTTGCTGTTAAGCTTAAGGATGCCGCACACATTGTAAGTGATAGATTTGATTTTATGATAGAAATCAAGACACATAAAAAAAAGACTGTCATCCCCCAAGGGAACATATGCTCACACTGGTTTCTATAACCGAGTGGTCAGCTCACTTACCCAGTCTCTGGAGACCAAATTGGCCAAAGCCTTTTCCTCTGACAAATCCCTGGTACACAAAGGAGTTGGATGAAGCGATATAGGACACCTAGAGAGAGAGAGAGAGAGAGAGAGAGAGAGAGACAGAGAGAGAGACAGAGAGGAACGGAAGACAGACACTTTATGTGTCACATCTAGGCTTTACAAAGGAGCGTATCATCAAAGTGTCAGCAGCTGGTGCACGCGGAAAATGAAATATCATGTCAAAGGAGCTGAGAGGCACTCTTATAGCTGACATTTAATGTGACGTTTTTCTGCTCAAGAGGACAAACATCAACACGCTCTGACACGCCACAAACACACTCACACACTCACACACGCAAGCATGTTACACAAGGGGGAAAAATTCACTGCATGTACGAAAACACCAGTGTGCTGTTGGGCTTGTGAACCATGCACGTGAAACCACATTCAGCAGCGCACACACTTAGACTGTGACCTGCTTTTTTAATTATATCTTGAGTACGTGAGCATTAGAGGTGTCTGGGGTTCGGGGATAATGTGGGAGAGGAGTGGAGGGGGTCTGTCGAGTCCTGATTACCAGGCAATGATTTAACTGACATTTTAATTAAAGAGAAAACTCTGGGTGGGCCTTCCATCTCCCCAGAGTGACAAGGTTAGCGTGTATGTGTGCTGAAGCATATTTCACAATAAAAGGTGTGTGTGTCTGTGATGTAACACCTTTGCAGTTACAAAGAGGGGTTCACATATTGGATCTGACCCTGGACTTGTACTTACATGTCCATCTAAGGCCCAGTTATCTATTTTGAACTTGTTGACAAAGATCTCCACAGGGCCTCTGATCTGGTGGACCTGAAGCAGCAGCTGAGCTTCCTCCCTTTTATAAGTGCCTACAAGAAGAAGAAAAAAAAGAGCGGCTTACAGTTAGTTTTTGGAACAGAGTCTGCATTGCTTGAAAAAGGATAAAACATTCATAACATACATACAAATAATAAAAATTCTACCATGAACAAAAACATAAATATTTTGTTCATTTATTACACAATAAACACAACGCTTCACTCAGTATAAATTATATATATATATATATATATATATATATATATATAATATATATTATATTATATATTATATATTATATATATATAAAAATAATAATATAAGCACCAATGTGGACAATTTCACCCGACACTGCCAAAAAAAAAAAACCTGCATCTGGTTGGTGCGGATTTCCAACCCTGAAAGACATGTGTGTTTCTGCTTTTTGAATTGTCTGTTCTACTGCCTGTGCACCAACCAGCTAGTTTGAGTTCCACTCCGCTGTGGTCGATGAGTGTCCCGTTAACCCGGTTGCTGAAGGGTTCAAAGGCAGTGATGCTTAGCATAGCCGGCTGCTTCTTCCCCAGGTACTCATAGGATCCCCTCCAGAGAGAGTTCTTAGCAAAGACACCACCTGGGACTGACAGAGACAAAGAGTGTGAACACAGGAGGCTAAGACAGCAGGGTTTAGTTTACTATACTGTGCTGGACTACTTTGCTTGTTAAATTATTCCCTCAAGCTGAACAGCAGGGGTTATTTCACAAACAGGGGTGTGAGTAAGCAGTTGTAAGGCTATAACACAAAAAATGATTTTCTAAGATGATACAAACAGTTAGTATGATACCAGAGAACCATACGTGAATACAAATAAAAGTAATCCTAAATTCATTTTTTCAGGACAGATTATATGTATTTTACTCTCATACACTTCGCGTTTTACTTTCAACTTTAGTAGTATTTGATGATCTTTTGTGTTACTCATTTGTACTGTAATTTTTTTTAGAAATCTGGTATTAGATTTTCCTTCAGGATTGATAAAGTTTTATTTTATGCTCAGAGTTCTATTGAGAACCATATTAGCAGTTAGCAATTGTAATTATAAATCACATTTCATCACAGGTAAGCTCAATGCTGTACATAGATGTTAAAGACATAGGAATACAATAATAAAAAATTGTTCCCAAAGTCATGAATAAGATACAGAAATCAAAATAAAAAAATCAAATCACACACACACACACACACACACACACACACACACACACACACACACACACACACACACACACACACACACACACACACACACACACACGCACACACACACACGCACACACACACACACACACACACACACACACACAGAGTAACTGTTTGTATGCTTGGGAGAGTAGATAGGTTTTGAGTTTAGCTTTAAAAGTAGAGACAGTAGTGATGGACCCTCAGGTAAGCAGGTAGTTCGCTTTAGAGAAAAGGATCACAGTAACTAAAGGCCCCCTCTCTGGCCTTTGATCTAATTCTGGGTATGACTAAAAGACCTTCACTTGATGACCTGAGGGCCGGGGTTGGGTCATAGTAAGTGAGCAGGTCAGAAATACACTGGTAGCTGAACCATTGAGTGCTTTACGCACTAATAAAATGATTTTGAAGGTAATTCTGTATTGCAATGGGAGCCACTAGAGTGCTTTGAGGACGGGAGTGATATGACAAATGTCCTTGTATGCTTTTGGACTCTGTACAAGAATCATAGTTTTTAATAGAAAACAACTATGTATCTGAAATACATTTCAGTTAGAACATCTTAAAATATAAGAAGGGCCTGTCTTACCTGGTAATTTGGAGGGTGGCTCTTGCACTGTCCCCACTGGGCTCTTACCACTTGGGCGGTTATCAGCTGAAGAAAAAAAAAAAAAACACAATTTACAAGTTTGTCCTGTAAACAGGTGAGGTGCAAGCCTTAGGAGGTGATAATAAAAAATACAATTTCCTCCTTTAACACAACAGCTCCGAGGTAATTGCCATGAGAGGATATCACCATCAGCTCTTCATGTCTACCTCCACAACTCACAACCCCTGCAGTCGCCTGAGTGAGAGCTGCCAGCGACAGGACTTGACTCATGCATCAAAGAGCAGCTCAGTTGTCCCCCGTGGGGGCTACGGCTATGTCAGAGACACAGCCGCTCTGCTTCAGGGAGAACACTTTAATAATGCCTTACTGCTCACACGGGGCCTCAGGACCACGCCACAGTAGTAAACATACACCCACACAGGCAAACAGAGCAAGGAGGGCCTTACACAAAAATACAAACAAAGACAGGTATACTGATGGTAGTTTATGGGCACAGACATCACCTCGTATAAATGTATACAGACACAAGCAAACACATGCACACACACTCCCACAGCCCTGCACTATATTAGCTGCCAGTCTTTTGAGCCGCCCTTCCATCCCTGCACCCACAGGTGCTGTTAATATCCTGTTCTCTCTCTTTCCTTCACTCTTAATGACACAGCTGTTAAAATACCCATCACCCTCGATATTTTAGCAGCGGCTGGGCATGGAATACATCAAACGGATATCTCTCTTTAGTCATTCTTCTCTCGTTAACCCATTAGCATTCATCTATCCTAGATAATTGTGAGTCGATGACTCTATTTTTTCCCTGTATGTATTTAGACCAATGCTTGGGGGTGTCTTAATGGCAGTCTATTTGTCTGCAAGACCTTGTTAACACTGCCTCACCATTTATAAGAGATACTTCTGCTAACCTAATCAATGGGAAGCATTGGCCTAATCAGGTTTTGCACGCTCGTTAATGTTTCCGAGCTTGTGTGTCTGCATGTGTGCGTGTGTGATTCCATGCACTGTTATTGTGTGATGGATGGGCCATTCAAGCCTGGCATGTGCCTTAGAATAAGCAAGCGTTAACAGAACTGTTTATCAACATTAGCTGATTCCCCAATTTCCCAACCTGAGTCACCACTGAATCATGCACCATTACAAAGCCCAGTTGATTCAATAAACACTAGTAATGGAAACAGCACATTATTTATTTGAGTAGATTTTTCCTAAAGTGTTCTAAACATCTACGCACTTGCCTTGGAAAGTGGTTGGTCATGCGCTTACATCTGTAGTGTCTAACATTTTCTTAATGTCTATGTGTGTGTTTGTGCCTTTGCATTTTTTTTCACATGATGTATTTCCCTACATCCCATTATAGATGTAATGCAACCATATTTATACCTGCACAGAGAGGTTGTTTCCCAGTCCAGCTCCCATCAGACCTGCATGTCCTGTGCTCTGATCCTCCCGCCAAGTAGAAGCCAGGCTGACATGTATAGATCAGCGTGTAGCCAAGGGATGGCAGTTCAATGGCTCTCACATCAGACTGGGCTGGCAGCTCTGGTTGGCTGCAATGGTGGGCTGGACAAAGAGAGGAACAGAAAAGATTAAAGACACCAAAGAAGAAGCGGGTTGGAGGAGACACAGGTCAGATGGAGGAGATGAATCTGCAGAGGGAGCAGAGGAGAAAATTCTAAAGAAAAAATGTACCACCAAAAAGTTGAAAAGAATCAAGGAAGATCATATGTAGACAACAGTGTAGGCATCGTACTTTGAGGAATTGCAACATTTGCATTCACTTCTGAACCCTAGGTTATGTTTCCCACTTTACTATGCATATTCATACTTAAACATACCTTGCTATAGATATTTGTTCTTTAACACAAGAAGTCTGAGTACTTACCAATGCACTCAGGCTGAAAACCACTCCAAGTAAGGTTGGGGAGACAAGTGCGAGAAATCGAGCCCTGGAGTAAATAGCCCTTTCTGCAGCTGAAGAACACAGTGCTGCTGATCTGTCGGGACACACATACAAGAGCATGATGAGCACACACATCTGACATAACAGAAAGAATATTCAGAAGGGACAGTCTAATCATTTGCAATTGTTACACTCGATTGCTTAAATTCTTACTTGATAGCCTTGGCTGTTGTTTTGATTTCCAAAGAGAGGAATGCCAGGGTCTCCACAAGTAGTGTGAGTGGGATCTGAAACACATACACATCCTTTATGTGATTTATACTCTTAAGTTGAAGCAAGCTCCACTTACATGTCACCAACAACAAAATGAATTATCACCTTGGAGACATTGTATGGAAATTACTTTTTCACAGATCTGGATTGTATTTCTGACTGTTGAATAACTACGTGCAGACAAACATACACACAAACAAACGCTTGTATGCACAGTACACATACAGTATGTGAGCCAGCATACAACAACCGAAACAAATCCCACAAAGTCTTTCATTGGTTATCTGAATCCACTCTCTATCCCCGCTGAGGGGAGATTATAACACAATGATACACCCTCTGGACTCACCAGTCCACACACCCTGTCAACCAGATGACAGACAGACAGACATTTAGTAAAAATGTGTTTCTTGTATTCTTCTTATACCAACAACTGTTATTTTACAACTTAATTTTACATTCTAACTGCTGTTGCTCATGTTTTGCTCATATTGGCTTTGGTTTAAGACAAACAAGGAGCCTTCTTTAGATTGAATTCTATTTACGGCCAACAGCACAGATTAACCAGCTTCATTATATCCTAAGGTCCTACGACATGCCCAAACGTGGTGCAGTGGATCTCAAACTTCACAGTTTGGATTGGATTGGATCACATACTTTTGTCAGGATGGGATTGTTTTTCAGGTTGGCCAAATAGAAGTATATATAACTAAATTTCCAATAATAACAAAAGAAGCAGTAAGATAAACCTAAACGCCCCTTTTTATTTGGAAAGTGCTTTATAAAATCTGAGTACAACAGACTGTTGTATAAAATTCTGCATCATTTCAATAACAGCATTTGAAATCAATTATCAGGGACATCAATTTTAAAAAACAAAACAATTCAATATTTCTTCTCAAACTAGCTGTAATCTACAAAAAATAATTATCACATGAACTTCTACAATGTTAAACAGGTAGCATACACACACCAATCATTTAACAGATGTGAGTGAACAGGCCGCTCCTACAGCGCTTGTTTTTGGATGGAACACAGTATGATTTATTTTTTTTAAGATTTACTTTTGGGCACTTTGTGCCTTAAAAGGAGAGACAGGACAGTGGATCGAGCTGGAAATCAGGGAAAGAGAGTGTGGGGAATGACATGCGGGAAAGGAGCCACAGGTGGGATACAAACCTGGGCCGCCCGCTTGGAGGACCACAGCCTCCATACCTGGGGCGCGCGCTCTAACCAGTGCACCATCAGCGCCCCCGGAACACAGTATTTGATTTGGGTAAATTTACAGCGACAAAAACTACAACATGCTGTAACGTTACTAACATGAAGTTTCTGATTGATATTATACACAGCCACCAGCTGATACCTGCATTATTAATACAGACATGATGAGAACTAATGAAACAAAACAACCATACCAACGAAATATCAAGGCTTAATGACCCCATCATGTGTGAAAGACGATTTCCCTCCCCCCAAAAAAATAAGTTTGAAAAGGCTGACTTGTCTTCCCATTTGTACAGCAGACCTTCATGGTACCTGCTACTTAAACTGCCTTGTTCTCTTTGAGAATCCGAACAGGGATTTGGCGGCTTTTATAAATACATTTATTTCACATAATGCTGATAACTTTTCCATCAATCCGCAGATAACATGCAATTCGTACAACTAGGGGTGATCCAACTGTAATGAAATGTACTAAAATGTTCAGTATTTTGGGTGGTATGGTTGGGGAATCAGGAAGTTTCAAAACTTAGACAGGATAGATGGGATCTGATGTTACAAAGCACAGCTTGCCTGTTGATATTCTGGTAAAACAGGCAGTCTGCAGTCTGGCATTGCCAGACCTAAAGTTTCTCCATATTGTGTCCACAACGATTTGACTGAACCTGGGGCTACGCGCTTCAATAGGTGAAAAACAGATGTCCTGGGCTGCTTTAATTAATTAAAGAAATCAAATTGAAAAACAAAATCAATGAAGCTTGTTGGCTGGGTCAAATGGTTTTTGCATGCATTATTTGTTGAATGCAGAGGGTCAACAGGACTCACAAGAAAAACAATACTGAAGCAAAATGCAAGCCAGCCAATACAAAGCTTAACTAAGACCATTTTTTGCCAAGAACCACCTTACCGCGACCTGTATGCCATTGCTTTGATTATTACATCAAGTACTGAAGTCAAACTGATTGAACGTTACTCTATACTGAGTAACAAACAGTTAGCTTACCAATGCAAGAGGGCTGTGTGCCACTCCAGGTGCCATCGTACTGACAATATCTTCTGGTAGAGCCCACCAGGATGAGGGGAGAGTAGCAGGAGAAGGACACAGAGGAGAGATAAGTGAATCCCCGATCCTCCCTCCTCCCCTGGGCTGGCATACCGGGGTCTCCACAGAACACCGCTGCACAGATAAGACAGACGGAGGAAAGAAAGAACCAGGGAAATTTGAGGTGACACACTAATGAAGTTGTGGTTTTGAAATGTCACACAAGGGGACATAGACACTGTACATGTGTGAAGGAAATGTCAGCAGAATACCAATGACGTGTAATGTAATTAGTCATTCCAGTGTGGTGCCACTTACGGAAGCACTGGGGTTTCTCTCCGCTCCAGTTGCCGTTGCCCTGGCATGTTAACACAGTGGGAAGGGACAGCTGGTAACCTTGGTTACAAGAGTAGCTGATGCTAGAGCCCCAGGTGAAGTCTGTACCGACAACCTGTCCTTGAGGGATGGTAGGTGGTGGACCACACACGATCGCTACAAGGAGACAACAAGGCAGGAACTCATGGTCTATACATTTTGGTTTAAACGATAAGATAAGTTACATTTTTTGCTTAAAGTATTGCAGTGATGTAAGGTAACTACGTTTGTAACAACAACAGGTCCTCCATTATCACTTATTATTTTCCTCTACCATCATTTGGATCTAGCTTTAAATTGCTTTGGCATTCATGTTATCCTTAACAACTTTACCTTTGCAGTGAGGTTTGGTGCCATTCCAGGTGCGGTCCTTGGTGCAGATAAGAGTGGAGGCTCGGTCAGCATCCATGTTGAAACCAGGAGCACACTGGAAACTGACTGTGCAGTTGTAGTTGAAATCATTGCCCAGCCTCAGCCCATTAGCTGGTACTCCAGGGTCAGCACAGTTGATTACTGGAGTACGAAAAAAAGGATAAAAAGCACTATGAAAAAAAGGATAAAAAGCACTATGAAAAAAAGGATTAAAAAACACAACAAAAACTAATGTCTTATTTTATTCAACACACAGAGTTGAACCCAAGGACAGAGATGCAGAGGCTATTTGTTTGGGTAAAAGGAGAAGAAAAAAATCAAAGGAAAAGTTCATACAGTTCACATGTGCATCATCTCCAAGTCATGAGAGTCGATGTTTCAATTTGTTTTGTATTTAATTGTACTCTATAAGGCAGGCGATCAATGTCACATACTTGATGAAAGATGAAATTCAAGCAAGTAAAACAAACTTTTTAAAATTGTACAATCAACAAAGCCTCAGAGTAAATGAGCAGTTTACCTTGTAAAAACAACTTAACTGTCTGAAAAGCTACATAGTAGGTGTGCACCTTTGGTAAGAGGCAGGCGATTCATTAATAGAAAACCAGTTTTAGATGATGTATCAAACAGTAAATGTAAAAAAAAATCACTTTCTATGGAGCTGACTCTTCAACAGCATCAATTGTTGTCTCTGAACGAACTGTCCTTTGATTGTCTCCAGTTCAGAGCTTTGAATTACACAAAGACTAAACCTTGTGATAAATCTTGTACAGTAGCTCCCTAAAGCTCCACAATGGATGACATTTCTCCTTGATTATACTTTAAGTCCTGCGGGGGGGGGGGGGGGGGGGCAGTGTGAGTGAGTAACAACAGAGGTAATTCCACTGTGTGACTCAGCAGCTTCATAGCTCAACACTGCTGAAACGTGTGAGATGGAAAAAAAAAAAAAAAAAAAAGGGCACAGAAAGACAAGTTGCGCTGTTCCAGTTGCCTTGGGACCAAAAAAAAAAAAAAGAATTATTGAATTCATATGACCAACATTCCAGTGAAACTCCCACTAGGGCAAGGTAACAGGAAGTGTAGTGTCTCCCCCTTGACTGAGCAAGCACTTACATTTCCCACTGGGCTGTTAAGACTGTGCCGCCTGGCGCTACAATGTCTATCTAGGAATTTGTGTCATGAAAAAACAACCTAAAGAGCAGAGATGCAGTGACATAATTCCTCCTATTGCATACCATTGTTCTGTGATAGTCAAAGGCTAACAGTCTATTTTTCCTACAATATCATAAACATTGGATCATGATAATGTATGAAAATATAATGTCTGGGTTGGTGTACGTTTCAACTATATTGGGTATACACTACAAAAATCTCACTATTAGGTCCATTTAGCAGTAAGCCTTTAATAGAACGGGGAGAAAAATCATCAGGAGGGCTCCAATTCACACATTCATGGAATTATAAAGGTCTTTTAGCGACATTTGTTGTCAACATTTACCCTTTCACTACTATGGATTACATAGTCTTGGAACCCTTTTGGGGCTGCTTAGGGTTTTTATCCTCTCTATTCAAAAGAAACTCGTTCTCTTGGTGACCTCTATTTGCCAGGGTCTCTCAGCTGTGAAAAGCAGCTGTGTGGCTTTTGTGAGGCATCATGATAAAGGGATGTTTTTTTCAGTGGAACATGCCTTCTACAAATGTCCTTCTATACAGCCAGGGATCAGTCATGTATGAGAAGAAAAAAAAAAGTAAAATCTAGCATAACAATATATATGCATTACCTCCATGGACCCCTGTATTTTCTCCTATTCTAAGAAATTTCTTGCATTATATAACTGTTAAATAAATGTTACTCTATAGAGCCTAGTTGTGTGTTGTGCTTTTGTCAATACTTTTTCCTAAGTTGTTAAATGTAAACTGATGTTCCAGTCCAAATAAACACCACTGGCCTCTCCCTGTGAGAGACTTTAATTACCAGAGCACTCAGGCATGTTGCCTGTCCAGGTTCCGTTAACAGTGCAGTGTCGGGTGAGCAGTCCAGTGGAGTAGTAGCCCTCCCTGCAAGTGTAGGTAATGGATCTGGAAAATGTTAGGCCATCGTGGATCAAGATCTGGGCGTTCCTCGGGGTTCCCGGGTTTCCACAAGAGATCACTGAGAAACAAAGAGAGCACAGCAGACAAGGATTCAGTATTATTAATTTACAGACTGATCCACAGTCACCATGGGAGTACGTGTTGGATAGTAATGTGTGTCTAGGGTAGATCAGAGAGAAGAGTAATGGTCAAAGGGTTATGTTTCGACGAGCTAAGTGCAGATTCAGTCTGAATTAGAGTTTTTAAATTTAAATATATATTTTTTTAATTCTAAATGTCCAACTACCACCCTAAATGCCTGTAATGTTTCTCTTTTTTGTTTGGTCAATTTGGTGGTAAATACAAGTTTTTAAACTCATTATTTTCTTGAAAGTTGATCAGTTATAATCAACCACCCGACATAATTGTGGGGGATTGCATTTTGTGTTTTCCATGTATCATAGCAAGTATATTTTTCTGAAAATAAATCCTTACACCGACTGTAATACAATGTATTTATAAAATACAGTACGTCTATTCTGTAAAGTCAACTTAATGCTGTTTTCTTGTCTGTGTCATGCCTTCTGTTCTCCTTTTTGTGTCTGGTTTGTTGTTCCTTTACTTCTGGTTTTCATCCACCCACACAACTTCCCCACTCATCATCTTCTCCTACGTCCTACTTCATTAAGTTACTTTGATGGACATATCCTTTGCTCAGAAATCCCCTAGGTGTCTGCCGGCCGGCAGCACTGCTTCTGTTCATTACAGTCTCCAGCTTGCCCGGGGCCCTTAGAGCCCTGTGGGCTTCACCCTCCCCTAATGACCAGATGTGGCCTGGCCCTTGAAGTCTGTGCCAACAGAGAACAGGTGGGCAACCTCAGCTAGTGGGCATACCATACACCAGAAAGGGAATAAGACATCGTGAGGCAAGGTACAGAGGTGGTGTGTGTGAGTGCAGAGGGGGAGTTACGCATAAAAAAGCACAGTTGAACACAGCTTGAGAAACAGGATGGAAATTCTGCAAACAACACACTGTGTAAAAAAGATAAGAAGAAAAGGGTCGTGCGCTCATGGAGAGTAAGAAACCGGCAGGGGAAATACAGTGTAACTACAGACAGAACTTGCCAACTTGGTGGTGGATAAGTGCAGCTGAAAGTTTATGCCTGATTATTGTGATTCTAATGTTTCAGGGGGACAAGTAAAAACCTTTGAACAGAACTGAAAGCAGATCACGCACTTTCAAATGTAAGGTTAAAGCGCAGACAAAATGAATCAATTCTAATATATGAAATTACTAGCGTTACGTAAAACCCAATAACAACTGACGCTGATGTTAAACAGATGCAACAGACTACATCCATGTTGGTAATTTTATGGATATTATCAAAACTGTTCAAACTGAAGTGTTTTTAAAATATCACCACTTGAGATCATCTTTAGCAGGCTCATTCAATTTTACTTTTGCTGTGGCATGCAAGATGTTTGAAAGCACTCTGCACTCTGTTTTTTTTTTTATTGTTTTTAATGTCTTAGTCTTGTCTCAGCATTAATAAGGAACAGTGGAGGGCCTTAAGACCTATATTGATTGGATGCACGGACTACTACACATTCAGGGAATCTGCTTTTTCAGGTGTTGGCAGCAGAAAGAATGAGTGCTGCAGAAGGCAAAAAATTGAAAGCCTTATGGAGTTGAATCAACAGATAATGTCACCCATTCTCTCTTGCTCATTCACTGTTAAACATATTTGCAAACACATGCAAATTGGTGATATTTCTTTCATTCAGTTTGTGAAGGCAGCAGCTAATTGCAAAATTAGTGACTGCTTCATCAGTATAAGCCACAATCTTTGTACTGAAGGAAAGCTTACTACGGCAATTCAGAGGGGGATTTGTTGAGATCAGTTTGCTTTGACAAGACATCAAAATTGAGAAATGATGAAAGATAAATTTCCATTAGCAAAAAGTGGTTATACTCTCTAAAACAGTCATTAAGGCTACTATTTGCTCAAATTGAAGGGGATTATTTGGTTCTTTAACACCGCTGCAAATACAATTCAAATCCAAGCTAAAACAAGTTTGTTAAACTAAAGGAGAGGCAGTGATTACAAAAACTTTGGAGGAGAGAAGGAAATAAAAACAATGCTTGGAAGAAAACAAGTTATCAACGTGAATATGGTCATAAACTCGTGTGTCATTTATGCTTAAGTGCATGAGAAGTTCAGTGAACAATTTCAAATTCAGTTACACAGCCATAACTCTCCAGCTGGCCTGTCATATTGTTACATGATGGTCTAATACTGTTTATTCATCATTGCTCCCGCAGAAGTCCATCAAACCATTCATCCATTCATTTCCCACCAGTTATTCTGATTCAGGCTGCAGTGCCGACAAAGTAATCAGTTATCAAAACATTATTTTCTCCAGTGATGTCCTTTAGCTCATCTTAAGGTATACCAACGGGTTTCCCAGGCCAGATGGGATTTCTTATCCCTCCATGGTCTTCTAGGTCTGCTCCAGGGTCTTCAGTTGGATGTGTCTAGAATACTTATACGATTCCTGAATTACCTCAACTGACTGCTTTCAATGCAGAAGAGCATTGCTCTTTCTTGATATCTCAGCCCCTTCACTTTGATCCCGAAGAGTTTTTCTGAAGTTCAGCTACTTCTTCAGCACACAGTGATGGAAGTCAACGTAATCTACCTATTGATCTTATCCAACCCTCAGCTCAGACCCCAACATTCATAAGTGGGGAAAATAAATCAAAAAATAGAACTGCTGACACCACATAGGGTTTAAGGAGTATAACACCTATAGTACAGTAAACATACTTGGCCTTATAGGCAGGAGAAATAACCTTTGTGCTGTCAACCAATGATCACTCTAATATCAGTGTAAAGAATAAGAGATGGGGAGACAAAACTACGTTGGTTCCTAAGAATCTCCTCTCTCATGCAAGCTTTTTAATCTTGCAATCTTTTAGAGAAGTGCAACCTTGTTATAAAAGATTATGTGTGAGCGTTCCCTCCAACCAGTCCACATAATTCAGATATAGAACATCTCACACAGTCGATGCATATATTCCTTACCATGACACTCAGGTTGGGTGCCGAGCCAGGTCCCATTGGAAAAGCAAGTTCGCTCGGCTGAACCCTTCAGCATATAACCAGGCTCACAGCTGAAGCGGACAACACTGTTGACTGTGAACTCTTCTCCCAGACGGATACCATGTACAGGAACACCTGGATCTCCACACAGTCCGACTGATTCACCTGGAAAAGAGATAATTACAAAAAAATTAACATCTGTGACAAAATGATACTCATTAATTGACATTATAAGCATGCATGAGAGTTGTATTCTCCACATGAAAGATGTTTTTACTCACTCCGACCACTGTCATCTGGCAGGAAACCAATTTCGACTAGCTTCCTTTTTACATGACATTGCGTTAAATCTATTTACTTTACAGGCGGAAAAATGTGACATAGGATGTGATTTGTTTTCATTTGGCAAACATATATACTGGAACTTGTGTCCATATTAAAAATATAAACCCAAATTGTTCCTTGCTGCTGTTTACTGCTCTTATTCGACATTGGACAAGGTGGTTGTCAACATCACTTTTCAGAAAGTCAGGAATATCCATTATTCAGCAGGTGGCCTATTTTGTCATGTTACTAGATGATCACATCGTGTTCATTCATCACTGCTCAAGCAAGTCCATCAAACTATCCATCCATTCATTTCTCACCAGTTCACCAGGTTTAGATTTTAGAGCTAGCTATTTAATCACTAGTCAAATCACCCCCACCCTCATTCACCTCCACTGGCTCCCGATCAAGTCCCGCATTCAACATAAACTCCTCCTACTCACCTACAAATCTCTCCATGGTCTAGCACCACCGTACCTCACCGACCTCCTCCATCCCTACACCCCGTCCCGACAGCTGCGGTCTTCAGCCACAGGCCTGCTACCCACCCCCCACATCAAACTGCGATCTTTTGGTGACAGAGCCTTCAGTGCCTCAGCCCCCCACACCCTCTGGAACTCTCTCCCCGCCGAAATCTGCACTGCTGCATCTCTAGTCATTTTTAAAAACCTCCTCAAACACCACCTGTTCACCAAAGCATTCAGTCTCATCTAACACTCCCCCCCAGCTGATCACCCACTTCCTTTGTCCTTCATTTGTTTGTCTCTTGTTGTCTCCCATTATGCCCCCCCCCGCCCCACACACACTTTGTAAAGCCTCCTTGGGTTTCATGAAAGGCGCTATATAAATCTAAGTTATTATTATTATTATCACTAGTCCACACATTGTTTTACTCAAGTGATGTCGTCCAGCTCCTCATAAGGAACACCAAGGTGTTCCCAGGACAGATGGGATTTCTAATCCCTCCATGGCCTTAAGGTCTGCTCCAGAATTTCCAGTTGGATGTGTCCAGAATACTTCCACAGTACTTAAAGGAACACATCCTTATATGATTCCTGATTTACCTCAACTGACTGCTTTCAATGCAGAAGAGCAGCTGTCCTATACCAAGCCCTTTCTTGATATTCAAGCTGTTCACTAAGTCCCTGAAGGGTTTCACTCTCTGTCAGCTCAAGGCTACAGGAGAGACTGGAGACCTAAAATAACCGTTAATCTGGGAGCATTAAGAGCACTAAGGGGTCAGCTCCCCCTTCAACTCAATATTGTAGATGCCATATGAATCAACCTATTGATCTCACATTACCTTCAAATTAACAGACCCCAAAACATATCTAGATGTAATGAAAATATCATTAGATCGTACAGTTTGGTAATTCTTTCGAAAAACTAGTGTTCATCAATGTCACTTTAAAATGTCAGCATACTATTTGTTTTCTGCCCGGTTGTCGGTGTGGCCTGATGTGTGCTGTAGGTTGTGAGTTTCTGTCACCGTCTAATTGTGTCTTTGTGACATCTTATGGTATTTTCTTTGTATTTTGGCCATCTAAATGTGCATTTCTTGAAACCATCATTCTGAAACCACATTCCTCAAGTGTATTAGGAATATGAGGGCTCTGAAGCAAATCCCTGTAAGCGGAAAGAGTATGGGGGCCTATATCTTCATAAACCAGTGGAGGGGCAGGCGCCTCCGTTTTTCAGCCTGTTATGAGCGGATTAAAGCAGTTTTATGGAGGACACTCTTTTTGCCCTTGAGGCCTCTGGAGCTGGCAGACAGCTCCATCTTTGTTCCATCTACTTTAATTATTACCTGCTAACAGCTGCCACCCAAACTTTATTTGTCGGCCTTGCATTATGAGGGTGACTGGGTGTTGATAATAATATCAGAAAGCAGATAGCTTCAAAAAGGCTAAGAACGCTGCACCAACAACTACAATGATTGGCTGAACTAAACAGTTATTTTCAGTTGAACCGTTCTAAATCCTCAGTAAATCTGGGTTTCCATACCGGAGCAGTGTGGTGGCGAGCTGCTCCACTGGCCATCCAGCTGGCACATTCTCGTTGTGTTGCCGATGACAGTACGCTGGCCGATGCAGCTGTAGCGGATAACTGAGCCTACTGTCCGACGGTCTCCTGAGATCTGGGCGTAGGGAGGCATGCTTGGGCGGTCACACAGCACCACTGTCCAATCAGAGCACAAGATGAGAGAGGGAGACAAATGAACATGTGAAATCACCCAATGGCTACTAGTACTAGAGAAGGTTTAAACATCCATCAGTAGTTACTTACTGAAAGTAGCCAATTAATCAAAGTGTTAACTGTTGAGTGACGTTGGATTTGTACTTTTTTTTTTACTTCTCAGCTAATTGGTAGACCTAGTTCCATCCGAATGCTTCATTACTTTTTCACACTGAGCCTGGTTAGATTTTAAAAGCAAAATCAGATTTCCTACTTTGAATGGAAGCAAACCAAGAAGTGCTGCTAAATGGTTAAGTTGGTGAAAAGATTAACCACTTAAGGATCATCATTTATGTCATTGTGATGGGGAAAGGGCTTAACATTTGCATTTTCTCTTTCCTAAATATGGATAATTTCCTACTTTTCTTAATTCGACATATTTTTTCTTGTTAGTCTTTCAGCCTTAGAATGTTAGTTGAATTAAAGCAGTTTTAATCATGCAGCAGCAATTACCCCCGAGCCCATGCGGTACTCACACAGACACTTTGGCAGGGAGCGATCCCAGGTACCGTCCCCCTGACAAGAGATGGAGCTGGTTCCCAGCAGGTAGTAGCCCGGGTTACAGCTGTACGACACAGTTGTCTGGAAGCTGTAGCGATGCGGCCCACTGGGCAGTATCTGCCTAATGCTGTTGTCTACATGGCCTGGCTCTGTGCAGTTCACAACTGGAGAAATAGATGACGACAGCACAGGATTAGGAGACAAAGAAACAAGGACATTTTGTGTTTTAAGTAAAGGGTCAATTGAACACATATTTTTAAACTTGAATTTCTCAATTATTGTGAGAATTGTTTTATTTGATATGGTATGAAATGATATTCAAAACTGCCCACATTATATTTACGTTTTTTTTTCTTTCATTATGAAAATAAAGGGTATAATTTCATACAGACATGAGACTCTCTCTTACACACTGAGAACATGAAAATTAGTTTTTGTTTCTACTCTCTCTGTCTTATCGCTTCACAATCCACATGTTCCAGCCATCCAGAGTTTATCCATCTATCCACCCCAATCCAAATGAAGTAGGAGGCGGACTCCGGAAATAAACATTTGCTTCATTAGAGCCAGTCTCCTGCTGGCCGCTGTGGTGCAGAGATGGTGATAGATGGGGAGCTCACAGGAGAAGAGGCACCATGTCAGTTAAGCAGCAGATGGAGGGAGTTAGGGAAGGGGAGAATGAGGGATGAGTGAGGAACGAGGGACGGCGAGGGGGGGTGCTGTACAGAGTTAGAGAGGAAGAAGCCCTGATGGTGCAGAATATATTAAAATTCATGACAGAATGTCAGGCTACGAATGTAACCAGCAGAGATCCATCTTGAGTGTCTCAGATACAAGACACCTTACACTGCCTCAACAGAGTCGGAGAACAGTGAGTAACACTTGCATTCTATTATGTTCTGTGAACCACAACTAAATGTGTACTATGATGCCAAAACTGCAATGGCTTCTAAAACACTGTGTGGGAGTGCCCATGCAGCCTTAATGCCTCAGTTTGCCTTGCCAGTCTTGCCCGATGATCATGCCTTTACCACTGCCAAAATGAACCCATTGTATGCTAATGCACGTAAAAGCTTTCTCATTTCCATGCTCCCAAGCTGGCCAGCACATCTAAATCATCCCCAAAATACCTATTATAATGTATTTCTTCCAGTGGAGCCCTGACCTGTGGTGCCATCATTTACAACTTACCGCATAATAACACTACAAAGCGCATTTGAATCATTGGAGCCGCTTCAGCGCAAGACTTTCCAAGCTTGGAATTCAGCTTTGAAAAGAATGTGCTCGGGCAACGAGGGGCTCAAAAGTGATCCAGCAGTCATCTAAAACGTTCGACCTCCTGGTACATTTTTTTGTGTGCTGCCCAGTGGGCAGCGAGAGAGGAAGCACAAGGATGAAAGAAAAAAAAAAAAAAAAGAATAAACGTGAAAGGGGAAGAAGGGCCGAGGTAATTCATCTCTGTTCCACTCAAAAGTGTGGACCATGGTCGACCTATCCTCCTACTGGACTACTGCCAAGTTACAGCACAGTAAGTGGTGTGTCTGAGTGTGTTTTTTTTCTACTACCGTGTGGCTCTTGCTTTTTATTGCTGAACAACAAATAAACACACGAGTCATCCAAAGAAGGCGGTGTTGTGGCTCCGTGTCTGTGACTCAAAGTGGTGTTGATTAGAGAGGGATAGGAGACTGGCCAGGCTGACAGTGCTTTCCTGCTCGCCGCATTATTGATGGAAGCAACACAGTCTTAGTTAAACTGGACTGGGGAAATCGTTACCTTTGTCCTACTCAACCCCCTCTGTTTTCTATGCCTTTTGCATCCATCCACTACTCTCTTTCCCTCTAAAAAAAGAAAAAGCAGATTATTTGGCTTAGCCAAGGCTAAGGTGAGATGGATGAAGCGGATGTCATCCCAGCACTTCTAGCTTTCCACTCAGGGGAGGAAGTACATGGCAGACAGGAGAGCGTGCCTCACCAAAGATGTCTCGAATGCTGTAATTAAGGTGATAAATCTGATTGACAAAAAGACCCCTAAGCTACTTATGTCTCCACATCATCAGTGAGGATAATGTGCGATCCAAACAGACGCCCACATCCACACACACACAAACACACAGAGTCTCACACAAAATACATCTCACAGTCAGCATCTGCGTGGAAACAAGGCCAATGCTAATATGATGTCACTACTAGAGCGGAGAGATTTAAGGCGTATGTCTGGGAGAAAATCTTTCCTGCTTATGCATGAAGCAGTCAAATACTCTTTTCTCTTATTTAAAAAACTTTAAATTTAAATTTAAAAAAAGAAGGATTCCTGTGAGCCTCTCATCCCTTCATAAATGTCTAAAAAAAAAAAGGCAAAAATCCTTTCTCACCTCATTTCAAATAAACTCACCAGTCAATCAGTCACTGGTCCTGTCATTGCCTTGTCATATTCAAGGCTTGACCCTGCCAGCACCCTTTCAGTGCCTGTCACAGGGCCCTCAGTTAGTGTGGACTCAGAGACAAGACGTGGGTGCTGAGATATATTGCTGGTCGCAAAAAAAACTCTTCCAAATCAAAAGTCCCTGCCTCGCTCGTTCATAACAGAACAGGGTACTTCTTATTCAGAGCAAAACACAGGGTATGGGTCTCCAAGGGCTGCTGTCTTTCATACCAGCTCAAGGATCCTGTGATTGTTTTTGGCTGTCTCTGAACGGTTATTAACTAAGTTTGTTTCTCTTGACAGACAGGTGGGCCTTAGGGTGTAACAGAGGTAGCTATGCTGACAGGAAATAACATCAAATGTAAATATTATCTTAAACCTCCAATGACAATGTGGATGAGAACGTGGTAATTAAATAATCGAGGCCTCTCTTTTGGTTTTTCATTCCAATTTCCTTTAATACACAGCATTTAAACTCTTTCCCCCTCCGGGTGTCTCTGCGCTGTCTCTATGATTGGGGTCATCGCTGGTCATAGAAGATATGAACTTGCACATTACAATAGGTAATTTAATACCTACCCACACAAACGGATGAGAACACAAGAAAGAGAGAGCCATACACCTGCAGGCATAAATGAGGAATTAAGGACACATTTTGACAATGTCCTCAATTTGGGCATGAGGGATACACAACGCTGTATGCCAATGGCTTATTTAGCAAGAAAATATTCACAAGGCATGATGAATATATTCCATTGTGAGAGCTGCTATGCTACACATAGACATTGCTTATGTAGCTGTACATGTGCATATATATATATATCATTTGAACATTGTTTATAGTTTAGTTTAGCTATAACCAACCCAACCCGTTGTTCATATCCCTCTACTGGTTCCCAGTTACTGCTAACATCAAATTTTGAAACCTTATTGCTCGCTTACAAAACAGCAACAACAACAACTGCTCGTCCTTACCTAAACTCTCTCATCCAGGTCTACACTCACTCCAGCCCACTACGCTCTGCCAGTGAAGGGCGTCTGGGTCCAACCTTAACAACAGGGCCCTAAGTCTTTAGCTACACTCTTCTCCTCTCTCACCCCCTGGTAGGGGAACAAAACGACCATTCGATCCACTGCATCCCTTGAAGAAAACACCTACGCACTTGATGATATTGAGGATGATGATGGTGGTTTTTGATGATATTTGGAATGGTTTTGATGCTGATGAGAACTCTCAAGAACAGCTGCATATGTTGTGCTCTGCCTCTGTGAGCTGCCTGTCAACACCTGTGTCTGATCAGACTTAAAGCTGTTGGTTTGCACTTACTGACATTGTTGTTTCCTTCTCTCTAGATCCATACTTGTGTTGTACTTACTCTCTGATGTTCGTGGCTTTGAACAAAAGTGCCTGCTGAATTAATTGTATAAATGTTTTTGCATATACAGTACATACAGGTTTAATGATATAAGAGGTGTAAGTAGATGATTGTTTGATAAAATGTTCTATTTGTGCAGTCTCTTTTTGCTCAGATGACAAATTGTTTTTTTTTAAATATTTAAGTGCATAAGGATCCAGCAGCAGCCGTTAAAAGGTGCATACCTCCTATCTTTCCTGGCTCTTTGCAATCATCCTATTTGTAGGCATACAGTTCATGATGCAATGACTACTAAGCCTTGGAATCTACTTGTTACTTACTTTTACACCTTGGGAGGGCGTTGCTCCATTGCCCATTGGACTGGCAGGTTGATTTCACAGCTCCCTGAAGAACGTATCCGGTATTGCAGACAAAGCGCACGAGGTCGTTTAAGTTAAACTGAGTTCCTTGGGTCAAACCGAAGGTGGGGTTTCCAGGGTGACCACATGTGATCGCTGAAAAGACAAAAAAAAAATAAAGTCACAGTTACATATATATGCAGAGCAGTAAGATTAAAGGTTAAGGTTAAACACACCTGAGTAAACAGATTCTGATTCTGATAAACAACACCTAGATTGGTGGAGTAAAAGTCAAAACAGAACTAGTGTAGAAAAACACAGAGCTGAATGTCAATCATGATAAATGATGCTAACTCTGAAACTTGTTGTGTCTAAGCTGCTCCGACTTCATGCACAACTTGTGTCCTCTTTCCTCAGGTAAAACATCCTTGTAAAAAGTCTAGTATTATAGAGTACAACACAAAGTAGTCTGGTAATATCAGCCCTTAACTAGCATGATAAGAGAAAATCTTACCAAACACAATACACTAATAGATTTCATTATGACAAACTTTTCTCCATAGTCACTTACGGACACAGACTGGAGTGCGTCCTGACCAGCGATGATCTTGTTCACAGATCCGCACAGAAACCCCAATGAGACGAAATCCTGGGTTGCACTGATACACAACGCTGCCTCGATAATTATAATTCTCTCCAATGATCTGTCCATTCACTATTGGCTCTGGGGTGCCACAATGGCCAGCTATGAAAGATGGGAAAATGAAAGGATTAAGGACAGACCAAAGTGTTCTGAATTACTTTAAAGATCACTCTATAACTATATTATTTATTATTGGCTGGCTGCTGAAGATCTCACCTAAACATTGGACCTGTGTTCCGCTCCAGAGTCCGTTGGACATACACTCTCTTACCCGAGAGCCCACCAAGGTATATCCTGTGTTGCAAGAAAAAATGGCAGTGGCTCCATACACAGTCAGAGTTCCGATCTTGTTTCCGTTTGGTGGAGTCCCAAGATCCCCACAGGAGATGACTGAAACGACAAATGTATCAATTACTAATATGGTAAAAAAACATAACCAACAATACAAAACACGTTCTGTTTGAAAAGTTAAGATGTAAATATGTTTAAAAAGATTTGTGGACGCTTTGTTTTGTTATTTCTTACGATACAGCTTGAATTTAAAAAAGAAAAAAGGATGCTTTTGTTTCTCATACAGATGTTTTTTTTAATATTGTTTGAAGCTCATGACACATCATCTTCATGTTCAGGAAATGTAGGAACATGCAGTTTTCACTTACTCTCACAGGCCGGGCTTGGATCTGGATAGTTCCAGGTGCTGTTTGCCTGGCAGCGAATGACCCTTTGACCCCGGTAGTAATATCCAGGGTCACATATAAGCATCAGTATAGCGTCATACTGGTTTTGAGTCCCATAGATCAACCTCCATCTCCCATGCTCCACCGCAGAGTGACCAATGTCAGGGCAGGTCACCGCTAGAGGGTGAAAGGATTTACACTGATTATTAACTCAAATCTGTAATTAAGATTGTCACTAGTTTAATCTCAAAGCTGATAGGAACATTTGAAACACAAGATGGGTTTTCAAAACTTTAAATTTGTCAGCTTAAAGAGAGTGTTCCCTTGATATTGCTGTATCTAAATGTAATAGAGATACTTACGAATACATCTGGGCGGGGCCTCGATGGGACTCCACCTTCCAGATTCCTGACAGATGACTGAGGTGGTGACAGGTCCAGAGAGACGAAATCCTGGGTTACACCTGTATGTAGCTCGGGCTCCTAAAGAGAAGTCCTGGCCCACGATACTGCCATTCACAGGAGGCACTGGCATTCCACAGGACATGACTAGAAGGGAGCGAGAGATTAGGCAGGAAAGTGAGCAAAAATAAATGTAGTTTAGTCAAATGAAAGCTCAGATTGCAAACTATATTTTATTAATCATCTTAGTTTGTATGCAGAGTGCTAAGCTAACAATGGGCTTCCTGTACAAACACACTCCGAGAGGAGGTATTGATGTGTGGTAAACATTAGCTTGGGCTGCCATCTGCTCAATAGTAAACAATCAAGTCCAGAGAGAACACATGCAATTCATGGGAAGAGCCCACCTGGTGCAGACTTGACCAGATACTCAGTGATTACCTTGCTGCTCTCTGGTTTGAAATGATCTGCTGATACGATTTTATAAATGAGGTTCATAAATATTGTAGACTCCACAAGAGTTTTTAGATTTTAAAATCTTCATTTTATATACGCAAAACACATTAAAGATTACACAACAGCATCACAGTTTTGTTAAAAGAAAAAATTGATTTTGAGCGAATTTCACATAAACTGTTTTCACTTCAAATACATTATTCTTGCCCCAATGGCTCCTGCTTTATTTATACTATCTATTTTGTGTTTTTAAGAATAAAACTGTAAACTGTTAGTTAGGTCAGTCTTTTTTTAAAGCGTGTGAATACTATACTTGTTTCCAGCAGTAAAAAAAAAGAGCACAGAGAAAGGCAGAAATAACTGTGACTACAACCCAAAAGAGCGACATATCAAACAATTCAGCTTGTGTGAGCCAAATATCATTAATCTGACGCAGTGTGAACTTCAAAGCAGTTCTGAGGCAAGGTAAAGTGAGCTTCCTTGAAGCATGCCTAAGGCTGAGGGGCTGCTAGTGATGTCACACTGTCAGTTGAAAACGTACTTTGATCCAGGCAAATGGATTCAGTGATAGTTTTTTTTTTCTTAAATCCACTTAAATCAGAATGACTACACTTACAAAATACATTTGCAACAAAAATGTCGTCTTTAACTCATTTTAAAAATATTTATTTCACAGTCTGAGGTTCATTTCATCACTGAAAAGTGGGACTGATTGAGAATTATAATATTAAGTAACTTAGCAAAATCATTTTAAGTGTAAGTTGCATTAGCAATATAAAATGAGCCAAGACTCAGACTCAAGCCTGAGTCTTGCTCTGTACAAGGCTGATTGTACAGGGCAAGACTGTCTCACTCAAACAATACGACAAACATGACAATCTAGTCTATCAGATGTCAATCTGTTTTTCTCATTGATTTAAAAACAATATTTTTCCTCATAACTTGATGCAATTTTTGGACCCTCACCTTGGCAAAGAGGCACTGGTGCATTCCACTGGTAGATCCCCTGTGCAGTTCTGGTGCAGGTGGCACTGCTCTGTCCGATGAGCCTGAAGCCCTGGTCACAGTTGAAACGGAGGGTGCTGCCAAGTTTAGTCCCAGTCAGACTGTGCACCGTGCCATTTATAGGGTTACTTGGTGGGCTGCAGTAGGCCGCTTTGACAAAACAACACAAATAGGTTAATATTTGAAGAAGCTTTCGGATTAAATTGTGTGCAACAACCATAAAAACACAGTAATGATGCAAGTTGTTGTGGAGGAGGTGAAGGATTAATATGCCTTCAAAAAGCACAGAACCCAAGGTCGCTTTTGCATCCGTCTTCTCTGCCTGGCCTGGTAAAAGAGGGTATTTATTAATTCAAGCGCCACTGTGCAATCTCTTTAAAGCAAAAGCTGAAGACTAGAGACAAGGGAAACTGATTAGAGGAAACTTGTGTTTGCCACACAGCGTAACAGGAGTTTGCCAGCCGCAGCAGAGGACGATCATAAAAGTGACGGATACATGATAACAGACACATAGTATCTGTTTTTGTTTGTTGGCTAAATTAGATGCTGCAATCATCATTTGTCATCCCAAATGGTGCCAGCAACAGGTCTATGGATTCTGAAGAATGGAGTGCTTTGAATCCAAAAGCAACTTGTAACTTCATACTTAAGAGAAAAAAAAAGGTTACACATTGTAAAAATAAATCCCCACAAAGTTATTGTGATGCAGCAGAACATGACTATGTGACCCAAACAGGGCTCGTTGTGGGGAGAGTTCAGGATGGAAGTGGACCATGGACACAAAACAGCGTATTATCCATTACACTTAATCACTATGACCACTTTACGGCTCCATAAAAATGCTAATTCTGATTCTAACCGCTCACACGTGGCTGTATAAATGTGTAAATGGCCTCTCTTTGAAGTTGGTGGTGATTTTTAGCACCATGCAATCAGATAAAACTCTCATACAGTATAAAAAACTTAAAGCCATGTGAGCAGAGGGATCTTTATTCAGCATTTGTTAGAAGATGCTATCTCACACAAAATGTTCTAATCGGATAAAGAATGTGAGACTCTAAATGATCTGAAGAGACTGTAGATGAAAAAAACTATATATGTGGAATATGACATTACCGTCTCCAGAGAAACAATGTGATGTTTCTCAGGTGAGCCACAGAAGTTGTTACAACATCCTTTGATAATTTATGAATGGGCTCATTCAGCTATGACTTCCTCAAATTCATCAATCGAGGATGAATTATATTTAATGTCTGCCTTGATGCCTACATTGATAGGAATAGACTATACAAAATAAATATTGTAAAGATCCAATGATATCTATTTTGCAGAATGAGCAACTTTCCTCCTTCTGCCAGTTACAGTGACTGACTGCTGCAAGAGCAATTTTTTTCATACCCTTTGTGTCTAACTTATTGGCCCCTCTTTCTCGGTTCCTCGCTCCAACCTGTCTCTCTGACTCTTACTGTATACAGCATGCATACAGCATTTCACTCCAAAAAGCCCTGCAGTTCACAAGAATCCGATCTACACTGGCATGTGACCACATCAGTTTCAATGATATAGAGGAGAGACAGAGAGAAGGAGGGAAGATTATGATACAGACAGAGAGCACTGCATAAGAAAACTGTAAGGGAGATAGTGACAGAATAGTTTAATAGAAAGTTTATTGAATTCTTGGAAAAGGTGATAGAGATGGACAAAAACAAAGCTAATTGAATGAGGATCTACCAGAGAAGATGAAATAAAGTTGGTGACGATTGAAGACTCAGACACTTGTGGGTCCTCAGCCATTATTTAGTCGTTTTGTCACTTTGCCTGCTTTAGCGAAATCACTCATGGCTAACAAAATATATATATAAAAGAGGCAAGGGGAGAAAAAAAGAGAAACAACAGAACATCCGGTTGGGGAGACAGAGCTCCACAGAGAGGAGGGAGCTGATTAGTCAATCTGGCTGAGTGGTGTTGATACAAAACGGAGGGAGCCTTTTAAATATTTGAACACCCATAATTCACAGCGAGCTACGCTGCTGTTGTATACCAACTGATCCTTTATGGTAGCCAGCAGATACAACTGCAGCATTATAAGCCATACAAGAAGCAGCTTTAACTAATTCCCAGGCTGCTTGCGAACAACAAGGATTGCTGCACATGCCTGCCGCCCCCGCTAGGTTGTCATGGAGATGGGTCATATTTCAAGATGTTTCAGCTGCAGTTGGTTGCAATAATCTTGTTGACACAGTTAACCTAAGGAACCTCTGATGTGGTCGAACATACAACAATGTCCTGAAGTAGCACAGTCGTACAACAATTTCCTTTTTGGAAATCAATTCTAAACGCACCACTGAAACCACATTTTATACAAAAAAAAAAAAAAGAAAAAAAAAGACTTCATGCTAGTGTTTGTCTCTTCTCGACTCACCTGAGTAGCGGATGCGAAAACCCTTGTGGCTGGTTGTGTGGTCGAAGGACCAGTGCAGGTAGACTTTGTTACTGGAGCTGGTGATGCTCAGTGGGCTGGAATAGTTTCCACTCAGGGTAATCAGGAGAGGACTCTGTCTAGATGGGCCTGGGTTAGGAGAGGAAATTAAATCATTACAAGTAATACATTTCTGAAAGCCTGATAACTCTGCTGAAAAGAATAAGAGCTCCAATACTTTCCTGTAAGCACATTTTGGTCTTAAAAATAATGCATTCTGTTCCATAATGTAATCCCTTCAATTTGAAGAGCATTTCCCTTGCAAATGTAAAGTCATTGAACAGAGAATATGATTAATACAAATTCACATTTTCGAGAGATTTCATAATTTCAAAGTCTGAATTTTGATAGGAATACATTTTTCCCTACTCAAGGCTTGATAGAGATTGTGCATTTTTAAGACTTGTCGTAATAATCAAACTGAGTTGAGTTCTTCATTAAAAAAAATAGATCTCTTTCCATCATTGACTTGACAGGCTAACAGTTAGCACATTTCTTCCGCTCCAGCCTGAACACGGAAAAAAGCACATATCAGGAACACTGCTTTACAACTTATTTTTCTCACAGCCACCTGGCAGAGTTGATGATTGTACCTCTGACAGGACAGGCTTTCACTTTGAAAAAGTGGCTGGGTATGACTTTCTTTTATTGGTTCACCTGAAATTTAGTTTTTGGTCAAAGATGAGAGGAGGGTTTCATGCTTGGGTCCAGAGAATACCGAATATTCCATATGGTGGACATCACATACACATATGCATAAGGAAATTCTATCAAACTCTAAGGAATGGTCAAAAGAATAATTAAGATGCTGATACTTAACACAATTGTTAGTATAACAATTAGCTTTCTCAGCAAAAATAGAGATACTCACCGTCAAAGATCTCAAGCTCGTCGAACTGACGGCTGGTCTGGAAGTGTTCAATCGTGAATGTGATGTTGTAGCCAGGTTCTATTTTTACCACCCAGGAGCAGGACTCGAAATGGGGGAAACCATTGCCAGGTGACTGACTCATGATAACACCTGTGGAGGCGGTCAGTATCTCATTCATGGGACAAGTCACTGTTGAGAGAAACAAAAGAGATGATCAATTCAATTAATCTGAATGCAGGGGAAATTGGTTTGTTTTGTATTGCCTTTCTTTGCTGCATCATAATTGCACCTAGGTTGTAATGGTTTGTGCTTTCTAGTAAATTAAATTTCCCTTGAAGCGCAAATTGGATTGGTTAGATTCACATTGTTGTTGGAGGACGACTCAATGTGACTAAAAGCATAAGCTCATTTAAATGTCAGCCTGCTGCTGATGCTGTTGAAAGGGAAAAAAAGCTGTCCAGGCTAAGACATTTCAGGACCTGCTTTTACATTCTATATCACTAATGACTTGCATGAGCTTATTCCCTGTGCATTGCCCACTGTCAGTATGCAACACATGTGATGCTAACTTGGCGGGAGATTCTCACATCAGCCTTTAAAACCTATTACTAAGACACATTCGGGCGGACCACATCCATCCGCTCATCTCTCCTCTCCTCTCCCCCTCCCTTCGTATTCTTGTGGGATATTGCCTTGACATGTCTGACATTTTCGAGTGCTTTCAGTCGTTATTATCAGACGTTGGATGGCACTCCTGTCTGTTGCATTTTTTGTTGCGAGGCTGTGAAGCAAACCTCTTAATCTGCCAGAGCTGACTGCATACACAGAGGATTCCCAGAGAAAATAAATAAATAAAACAAGCCGCGACATAAAAGGACGTTATTCCTGCGGCAAATACACAATACATCTGCTGCACAGTTTCTCTTGGTATTGTTTTAGCTGCTCACCTAATGTGGCTGAGGGCAGAGCAGGTAGAGTGTGAAATAACTTTCCACTGCAGAGCAAGATAGACACTTTTTTCCCCCTCTTGCTTGTGATTGCTTTTTCTCGGCTAAGTCAAGAACTAGAAACACATTCTCAGTTGTGAAATCAACTGTTTTTTGCTTTATATAATTGCTTTCTATATAACAAACAAATCCTTAGGGCCTATTTTGGCTTACATAATACTACAAACTTTGTCAACACTGTAGACTCGCTGAAACTCACCCAAGGAGTATGATGACTTTTATTATTAACAAATTACCATTCAAACTAGTAAAAATACCTTTTTCTTTATTTTATGCGAGTGAGGAGCTTACTAACAATCAAAGAAAGATTAGATAACACATCATGAGATGCAACAAAATATAGATTGTAAATCCTTCAAAGTAAAAGTTATATTTTTAATGTGCATATTTTTGTGTCTGACTATTAGTCATCCAAGTGTGGCAGAACATTTTGCAGTGGGTGTAAATGCACATGTTGTGTGCTGCAAATTGAATAACCAAGCCTGTTGTGCCTCAGGGTACGGCAGCAGGACTTGGCACTAGCAGGTCCTTCATTACAGTGGTGAAATACTGAATGCTCCAAATCACATTCTAGCAGCGTCTCCTTGGTGGGATGATGTGTGTATTTGGGTAGATACTTGTTTTTGTGTATATAGATAGGCCACGTGTTTTTTTTGCACTTTTCGCTCTTGGCTTGTTCAACCTCCTCTCCGTGTGTTTGTGGAAGGAGAGATTATTCAATACGCGTAAAAAAAGAGATGGCAGACAGCCTGGGTTGAACAGCATTTGCAAATAATTATTTCCATTTGATTTACTATTCCTGGTGTATCAACTGGGTGGATTTTTTGCCTCATTAAATCTCAGTACATGTCGGGAAAGCTATCACTCACAGACATGCAATCTACCTTTTTGACAACTTTCTGAAGTTCATTTGAGTCGCATTTGTTTTTGTGAATAGTTTCAAATCAACGTCAAATCAAACCCATAATATCTACTAAAGTTCCTTACTATGCGTATAATTGTATTTTGAGGCTTTTAATGCCTTAGATAAAAAGTTGACAGCAGAGAGATCACTCGCCAAGGTGATCAAGATGGAGTGTGGAAACAGGTTCAGATGTGGAATTCCCCCCAAAAAATTGCAAATATAACTTAATGTATACATTTTCAAATCTTCAACTCAAGCCCTTGTTACATTACTGATTGTAAGTCAACATCAAAATGGGGATTTAAGTGTGGCTGTTCAGCACTGGTGGTGAGCAAGAAGATGTCAGGAGGCAGAAATAGATGCAAAATAAGGTGGTTGATTTATTAACCAAAAATCGTACAAAATAGCAAAGACAAAAGTCCTGGGTAATCTAATAAAACAACTAGATTAAATAAACTGAAAGAAAACAAAGCCTCACAGCATGCTGCCACCAACAAACAGTTCCCCCCAGACTCTGGCTGAGTCTACCTTTATACGAGAAACAACCCAACTGAAGGCCTCACTCTGTCCAATTAGGCTCTGGTGATTTCACTCAGCCTAATCACTCTGCACGCTGCAGTCAGTGTAGGGAAGGTGGAGGCAGGTGAAAGGTATGGGATAACCTTTTCACAGCCCTTTTAATGCAACATGTCACATTCACACACTGATGCTATGTGGATGCCCATCAGTATCAACTGACCCCATACAAACACATTCAAACAAAGCTGGCTTTGCCATCAGGTGCGATTTTGGATCAGTGTCTTGCCAAAGGACACTTCAACATGTGGATTGCAGGAGCTGGGAACAAACTGCCAACCTAAACCAAAATTAAAAAGACATAAAAGAAAAAGAAAAACAACCTGATTACAAAAGAATGGCAAACAGCTTGAAAGACATCCACCGCTTCCACTAAGCCACAGCTGGCCCAAATTGTGCCTTGCCTGAATATACCATGAACTAGAGTGGCAGGGTAACAAAGGTATAATTCTGTCTCAAACATTTAAGTGAACATTTGTTGAAGAACATCAATAGTATTTCTGCAGAACGTGCAGTGGATCTGACAGTCATGTTGCATTGTGGGAATAAGAAATGTACTGCTTCTTTTGGTGTATAACTTTAGAAGCTGAAGTGACACTAATCTATTTTATCCCCAAATCAAAGAAGGCATTGACAAAGTCTGGGAAATCATTTCAAACCTGAAGCACCTCGTGGACGTGAGTCAAAAGGACTAAATCCATCACTGATAGTGAAACTGATTGCGCCTGAAAGTGGCATATAAAATCTAAGAGTGAAGTTGATTAACCAATCAATTATCTGAGAATGAGATGTGTTTGTCAGTGACCTTTCAGAAGGCTCCAAAGTGTCTTCAAAACTGCTTTCAGCTTGTCGAGGAGTCGATGGGAAAAAGACAGGCAGGTGTTGTTATCTACAAACTGCTACTTTTTAAAAGTAATCCTTTTAAATGAAGCATCACTCTCTTCGGCTGTAAACAAAAGGGTATTAGGGGACAAATCTGAGAGCTTGAAAAAGGCTGCCTCGACCCACAAGGTGAGATGAACGCCGATAGGCCTGAAAATGAAATTTCACTTTAATGAGGCACGGAATAAAATAAACTGATAGCAGGATTGGCAATCTGCGAGACAGCCCTTCTGTTTGTGATAAATTGTTCATGGTATGAAATAGCTTCCTTATTAAAAATGTGGTGGCAGACAAGCACAGATGCACACGCATCTGCATCCATTCACATACATTTGTGCACAAGATTATCAAAGTATGGACACACTGGTGCATAAATCTGAATGTACTTTATGCTGCTGCAGTGGAGATGGCTTTACTCAAATTGGTATTTAATTAGCATAAACTGAGGAGAGATAACAAGCTGATTGGAGGGGGTGGGCCACAACATAAGCATTAGCTATGATCTTACAACACCGAGAAGTGAGGGAAGACAGTAAAGATGTGGAAAAAGAAGAAGGGGTAAGCCATTGTGTTGGGTTTAAATTAAAAGGCTGGAGCAAAAAATGATAATCTAGTGAACAAATGGGGTTATACTGAGAGGCAAGGGAGGCGAAGGAGCTGAGTGGGATGAAGACAACTAGCTGGATAGGACACTAATGTAATGGGTGATTATGCAGGTTTAGACAGACTTTTGTCTGGGGGATAAACACAGGGATTTTGGATCATAAGAGCGCATTGTTTATCAGTAATGAATTAAAGTAACACTTTGTACCGGTGCTGTGGCTTTGTGTGTGTGATGTAGGGACTCCCTGTGGTCTCAGCAGACAGCAGATGAAGTTAAGGGCCAACAGAACATAGTTTAATCAAATAGCAGGCAAATCAAATACTCTGCAAATCAATTGGTTGATCCAATGGCAGGAAATACAAGAGAGGAGAAACATTTGCCATGTCAGTGTTGGGAGATAGTCAAAGTCAAAGAAAGACAGATTTGTGTGGAAATAGACCTGTGAGTGAGTGTGTGAAAGAACACTGCAGTGTGCTGTTGTGTTTTGAGCCAGCTTCAGAGGCGGACAAAAAAAGAAAAGAGAATTGGGGATAAAGGGTACATATGTTACGTAACAACAGAAGTCTAACGCTTGGGAATCAGGGGAGGGAAGCGGCAGGTGAGGGAGGAGGGAGTACAAATGGAGGGAATGCAGAGGATGAGAGAGGATATTGGCGCCGAGGGGCAAGCAACACAGCCGAACAGGCCGGAGGCTCCAGTGCTGCTCTCTGAGAGAATATCACAATGACAACATTCACTGCTGTGCAACCCAGACACATGCAACACCAGTGTGTATGTGTATACTGTATAGGTACAAGGATGCGATTGAGTGCCTTTCTTTTGGGGGGGGGAAGGGGCAGCTAGAAGTTCAGCGAGGGTTGTGCTCGTCAGACGTGGTGATTTGATAGGCGCAGCTGCAGCCGGCATGTCCCCTGCATTCTAATGAGCTGTGCACTTCTTCTCTTCACCGCTGCCCTCCAACTATATCTCCTCCTGCCTCTAATTCTTGCCTCACTTTTTAACTCATGTCCTCCATTCACTTACTTGCAATCCCTCTGCTCATTTAAGAGTCTCTCCTCCATATTTTACAGAAAAGACCCCCCACCCCCTTCCCTTTTTCTCACTTGAATTTTCTCACTGGGTGTCCTTGGTACTTTCATCCAAGTCTTAGTTATTACCCTATACATAGCTTCTCTTCCCCATTTATTGCCCTCCTTTTTTATTTTTGCCAAAGTCTTTCATCTCCTTCTGTTTGTACCTCATGCTGAGAACATTTTTTACATGTTTTTTTCTATTTAGCACTCAAAAAAGAACAAATCTTCCACAGACTCAAAGTTTGGCACAAAGAAACAATGACAAAGCAAACTAGAGGGAAAAAAAAGAACCAAAAGAAGCACCAAAAGAAGTATGAAATATATCCATCTGTCCGATATTTTAGTAGAGTAGAAGAGGGAACCCTCGATGAACCCAGTCTCATGGCCTTAGGAAATGTATTGCACACAACATACAGTATAATAATGTGTTGGGAACACTGCAGTCAGTTATTCCTATGGGAGGATGATATCTCAGCATGTAGAGAGCTGCACTCGCCACCCTCTGTCTCAAGGGAACAAAGTATTCTCCTCAGAGATAGAAAGTGCTTGCAAACTCATATGTGGCTACAGATTCATAACCACAGGCAGAAAGACACCCACATGGTGCTGAAATAAAGCAGAACTTAAGCTAGTGCAAGAGGCCATGAAAAGAGGAAAATATTATATGCTTCCTCTAAACCTGCCAGGAATAAATAGCAGGACACACTTGGCAGAGGAAGCAGTGTTTCACCTGAGTATCAATTTATTGTAAAACATTGCGACTTACCAGGACCCTGTTAAAATGAGATGATGCATCTCAAGGGGCTATTTAAAAAAAAAAAAAAAATGTATCCAGTATTTAATATCAATGTGCTTAGGTTTGAAGTAGCTACATTTTTTTTGTAAATGTTGAGGTTGTCATTGATCCATATTCTCATTTGCAACACAAGAGATCAATAAACTATTTGTCTTCTAAACTTGGGGAAACAATGTATTCTATGTTTGGACTTTTATTTTTCTCACTCATTAAGTTGCATTAAGATGACCTTATAAAGATATTACACAGGCCCCTTTACTACATAGAAGGCTCACACACATTCACGGCTCATGTGTGCAGATTCAACTACCATAGCATCCACAATCTACACATCTGTCAGACCATCAACTAACAACAATTTTTTTCCGGATTTTGACAAACCAGTTGAAGATTTACTGTACTCTCCCGATAAGTCACCAAAAACAAGTCCCGATGGTCCATATCCAGAGAAGGATTTAATCCAAACACATTATATCCATTATGATCCATGGATTGCTTCAAATTTACCTCTGCTGTCTCCCTGACCTTTTGATGACACCTCATATGCTTAGTTATGGCCTTCGATACGCTGTTTGAAGCCTATAAAAGTCGATGAGAGTCTGAGTTTAAAGGAGGTTGCACGCTACTGTGCAGATGACTGACTTTTCTAGTTGCCAATTACATTTTCAAAACATAGATATGCTGCTTCTTTGAGTACTAAGGGGTGATTTATTAACACACACACTAAGGAGATTATTATAAAGTATGAGTGGTTTTTAGAAATGCATCAAAAGTATTAATAAGGTGATACTTATACCAAGATAGGCTATGAGCCATGAATTACTTTGAGACAACAGGCAAATCAATGTAAAACTAGACATTGAGCACCCCCATATACAGTAGCTTGGATGATCCTTATGTTCGACTGTGAGATTGGCATTCGACTGGGGTCAACACTAGGGGTTGTATTGGACTGCTTCCTGGTGTTAATCTATGTGGATGAAGAGGGCCTTCCTGAAAATGAGAGCATGCGTTTGTCTGTGTATGTTTTGAGCCTCATGCATTCACTCACCATCACACGAGGGCGGAGGACCCTCAAACTCCAGGTGTGTTCCCAGGCGGCAGGTTTGGATGCTGTTTCCACTTAACTGGTAGCCTGGAAGACATCTGTAGCGGACTATATCACCTGGGCAGAGAGATGTGAAGGGATAACAGTCAATGATTTAGCAGACCTGGTGGCAACAGTTCATATGACTGTATAACCAACATTTTATATATATAACTCAGTGCTCCTTCGCCTGGATACTGGCATGACACAGAGATAAAAGTTAATGTGTTGTGTGCCTTAGTGAAAAAAAAAGAAAAAGGACTTTTAAAAACTCCCCACTGTGAATCCATAGCTGAACAGCTATCTTTGTCAGTGTTGCTGCCCTTGTGTTCCTGAATAATAACAAATCAAGTAGGTTGCAAACAAACTGATAAAGATAAATAATCTCTACATCTGGGTGGTAAAATCAGAGCACCTGCCTCAATTCCCTCTGGCACTTTAACTACTTTGTCATAATCATTTATTTATACGGATGCCTCAAAACTGCTGTACTGCAGTTTGTAGTGAGCACCATATCCTTCTGGGGTATGTAGTCATCTAACCTAGGGTTGTGCAAACTGTCAAAGTTAGGAGGTGAACCAACAGTGGAATTTAAAGGCAACAAAACCGCAAGTCTAAATGGGACCGACATATAATACAACAAAGTCAGCTGCACCTTAGAATGTAGTGATTATGTCTCTCTATAGGTAAGGGTATGCGCCTTTTGTGATAGTATTTCCCACCTACCAATTTTAAATTCTTTGCTTGCCATCAGGATCTCAGCATTCGGAATGATAGAGGGTGGCAGGCAGAACTGCAGTCTGTAACCTTTATTGAGAACAATAAAGATGGAGAATAACAAGAGTGAAACCAAAATGTGTGTCATGTTTGGTAAAAAAAAAGATTATGAAATAGCAAGATATTTACAGACCTTGATAGCCGATACGAAACAGTCCACCCTTCTCTGTGTTACTACGGAAACGTATCAGCACCTGATTGGACGTGCTACTGGGCGGTTCATTTGGCTCTCCATCAGTGAATACTCCCAGTTTCCTGGCTGTCTCCTGAGGACCGTCCCTGAAGGAATAAAGAAAGACTGGGGGTCAACAATGCCTTGAAATATAACAATACACTAGGGAAAAGTAATGATTAATAAAGATGGGTAATTTCTGTCAACATCCTCCGCTCAGATGTTCACTCAATTCGAAACCATAAAGCACCTCAAGGCTCTTTATATGCTGATATGTTAAGATGATGCGTACAAAACAAAGCCACATGGCACATTATCGTCTAATAGCTTATACTAGCAGATACTAATCACACTGCTCTCTCTTCATCATATCCAAAGTTTTCACTGATTTTTTATTTATTTTTCTGTGGGTGATAATGTTGCAGTGAGGGAAAAAAAATTACAGATACGCATGGAATGACAGGTCTGGGTAGGGCTCTTCCTGCTAACTGCCATCCAATGGGAATGTCTCTGAAGCTGCGTCCCAGCCTTGGCAGTCCCCTGGCTTGGGCATGGCCGATTAAGCCAGCTCCCAGATTCCTGCCACAACCATTCAGCTTAAAAACCATCTGTCTTTGGCTGTCAGACTGGGCATGGGAGATTACAAGCAGCTCTGGAAACGGCTGGCTGGGGACTGCTGCCTGACAGCACTCTGGCCAAGCCGCCATTACGGGGCCCATTTCCTTGGCTCAGTAGTTCAGTGGATAGATACACAGCGGTGGTAACTGGAAACTGGGGAACATGATAGTCCCCCATCTTGGCGCTGCGTGAGTGTGTTGGGAAAGATCAACACAGCGGGGGCTGTTTACAGAAGAGCAACAATATGATAGAAAGTAGACATTTTGGCTCATTTCAGCCTTGGTAAATAGACTCTATAGAGAAAAGAAGACTGCTCAAATTTCTACAAGCGGCCAAATCTGTCAAACATAGATGTCAATGAACACCATGCAGACTTTATATGTTGTTTTTTTTACATTGCTAAGTTGGCTGGCAATCAGATCTCCAGATTCACTGAGAGCTAGGACCTTTGCCACTTGTCACCGGGTGAGGGGATCAACTGGAACTGGAAACAACCATGCATGCAAAATCCTGCCTTTGGTGGCACATATGGCAGGACCGAACATGCTTTATGGAGGTGATGAAAAGAAGCATTACACCTTGATACCTAATCAGAAAAAATATAAACAGTACACGTCCTAAAAAAACATGAACCACTTAAAGAAGCTGAACAATTTTCCCCCAGCCTAACTCTGTTTTTCAGAGTTGGGAAGCAAAGATGATAAAAAAAAACAAAAAAACAGAGTCACACGAGTCTGAGGCAAGTTTTTTTGCCACTCCATAAATGAGATGGATAATGGATGAAAGTGGTGTAGTATGATTAACAAGTAATTATTAAAACTTGAAGAACTGTGAATGAAAAAAAATGAGCGGTAAGGTAGGAGATTAGCTGACTTAGGGGTAAGAAGAACAGCTGAAGACATAACAGGCTGAAAAAAAAGACAGTTCAATGAGAGGGCCTTGGGTTTTTGAAGAAAAAAGAAAAGAATAAAAGTTGACCTACAAATGAAAAACAAACATCAGAGTACAAAAAAAACAAAAACACTCTCTCTACTTGAGTTAAGGACAGTTCTATGCATCAAAGGGTTATGGAAGTAGTCATTTCTTACCATACAGTTATGAAGTCGTGTGGCCCGTGAACCTGAAGCAGGGTGAAGTTGAGTTTGATGCCAAAGCCAGGAGCCACAGTGATCAGCCAGGAGCAGTCAGCAGAGCTTGGGTACTCCTCTGGGTAACCAGGGGAGAAAATAGTCCCATTGTCTGATGTGATGTTCCCACCACACGGCACTGAGGGACGGAAGAGGAAGGGAGAAAGAGAGGCAGAGTATATATATCAGGGGGCCAGGAATACAACAGTTGAGATCCATAATTCAGCTTCAATTGGTGGAGAAAGGGGATTTTTCATCCCCCCCTCTTCTTCTGCTTCCCTTCTCAGTGTCTCTCTCCCCCTTCCTTCACTCTTCCTCTAGTTCCCAGGCGCTTGTCTGAGCTAAAGATTAGCCAGTAAAGCCTGTTAGCAAGTGGGGACTTGGTTGGAGTGTTTTGCTAAGATAAGGCCTCAACCCTTTCCCACTGGGGTTCAAGAGAGAGAGAGTGGAGATGAGGCGAGGGGTTAGTGTGGACTGGGCTTTCAGTTTACAGTTGTGTGTATGTACCGCACGTGTATAAGGAATGGATAAGCATGTGTGTGTAAACTTGTGTGTTTGAGTAACAAGGAAGGTTAAAACGGCATGTCTGTCAGAGCTGTAAAACTCACAAATCCACACAAGCCTGATGGTGATACCTGAGGTTAAAACACACAATACCAAGCACCCAAGCTACAATCTTCATGGATACTAATTGTTACTAGTTATTAGACTTTTAGTCTATTTATTTTCTAACTAACCCATTATAAACCCCATATTTGCGGTAGAAAAGCAGCAGAAATTAGGGAGGAGTAGTAATCACAGTAGTGCAGGAATTTCATGCAACCTCAGACATGGTATTAAGCTTCAGTGCACACCCTTGGATGCCTACGGGTTTACAATCGTTCCCAAAAGACAGTGGGCATGTTTTACCCCTCTGTTTCCGTCATAGGTCATGCTAGTATTCATGTCATACAGCTGCTTTAGCCCTGTGTAGGAGAGACCGCTCTGCCTCTGGCTCGACTAGTAAATGAGCTATTGATCAGACTGATTGATTCAACCCCGCACACCCTCTGGAGGTACACTTCTGGCTCACACCATCAACTGGCATGCTACTTAAACCTTATCCGTAAAAAGGTGTATTGTTGCTTGAAGGGATTTGCAAAGAACAAGAGTACTTGAGGCAGCGTTGCAACTGTTATCAAATACAAACAAGTGGAGGACAACATGCGGGATTGTGTAGAAGTGTGGCAAATAGAAAAAGAGGGAGAATGAAGAAGGAAGAGATGAGACAGCCAAGGTTAAGTGAAGAGAGAAGCAGAAACAATACATAGAGTAAAGAATTCTTTAGACACATACTTGTGATAAAAATGGCAAGGAAAGGTAGCACAATAAAGGTGAGGTGATTTAATCAATGTACTTGAGTGTCTCATTCACTTTAAAGGAAATCTATGCATTACTGCAGTGACTCAGGTACAAGTTGTACAGAGTTTTAGTACACCATGTATAAATAAGCTACTATGTATTAGCTTAGGGTGAGATTTGCTATGAATATGAATGCATTGACTTGTTTACGAAAGCAGTAATGTGTTTTTTTGGCACTGCATGTCAATACAATCAAAAAACCATTTAAATGTTTTGGTCCATTGGCCCTCCTTAAGGGTTTTAACAGAAACTGGGCTGCTGACCCAGTCAAATATGAAATGGCATTAAGTCTGTCAAGTGATTTACTGTGTGTGTGTGTGTGTGTGTGTGTGTGTGTGTGTGTGTGTGTGTGTGTGTGTGTGTGTGTGTGTGTGTGTGTGTGTGTGTGTGTGTGTGTGTGTGTGTCTGACGTTGTTTTCTCTTTTCTCCTCTCTAGATCCTTTCTTGTGTTGTTCTTCCGCTCTGATGTACGTCACTTTGGATAAAAGTGTCTGCTAAATGAATTGTGGAATTTAATTGTACAATTCCTCAAACTAGGTCTGCACATGCATGCACACACTCATGAAATGGTTCAGCACTTGTTACGAACGCACACACACAAAAACAAGGTTGATAATATTAGTGACTATGTAAAGAGTTCATTTTCAGAAACAGATAAATAATTATTTATTTTAAATTATTTTTGGGCTTTTGTACCTTTATTGGAAAGATAGGACAGTGAATAGAGATGGAAATCAGGGAGAGAGTAGGGATTGACATGCGGGAAAGGAGCTACAGGTTGGTTTCGAACCTGGGCCGCCCGCTTGGAGGACCATGGCCTCCATGCATGGGACGTTCGCACTACCCACTGCGCCACCAGTGTACAATAGATAACATTCTTAAACTGATTAACTAACATCCATTTGAGAGATATTCTCTCGAGTGCACTTCAATAAACAAACAAGTACCGGTATTACAAAAACGATAAAATATTGAGATTTCTCATCAAAACAAACTAACATCAGGTTGAATAATGCTCCCTGGAGTGCACCAAAAAACATGATTTAGGAAAACATTCAAATGGAGATATGTTGCCTTTTTCAAATGAACCCGTCTTCTCCATTTGCTTTGCTTTCAAATATCATGTCAAGGAATGTAAAGTAGTAGTTCATGAGTCAGGAGAAGATATTACAGTAGCATTTGCATAAAAAATTAAATCAAGATTATTATCACTGTTTATTGTTTTGATACATGAAGGCACCGTATTGGAATTGACTTAGTTATCTTAAACTTTATTAAAAAAAAAAAAAAAAACAGATACCACACCACATGGGACTGGGAGAGGGTACTGCACACCATCGCACATACACACACACATGAGATCACACACTCCCACAGGTCTGAGTTTCTCAAATAATAACATTTCATCCTTAAACCTGAAGTGAAAATTGAAAGGTCTTTCACAAAGAACGTAGCTTTGAGAGAATAAACTATTTCCTGTTCTCTCTACCTTTTCACTATGAAGCTCTGTCTTTCACTTCCATTTATCTCTCTGCTACCCAATTCAAAGTTCCCCTGTCACGGCCATCACCTCCGTCTGTAATTGTGCCCGCTTCATTGAATAATCGGCAGCCGGAGTGTGAGAATGTAGGTCAAGGACAAGGAAGAAGAAAGAGCACCCATTACTTTTCTTTTCAATTTAGCTCCTCCTTTATTTGTCTCCGTTTCTCTTCAGCGGTGTATGGATGTTCATTGAATAATACTTTGCCTCATTAATGAGGGATGATAATTCAGTTTAATAGCATTATTCATAATAGATTATCATTATCTTCAGAGCCGCACATCACACTAATGATGTAAAAGCTCAATACATTCTAATCAGTGAGTTATCATGGTATTACTTACTGCAGACCACTTGTTTTGAAGTCTTATTGTTTTGAGGATTTAGATTGGCACATTATCCCGGTATTGATAAGATTAATATCAAAGAACTTACCTTCACAGCGAGGGAAAGGGTGATCCCAATTGCGGGTTGTTCCATGCTCACAGGTGAGGATGGAATGTCCCACTAGCTGGTACCCGGGCAGACACTCAAAGGAAATAGACTGTCCCACATTGAAGCCGGCACCCACCACCACCCCATAGCGGAAAGGCTCTGGATCGGGGCACTCCTGAAGCTCATAAGCTGAAGAAGAGAACATCATAATCATCAGTCTTTTCAAACGGTATTCAATTCTCCACTAAAGTTTTCCTGAAGCTAGATACAAATTAGCAAAACTTTTTGGGATTCCATTCCATATGTACCGACTTTGAGAAAGTTATATCAGCGAAACCTTTATTTGTATTTCCATCCTTAACTCCCCCTTGCTCCTCTTTCTGTTGTTCTTACTCTTGTGCCTCAACCTCCCACTCGTTCCCCCAACCCGTTTTTTTTTTTTATTTTTTTTTTCAGACAGGAGTTGTCAGAGAAAAGAAAAAGCCAGGGGCAGGTTTGACTTTTGCCGGAGGAGTATGATGCAGTCATCAAGAGCAGAGTGGGTAAATAATTCCTCATTTTTTTCCCCCCTTTAGGACACAATAGCAAAGCAGGCAGTGAGCCTTGAACAGCCAGGATACAAATATAACTTAATAAATTGATTTCTATGGATCACAGCTTACCTTTGTAAGAGATAACTCATGCAAATACTGAAATAGAGGGGACTATTTGAAAATATAATGCTTGATTTAAATGCTAATATACACATAATTATGGAAATGCACAGTGCTACCTTTCGATTTGCCGGCTCGTTTGGTGAATCACAAAACACAAACTCTGTGCGCCTGTTGCAGTTGCAGACAAGGACAATTGAGTCCTTGCAGCCGTGCTGATATGTAGTGAAGCTTTTTTATTGGCAAATGGTGGAGACATCTTTAAGAGATCAACAGTTTTATATACAGGGATTTATAGAGCTTGGGAATTTACTGCTCCTGTGGGCTGATGATTGTGATGTTCAGTTTGACAGATTATCTGTTTTTTAGGTATAATTCAGTACCGAAAAGGCTTTACAAGCAAATATCTTACAGTGAAGTAACATGAATAGAAAGCAAGTAAACATTAAGAAACACATGGAGACTATTTTTTTAATCCATTTGTAATAAGACATAACTCTCCCTGTGTCTTTAGTTATCTTATTTGATCTTTGATAATGTTTCTCTGGGAAGATAAATCAATGATTAATACAGTTTATCTTGTGTCCAATCACATATCAGGTGCGTCAAAGGTGGTTTGAAGCAGCCAAAAGTCTTCAGCCACATTGCAGTCATTTCTAGTTTAATCAGGCTTTGCGGAAGAAAGTAACTTGTAATAATGATACCAGCTTTGCACCGCAATTAGGAAAAAATTAAGTCTTGGTGATTACGCTCATTATTATAAATATATTAACCAAGTCTATTTTTGTCCCAGACAGTCCTGAGGCTGATCATTATTTCATGCTCCAATCTTCTGCATCTTTTACAAGGAGCGGAAAAGTGCTGAAACTTCCTTACCCTGGTACTCGAATCTGAACCCTGGTTTGTTCTGCGAGTGGTCGCTGTGGAAATATACTGTGGTCTCATGGGAAGTGGTGAGAAGGGACGACTGAATATCCTGGCCACTAAATCGGCCAATAACAGCGCTTGTGTCAAGGGGCCCATTGCGAATCTCAAGAAAATCATGGTTGGCCTCGGTGGAGAAGTTAAGGAACTGCATGTGGGCTCCTGGGAAATAAAGAAGAAGAAATGTTGAGAAAAGCGTAGCAGGATATTGAAAAATAATTACCATCCTCTGCCTAAAATACTCCTACGTTGCCCATAATGAAGCTCAGAATCACAGACATCAGACTTTTATTGTTTGTTATGTAGCAATACAAGAAAATGATGCTTGCTAACACTTAGAGAAATACACTAAAGGTCTAAAAATGTTGTCAATCCACACTCCAACCCTTCAGGTTAATTACAGGATCTGAAGTGAAAAATGCACACGTTCGGCATATCGTACGAGCCTCACCGTAACCAACTGGCAGGTAGATTCTCCAGGTGCAGTCACTGTTGCTAGGGTAGTTGCCAGGGAAACCAGGACTGAGAATCATGCCCTCCATCTCCTCTCGGATTCCTCCACATTGAGCTGGCAGAGGGAAGACCAAGGATTGTATTAACATCTGTTAACAATGAGTCTCACAGATTGTTACAACACCGCAAACAATGTTCAGCGCAATTCGATGTTTTGAGGGAGTCTTGAAGCTGGAGCTCTGTACGAAAATATTTAGTGCCTATAATGACTGTGAGTCTTGAGTCTTCAACGCAGTCATTTAGTGCATCAATTACAGAATGTGTTAGAAATGATAGACAGGTAATACAGAAATCTGAACCCAAACTGAATCCTGACGGAGTATTTAAGGTGGATTGATATTGCTTGATGGCAATGGGTCTTTAATTGCTGTTTGATGTCTCCTTTCTCAATTAGTTCTATGTAGTAACAATTGTATAAGCAATGACACAAATGTTCTTTCACAATAACCTGGACTCCATGTAAAAACATCAGCCATGTTAAAGTGATCATATACTTTAAATTGGCAAACAGAGAGCCACCATCCCATCAAATGGGAGACTTTATCTCACTTTCAAGAAACTCTGATGCTTTTTCTACTTGAGATGTCGAGGGGCCAGAGACTTCATCTTTCGCTGCTCCTCATCCCTCGCCTTTCATCCTAAACGTTTGATGGATAAATGCGTTCGTGTCTGTTATCCAGGACTAAGACTCAAAAGAGCCAGATAAAAGGTTGAAAAGAGTTTCAAAAAAAAGAAAGGTTTGAAAATACTCAGAAAAAGTGATGATCAGATCATGAAAGATTAAAAGAGTGAAAGATCCTGACACCAAAATTAAAGCGATGAAAGGATGCTGATACTTATCGTAAAAAAAAATAAAAATTGCTGACTCGAGGGAGAAAAAAAAAATCCTAGAGGTAGAGCGAGGAGGAAGATGAAGTCTATAAAAAAGATGGGACGAAAAACAGGTACAAGGCAGAGGAGGGAGAAACCACACAGAGGATTTCAGGGCTCTATTCCGTTGTGTTGCAATACAAATTCATTGTAAGGTTACATTTTTTTCGGTACCAGCAAGAAAACTGAGCTAATCAGCAAAATTGCTGATGCCTGTAAACATAATAGATCTGCCCTGAACGTCAACCAATCACGGTCCAGGATGGAACTAATTTGGCAATTCTAGGCTTTTTGTGGAGCATGAATGGCAGACAGACTTGAGGTGCAAATATTATAAATAAATAATAATAATAATACAGTTAGAATTAGTTTGTAAGTGTATCACTGAAAACAGTTTGTAATGACAAACAAAAACACACAAGCATAAACCAGATATTACTTTTGTTGTATCCCCTTGTCCTTTTTTTTTTTTTATGGATACTAGCGCAATTCTTCTAAATAGTTAGCTTGCATGTGTGCTTGACAAGGTAAAGGATCTCCAATCAAAAATTGAAGAACACAAGAGAGATGTAGAAATGTCTAAAAAGAGGCAGAGATATGGTGAAGGAAGAAGTTATTTTTACCAATGCAGAGAGGAGGTGGGTAGTTCCATCGTCTGACGGTCCCAGGCATACAGGTAATGTGCGAGTTCCCCTACGTAGCACATCAATGTGTGCACACAGAAACAAAGATAAAAGTGCGACAAAAAAAACAAGAGATCAATTCATTTGTCCTCCCGCTGTCACTCATTGCTTGCTCCAATGATTTGAACCTGCTGCCTGTCTCCACATGACTTCACGTGGAGACTAAATAACTCAATCCATCTGAAGTGACAGAAAATAATAGAGAGGGAGCAACTGGGGCGTACTAAATTAATCCCCATTGATGTTACTCAGTTAATAAAAGCTATAAAACATCGTTCTGAAATCTCTGCTTGATACTCAAGACTAAGTTACCATTAAAAACAAAATATGTGTATCAATAATTGATGAACAACATGATTTACCTTCTGCTAAAGTATGACTACAAGTTCATTCAGAGAATGTCAGGGCCCCACACTAAAACAAATGTGGCAGTATTTAAAGTGGACACCAAGACAACATGCTGGTGAAGACTTGTGTTCTATTCTTTATCCTGTGTGACTGATTAAGGTTTTGCTACTGTGCCGGCAGATATTTCCATTCTTTGTGATTTAACCTCTCTACCTAAATCTTATGTCTGAATTTAGCTCTGGAGCATCATATACCAGTATCTAGTAGTGAAGTGTAAGAAAGAAATAAGAAGTGACTTGTTAGAACTGTGCTCATTGTCAAGACTGTGTTCCTTACAAGTTAATCAAATTGCTTTTATCTCAGTTTAAACAATGTGACTGATATCACTTGTGTCTTAGAGCATGTCTGAAACAAATACACACTATAGATTTACTCTTTTCATTTTTTTTTCAATAACTCCACTACTGCAAATACACTTAGGACAGCAATATTATAACCATTTACACATTTAGTGTAGCATAGCACAAATAGCATTTATTACATGGGGTGAAACTCCAACACAATATTATTTAAAAAGACAAAAGTTATCATTATCTCTTTAACGTTATTGTTATAGAGAGATTCAAAAAGACATGACAAGCTTTTTTGTTCAAATCTGCTGTCTGTCAAGCAGCTATTAAACGTTTCAAAAGACTCAAAGCTATCTTATTTAACGCTTGAAAAAATGTGACGCAAAACCATTCTGAAAGATGGGGGTTGTATCGCCAACATATATTTCTAGTGAGAACAGTGAGTGGGGGACAGTGGGAACACTTATTCCTGAATGACTTCTGTGATACACAGTGGAGAGGGATCTTTAAACACATTTTGTTTTAAACCACTGTACTGCATCCAGCATGTCCAAAGTTGCCAATCCATCCTCAGAACAGACCAGATGACTACAACAGAAGTACTGAAGGATGTGTATACACAGTCAAACAATGTGCAGCACCAGAAGCTTAGAGCACCATATCCTAAGCATAACATGCAACAGACGGAGAAAACCTTTCTTTATATACAGTATACCTTTGTTTTTGGCTACACAATTGAGCAGCTTCTGGGTAAAAACTTGCATGCATGTTTTATTCTTTACACTGAATCATACCTGAAGCTGGGAGATATTACCTGTAGCGTATATCCAGGTTCACACTGAAAAGACACCACGTTATTCATCTGAAGACGCTCCCCAACCTTGATGCCATTCATAGGGACCACAGGCTCTGGACAGTTGGTAAGAGACACAGCTGGGAAGATTTAAAAAAAGAATGGATGGACCATCATAAGGAGAGGAATAAATAAAGAGAACTTGATTATTACAGTGTGCAGACACAAAGAGAAAAAAAGCAAGATATAACACAAAATTTGACCAAAACATTGCAGGTGACACATCTGCTTCTAGGGAGAAAGCTTAAGTAAGATAAAAATGTACTCAGGGTGTACTTTACCCCAAGAGGAATTAACTATTTTTTCACTTACTTTTGTATTCCAGCCTGAATCCAGCTGCAGACACGCTAATATCAGAGAAAAAGTGGAGGTAGAGCTGGTTGGAGGTGCTGTTGAGAAGAGCCGGGACTGTGGTGCCTTTAGGAGAAGATTAATGGTGGAATTTAGCAAAGTTATCTCCTGCATAGAGCGACCAGAACTAAACTGAACAAGCCACGGGCAAAAAACTTTAAAAAAGGTGGTTCTTTTAACATTTCCCAGCTTAAGAGTGTGTTTTGTTTGTGTATGTGTTTTTTTGCCTGTGTTTGCTTAAGCGTGAATGCAGCATGACTGTGTGCATGAATGAGTGTTTTACATGTGCATCAGGCTATTTGAGGAGGCAGATGTATAGTAGTCTGACCTACTCACTTCACAAGACAGAGAAATGTTATCAAATTGAATTAAACAAAAACAAAACCCCTTCTAAATAGGGGGGGGGAAATGATCACAGGATAAAAACAAATGTTCTACAGACACTGTGTGACCTAAAATTAGCCGATTAATGGCTCAGATTTGTAAGCCTGCCGTTTCTCTTTCATCTCTTTACTTCAGGGTGCATCTAACATTTACTCTTGGTCTTGTTCCAAGCACAAACAAAAGCAGAATTCCCTGTTGCTGTATTGAGGGGAGTAACACTGCTACTGTAAACAAATGTTCCCATTAACTCCACACAGCAAAGGCTAACCTTTGTAGAGCTGTACCAAGATTTTTGCCAGAGGAAGCTCACACAGATTGGAATTTTGAAGAAATCCCATGACTATTCGAGCAGCCTTTATAGACTTTAAATGTAATTAGCAGTGTGTCTTCCAGGTCATATACTGCCTTGTGGGGACTATCATGTTTGCATTGAATATTCTTTTGGCAGGAAGTTGCTAAAAAAAAAAAAAAAACCTGTTTCATGAACAAGGTGAAGGTGGTAATAAACATTGGAAACATGCTAAAAAGGAATAAAAACAAAACCTGCATACATGCACAGTTAAAAATACCTGAGAAGCTGCCAAGCATGGTGTCAGTGTTGTCCCCTCCATCAAACACCTCCAGCGAGTCCCAGTTCTGCTCAGTGACAAAGCTGATTACCTGGATCTGAGAGAGGAATGAGGAGTATTTATGTCAGTGGAAAAAGAGGAGGGGATTTAGGAAGCCAAAGAAGGGGCGAAAGTGTGAACGTGAAGAGAAATAAGAAATTAGGTTGAAGGGGTAAGGGGATTAACAAGTGAGAGAAGGTGCTATAAATGGATCATGAAAGAGGGACATGGACGAAGTAAAACGGATGATCATTTGACGAGTCACAACTTGAGAAAAAGTTGAGCTGCGTCTCAAAATATCACAGGAAAGCTACCCTTAGCATGACAAAGTAATGTTTGATGTACAAAACACAAACCTCTCTTCTGTAGAGTACCTTGAAAGCTCCAATAGATGTTACAATTAAAAGTTTAGAATTCTCCGAACAGAGCAATAATCGTCGTGCATTTGTTTCATTCTTTGCTTTTTTTAAACCCCTGGTTGAAGGCAGTGTTCAAGTGGTTCACACTGGATTTGAAATTGAAGAAACCGTATGACAGCTACAGAGAATGTTGGAAATTCTTCAAAGAAAGGCAGACTGAGACGTTAGCTTGCTAGACTTTGTCTGATGAGGGTTGCCCACATTAAAAAAAAAGATCCCACATACTGGGAGAAAAGCATTGTTGACGCCTACATGACGGGGTAAAAAACTATTTTGCAGTTGAATGCCAACCACAGGAAGTGGTAAGCTTACGGCGATTATTTAAATTTCTAGTTCACGTTCAAACCAAAGCAAATGAATAAATGAAGCTACACTGCGCTGTATTTTTCCTCCTTTTTTCTGACTCAAATTATTTTCTGCAATGTATTTGTCCTCTTTTCTTTTTTCAGTTGCTGCAAGCCTCCCTTTCTGTTCCCTGTTACTTCAATTCCTTGGCCCTCTCTTCTGCCTCTGATGGTTATAGATCGGATACAAGCCTATTAAAGGGCCGGTAGGAGCTCTGGCGCATCGCAGGAAGACAACGCAGATCACAGATTGATCTTTCATTAGGGGGCCACGGCAAATGTGACGGCAAGGCACCTCACTCCTTTAAGTTCTGTGCTGGATCGTGACACTCCAATCTTATGTGTGTCTGCTCAATGGTATAGAAGGAGTGACATAAATAAAGACGGATAGCAGGGAGACAAGGAAGATGGTGTAAAAGACAAGAGGTGGAGAAGGTGTAGCAGGAAGGATTCAGCTTGTGTGTGTGTGTTTGTTGCCCAAAGAAAACAACATTTCATTTCTTGACTTTTCTGTTGCCACTTGCGTATGTATTTCCAGTGTCCTGCTGTTTGCCTTTCAGAGGGTGTGCATACTGTCAGCTCTCTGTTCTCATTCTTGGTCTATCTCACCTCCAAACTTCTGTGATGGTGGTGTGTAGTGCAGCATGCTAAGTGCACCTGTGGGCCACCTTGTGTATTTGACCTGCAAGGACAGTCAGCTAAGGTGGAGGAGCTAATAGCTGAGGGACGGCACTGAGGTCATTAGCCACAGAGGCTGAAGCATAAGCCTAAAAACTTTCTGTCAGGCAGATCCACAGGGACCATGCCCAGGCTCCTGGTGGAACTCCATCACACATGCATCAAAGAATAAGAATATGCAAACTGAATTAACTCCCTGAAAGGAAAAGAAAGTCATTGAAGAGGCAATCACATACAAATTTATTTCAGGTTGTGCCTTTTCAACTTTCTGGTATAGTGATCAGCCAAATTGAATTCTCGGGCTGAGTAAAATCTAGACTTTTTTAATCAGCTCTTCTGTACCTTGAGAAATGTGAATTCCGTATGCACTCACACTGTTAATATGCCTGTGGTAAGCTGAAAACATGCCAGCACACTGGAGGTTGTCTTGAAGACAAATTAATACTGTGAGGGAAACATCCTAAAGGTTTGTCAAGTTTGTTAATTGCTCAACCTTCCCTGAATTTTGAATCAACAGTAACATTAGCATTGCAAAAAAAAAAGTTAAATTTCAATGTTTTTTTATGCAGATTGAACTAGACAAAGCATCTTAAAGGCAGGGTTGGTAGTTTTCAAAAACTAGCATGATTTTGAAAGTAGCATTCCCTCAGTGCTCCCTCAAAAGCCACGCCCCTCACTTACATGACCTTCCTATATCGTCAGTCATTAAATATACATGCTGTGTTGAAGTGCTAGTTTCTCTGTCAACAATGAAGCATTTCTTTTGTCCAAAGAAGTAGGCGGTTGTCATTGTGGATGCCGCTCCGTCTGCCAGGCAAACGTCAAACCAAAGGTGTTTGCAGTGATGGAAGTGGGCAAGCCGGCCTTAAAAGCCTCAGCATTTTTCTAATAACTTCGACAACGTAAAAACCAGGATAAATATTGTGGATGCTTTTGAAAAATGGAGAGAGTTTAGAATGCAGAGAGGTCTAAGACCAATTCAGAGCTGGTTAAACACTGGAGCTTCAGTGCCAGCGACACAGCAACCAGCGTGACCATCCACTCTAGGGAGAGTGCTCGTTTAATCAGAGTTAAATATTGCTCCTTTAAAAACATGATCATAATTATAACTACGTGTAGACACCTTAGATTTTAAAACTTCTTCAGTAAAAGATTCCTTATGCAAACTCATTTTTAATGTAACATCTAATGTCTTTGATCACAACAGTTATCACACTTTATCCCTGTAAGCTCAACATGTTAGAGGTCGGTCATCGATGCTTTAGCTGCATGTGGCTTCGCTTGGATTGGGTTAGGATATATACTGTATGGTGTTTTCAAAGTTGAATGTGTGTCAGATTGACTTTAGAATTCAACTAATTTTGGAATAAGCAAATCATTAAACGCCACTCTGAACTTTTATGCGAGGTAAAAAAAAAATCTGTGAAACAAACCTGGATTCCTGAACCCTCAGGAACAGTGATCTTCCAGACACAGTTGAGGCTGTTAAGGTATGGCTCAGGAAAGCCAGGGGATAAGATGGTGCCGGTGCGATGGGTCAGATTCCCTCCACATGGAACTACAGGGAATAAATTGCAGAGTAAAACAACACATTTATATAAGCAATCCATCAAATGTTATGGTAACAAAATAGAGGGTAAGATTAGGGATGTGGACACAAGTACACATACATCTGAAATAGCATCACAATTGTAAGATGAATCTTCTTCCTTAATCTATTTTGATCAAATATAGACTCAATTTAGCTAGTGGCATTAAAAAAAGACACTTAGTCATTCAAACAGGAAGACACAATAATTGTTCTAAAAGATTAGAAAATAAATTATGTCAAAATAGTTTTTTCAGAACTATTTTTTGAAGTGTGTTGAACATTTGAAATGATCATCACTCAGATTATTGTACATTTCTTATAAAATAAAATCTCTTTCTAGGACTCACTGTATTTAAACCAGTTTACCACAACTAGAATGAAAATGTACAATGTGACTACACAAACATACGCTTAGTATACCAGACATACTCTTTGTACACCATCGTCCCAGCTTGTTCTACACATCTGGTGACAGCAGAGAGGCACCTGCTACAGCTGTATGGAGCGCATTCTGAAATGTGTGTTTGTTTATACATGTCCATATGAGCTTGCGTATGCCTGTGTGTATTTGTGACCCTCTGGAGTGCTGGCCACCTGTGTGCCTTGTGTCTCAATCTTGTCGTAATGCTACAGGCGATGGCTGGCAGCCCACATCTGTGTCATAGTAACCTCAGCTTGACTCTTAAGTTATCAAGTGTGAGAGACACAGAGACAGAGTGCGAGAGAGAGAAGAGGCGGTGAATCAAAAAGTAATGAAAGAGAAACAAACAGATTAAGTGTGTGAGTGTCTGTGTTTGTGACTCGATTTGTTGTCAGTGTTTGAGTATTCATTCCTCACCTATACAGCTGGGTATTGAGCTGTTCCATTGAGCCAGTGCATTGGGAACAGTCAAACACTCAATGGCGCCCGATCCCTCCAGCATATAACCTGGACTGCACTCAAAGCGGATCACAGCGCCAACAGCAAAGTTGTTACCCATTCGTCGGCCATTGCGAGGCTCAGGGACTGAGCTGCACTGGGTGGCACTGGTCCGTGGCACAGCTGTGGAGAAAAAAACACATGTTGATTACTGGTTGATTTTAAGTGATTATCTGTAACATTTCCCATTAAAAAACAGTTATTCTGTTATTGACTACATTCTATTCTGTTATTGACTACAGTAATCCCATGAAGGATTCCCAAATACTCTCCCAAACACTTTGAACCTAACCCCTTAATCGATGGAGTGATGTATAAGAGAAGTGACTACAGTAGTCACTGTAACAATAATCAAACTGTGTGTCTCAAACAGATAATACAAAATGTGGTTCGACTTGTCTTAGTTTTTTTTATTTCCTCCAGCTTACTTACAATAAACTACACCAAAAAATGAATAATTTATTGATTCAACTTTCTCCAGAGTCTCTATTGCCTTTGGTTATCTGAAGCAAATGTCATTTCTGGTACAGTGCATTATTTAAAGAAAATAAAAGAAATTCAAGAGAAAATTCCCTCTTAGGGGAATAGTAGAACAGAGCAGTTACAGCACAACCTTTTCAACAGACTGCTTTACCTCCACTGTGTTAATGCTTCAACACACGCACGCACGCACGCACGCACGCACACACACGCACGCACGCACGCACACACACACACACCACAGCTGAAACAGTTGCTGAAGGTAAATCCTTTCCAAATCACTCAGCAATTCATCTATTATGGAGGTGAACTGTGACTGAGTCGGAAAAAAGAGGGAATCCAAAAAAAAAAAAAAAAAAGCAGTAGGATTTGTTTGTATGCATTTGTGTGTATGCTTGTGTGTTACACACTTACCCTGGTAGACCAGGTGGAATCCTCTGGAGCTGGATTGGCCCTTGGAGGTAAAGCGGATCAGGATTTGGTTGGAGGTTGCCAATGGCAATGACTCGCCTGAGATGGAGAAAGTTAAGACACATTTATGTAAAGTGCTGCCATCAGTTTATGTTTGTGTGGGAACGTACCACTTTCTGTAGCTCCCAAACTGCCATTTAACACCTACGCAGTTAAAAATAATACATCCTACATCCGCTTAGTATAAAACAGCAGAAGTTATAATGTGTTCAGCAAACTTTGGAAGTTCAACTGGTAGTAAATCTGATAATAACTCTGTGATAGATAAATTACTGCAAGTCCCCCAACAAATGTCTATTGATGCTTCAGCATTGCAGAAAGGTTGGACCCTTTAGTGTAGGCCGGTAGTTATCTGATTTCAGTAAAAAGTGTGTGGTTTAGTTTAGAGCAGTGCAAGTTGAGGTTAGGCTGTAGTAAAATGACCTTCTCTCAGGATCAAATATCATGCAACTAAAGCTTTATAGTGCATTAGGCAAATGGGTGCTGATATCAAAGTTGATCTCATTTCACTCATAAACAGGAGTAGGCTTAAAAAGCTTATGGAAATTTAAGTATTTTGACTAAATGGAGTTAATTATTCTGATATCATTAAATCACAGATACAGCCGAACCTCTGACAATATGCTGTATACATTGTTTTGATTGATACAGCATATACATAGCTCAAACGCTACTTTTAATCAGTATACAGTACAAGCTCTACACATTGTGTCAAGCTCTGTTTTTTCCCCACTTTATAAGTAATTGATGGTAATTGTCTTTGTCTTGTCCCAGCTGGACTACAGTATTGTAACACTCTGTTCACATCCCCAAATTATCAAATCTTATCTCAAGATTCTGCAGCTGGTTGAAAAGTGTGCACTAACACTGTTAAGTGCAGTAAAGCTAGCTCTTCAGATAACAGCTTGCCTCGCCTTGCTTCATAGGCATAGTGTGAAATACAGAGTCAAACTCAAGGTTGGGTTTATCACCTGCAGTGTAAAGCGCTCTACAATCAAGCTCCTGCTCCTACTGTACAGGCAGGACTCTAAGGTCACCTGACCAGGGCTTAGTGACTGTCCATCTGTCAAAATACACGGCCAAGGGTGAAGGAGCTTTTGTGTTTGTAGCCAAAAGGCTTTGGAAAGAGCTAATTTGTTAAGTTTTTAGCTTTATATTTGTTTGTTTGTAGTCTCTGTGATGCTTTTGTTTTGACTGAAATGTAAAGCATTGTTGAATTTTGCTCTATAAGATGCCATATACATAGATAAACATTGCACTATGTTGGGGCTACAACTGCGGTGCTACAGTAATTATGTCTTCCTAAGTATTTCTCATATAACATTTAAGAGTGCCAAATTTAAAAAAAATCAGTCTATAAAAAAAAAAAACCCAGAGAGAGGATATTATGTCATAGCAATTACTAGTATGATTGCTTGCTACACTTGTCAACACAAAGTGTAATTAAACACAAGAAAAACCCCGTGACACATCTACTGTGGTGGAAAACTATTTGTTGACAGAACATGATACAAAGTGTGAGCATCTCTCTTTCTGATTCTGTGTGTCTCTCTCAGTGGGGCTGCTGACTGGCTCTCGGCAGTGGATCTCATTACTCTGTGTCTGCTTGCTGTCACACTGCAGAGGGAGGCAGATGTGCTTAACCTAAGAGGCAACATCTATGTGTCTGCTAGAAGAATGTTTCAGTGATTCTTTCCATTACATGTGTGTTTGCTTACGTTTTAGTGTGTGAATACTTCTGCACCTTCAAACACAGCGTCCTGAGATACCTCAAATGGCACCGTTTTTTTTAGTGCATCATCACTATGATTGTTCGAGTTCCACAGTAGGATCCCTGAGGCATGCTGGGTAGTTTATTAGAAGAAGCCCTCGCCGAGCGCTACCATGGCGACAGTGTTTAATAATTTGCTGTGCTGGGCAGGTATTCATCCAGACAGATCAAACATGTGTCAGCATGTAACTTATCAACCCTCTGGCCACTTTCCAGCTGCAAACTGCTTTGCCCTTAAAATGATCCTCTACGCTGGCATATGGAAGACTTACAAGGACAGATATGTCTTTGGCTGGAAGTCAGTAGTAAAAAATCCATTGGCAGGTGTTGGTGTGTACTGGTTTAGATACAGCAGTCATGGAGAAAATGCCAGAGATTAACGAAAGCTCCAGCTGTTAAACCAAAACTCAAACAGGTTTTGCGTTAGAAGCTAAGGTAGCCCAGAGGAGACAGGGTGAAGAGAATTTTATGTTCCATGAATAACTGTTCAGCTTCTATTCAGCAGCATGCAGTAAAACAAAAGAACCAAAAACACTTAGCACTGAAGTAGTCAAACTGAAATAGATTTGAATGTGAATGGACTTGCCTGTAACACCTCAAATGAGTGCAGAGAGTGAACATTGTCCTTTTTAAATGAGCATTAACACAAGTCCCCTGATTTTGTCCCTCCTCCCTACATGCTGTCTCCTTTTCCTTTTCCCAGTCCAAATAATATCCAACCAACCACTAAAATACTCATTACCTGACACTATATTTACTGCCCGTAAATATTTTAAACTGCATGTTTGGCTTGCTAGCTTTAAATACGTGTGGTTGTGTGTGTTGGCCGATGCGTAAGCGTCAATGATCTGTGTGGTTAAAGTCGGTACACACTTCTGGATTATGCCTAATTCATGCTAGTTATGGATGTGTGCACTCGTTCTTGAGCTTCTCTGTCCGAGCAGGATGAAAGTCTCTCTTCCCTTGCCAAAGTGTGTCTGCTCAGCTGTGCCATGCCTGGTTAGAGAGCCCTGTGAACTTGCTGCCAGGAGTCTACAGTTAATATAGCATCCTGTTTATTGAGCTGTAAACTGGATTTTCTGAGGCTGCCCTGGACACAAACCAAAGTAATCATTTTGCTTTTGTCAAGCCACAGGGCTCGAGCAGGCTGGGATGGAAAGCTGCCCTATTCCACACACCTTTTCACCCCAACCTTCTTGAAAGGTTGAACAACCCCCACTGTTCAAGCTGTTCCTTTTGTAGCCCACCCATGCGGTTGTGGCATTTTCTATCACACTTGTACATCAGCAATCTCACAATACTGTTGCAGCAGAAGTAATTAGATCTCTTCACATTCTCACTTTTGACCTTACAACAGTTATGCTTTTCCTTTGTCTCAGTTCTGCTACCTTTGTTTCTGAATGCTGTACGTTTTTTTTTGCCCTTTTGAGTTTATTACTGCTTAAAATAACACTGGAAATGATGTATGCAATTTTGGGAATTATTTTGAATGAGATGATTTTCTAAAAAAAAAAAAAAGAATCATACCTTTAAATTTAGCAATGCAGCCAACATTGTTCACATATTACCCCTGCTCTAAGGATGTTCTTCACTATTTTTGATATTGATGATTCATGCAGCTCTGAGTCGGTCTTCATTTAAATATGCCATTATTTTTCTTGAAGAAATCCCTGTGACACCTGCCTGACTTACCTCTGACATACTGGTGATCAGGTGTGTGAGTGCTCTCGTTTGTCTTCATATCTATATCCTTTGTTTATATCCTGAGAGTTGACATATTTTGTTTGTGCAATAAGACTTCAGGTGTATGTTCGAGACAGTCTGCTGATGTGATGACTCTTTACGGTGTTGTTGTCATTGCTGAGCATTTTTACAGCTCACAGGAGCCCACCTGCAGCCCCAGCAGCTCTACCTGTTGTCAGCAATTTGTGAGAAGGGGATGAGGCTAAGGCAACATTTGATTTAGTTTTCCTCTTAAAGCTCTGTAAAAAATAGCTATGAGATCAAATAGTCAAATCCCACAGGCAATGACTTGCCTTCCTGCTGTTCAATCTAACTATATTTTATTTTTCTTATTTTTAAAGCTGAATCATACCCAATAGCAGCCATCTTAAAAAATGTCAGGGCACGCATGCATGCCAGTGTGTGTTTGCTAATGTACCTGTGTGTGCTCCAGAGAGGGAGCTGAGGACACGGGAGTGCTGCGTCGCCCCATCATAAACCTCCACAATGTCATTCAGAGCTGTCTGGAAGAAGGCGAATTGACTGAAGACGACTGGAAAAGACAGACAGGAGACAAATAAAATAGCATCAGAGGAAGAAAAATTGACTGCGTCACAAAAACCCTGAAAGCTCCATTTAAATCCCGAACAAAGTACTTTGTGGTATGCAGATGAAATACTATGAACAGCAATTTCAATCAAGCGTCTTCTATCAAGTGAGGTGGATGATGCTGCTCATTATGACAACAAAACCAAAAACTGATATTATACGACTAAATCAGCAATCCTGCCTGAGCTTGATGGCTTGTCAGTAGATGAAAGGATCGGGCAATGACAGCCAATCTGTTGCACATTGTGAAGCCTAAGCTCCACTACTGTGCTTTCATCCGTTCAAAACATCCTTTTACTACTTTTGCATATAACATATTCAGCCCGCTCAGATGTAATTTATGTCTATTTATCATTGTCTGTTTCTATTCGTGGGGGGGTTTTGCAGGTTAAAGTAGGGTGAAAAAAGGCAGGGGGGAGAGGGAAGAAGACTAGTGCTTTGGCAGTGCTTTTCTTTTTGCTTGAATACGGCACAACTTCAGTTTTTGCCTTTATCTGTACATCCTCCTCACTCTGACTCTGACAAGAGGGGGCAGTGACACCTGTCCTGTCCTCTGCATTTGAGGAGAATAGTCCATCATAAGGCAGGGTGCATCAAGCCTGATGGGAAGCTTCAATTTTGGCTTTGCACCACCAAGTGTGTTGTCCTTGGGCCTCACCGCCATTTCCAAGGAGTATGCAAATGTGGATTTTAATTATATCCCTTTTGCACTCTCGCTTTGGCTTCATAGAGAGAATATGTTGCCGACAGGGCCCGTGAAAGGTTGCCCCTCCATTTCAGACTTCCAAATGGGCGTCATGACCTCACCATTCAAAAGAATGGACTTGAAGTACCCCAAAGCAAAACACATGCCAGCCATTGCTGTTTGGTATAATTTAACAACGATGGGACTTGAGCTGTCCCTTAGAGAGGCACAAAGCTGATAAGTCATTAAAGAGCCAGAGGGGAAAAGAAAAAGGAAGCAGAAGAGTGGAAAAAACTGAACTAAAGACAGACAGTGAAGCAGGCAGACATCGTGGGCAGGAAGTGAAAAATGTTTGCCTCTGTTCTTACTTTTCTTGTCTGAGCTGTGTCTCACTTCTGCATTGTTTTGCTTTCTGAATAATTTGCTGCTCCTACAGCATCAGATCACATATTGGAAGCAAGCTATGACCTTTAAGATTGAAATGCCAAAAAGCAGTGAAAATTCGGGAACTCTGGATGTTCCAGACACCAATTATTTTTGCTGTATATGTGTGTGGGTATCTGAGACAGACAAATTGTATGCCTGATGTGGAAGATAGTGAATCAATTACTGTTCTGAAGTAACATGAAAATCTGGTGTGGCAATGAGACAGATGGATAGGGTAACTGTAGTTCACAGTTTTCTTTGAAACATTGAAAAAATATAAAAAAAACTGCTTTCAGTACACATCAGACTAGAGCAAGCAAAGAACACAGTGTGTGTGGGAGCTTCTATAGGTGTTCTGCAAAATTTCTTTCTCCTACTCAGCTGTGACTAAGAATATTGTTGTCTTGCTTTCATTGGTTTCTATTATTTATTTATTTTCAATTTATTGAGGCACTCAAACAGAGTTTTGGGCAGATAAGGACATCTTTTACATCATATAAAATGTGTGTTTCTCATCACATGCTTAGATACAACAAAAACACACATTTAAAAATATGCAATGTAGGGTTTATTTGCTTACCGTAATCCTTGGGCACCACCACAGAGTACAGACAGGTTCGTGAAGTGCTGTAGTTACCAGGGTAACCAGGAGATAAGACTACTCCCTCCAAACCCGAGTACTGTCCACCACATGGAGCTAGGGAGGCAAAGAGAGGAGGAACAAAAAGCAGGGTCAGACGGAGGAATGTCCAAAGCCAATAGTGTAAAGTTCCATTTCTCCTCCGCCTCCTGCTGCTGCTGCTGCTTTTCCATCCCCTCCGTTCCAGTACTTCTAAATTACTTTCCTTTTCTGATTGGGCTTTGGTCAGAAGATGTCTCAGATGTTTGCCACAGTGAAATTGCAATGTTTTCCAAGTGTCCCTCTGGGTTAACCTGGGATAGATGAGACCCTCTGCTGCTCAAATCCTCTTTGTGTGTGCTTATATGTAGTTGTTTTTTCTTTATTATTTCGCCTTTGAAAGCATGTATTCCACCTGACGTGAAACTGAGGCTTCATGCGGGGAGAGCCAGACTTGGTAGTGTTAGGGATCTTTTAGCTGCTTTAAAAGGAACATGCACAGCATGTGTTCGTCGTGCTGTGGAAATTTCAGAGAACAGGCAGCATGGCGCAGGTTTTGTCACAAGTGTGCCAAGCAGATATGCAAAAAAAAAAAAAACTAGCTCTACTCAGACTGCAGATTACATCAAAGCTGCACCCTCACATCTATCAGCAGTAGCCATAAAAGAACACAGCACGACACATACACCTGTAGGAAATAGCTCAGTGCAAAAAACCACATAATCAGAAATGCATGTTTACATGAGATGAATCTATAAGCACTGATGTGGTTTGTGTTCCTAACAACCGTCTCCAGATGTCAGTGTTTACCAATGCAGATGGGTTTGGGCTTGTTCCAACTTGGCTTGCCATCTCCCCCCATGATGCAAGTGAGGGTTTGGTCTCCCTCTAGTGTGTAGCCACTGTCACAGTGGTAGGTGACAGTGGAGCCCAGCTTGAGGTCGGTGCCCACCCGTGTCCCATTGCGCACCACGCCTGGCTCGAAGCAGGACTCCCTGGGGTTCTCTGTGGAGAGAGGTAACACAGCGGAAAATCAGCAACAGAAGGGAATGTGTGTTGATATTTCAGAAAATGGAGGGAGATATTTGCGTCAAGATGCAGCAGTGAGACTGGAAAAGAAACCCTTTTCCGTCCAAGGTTGCTGACATTCTGAATTTTCTTCCTTCCTTCACTCATTCCCTTTTCTCCCCTACTCCGTGCTTTCCTCTTCCAGTAAATATATCTCACTGACTGCCACTTTTCTCTCCAGCCCTTGACGGTGCCCTTTCATCTGTGGCTGCTGGAGGTATGTATGGCTGTGGAGACAGACAGGCACCTGATTGAGAGTGGCATTGCTCTGGCCCAAGGTCTGCTGACTGCACACAACCGCCTCTCGCACAACACTTCACGGTGCACTCAACTAGAGAAGACAATGCACATACGCAAGCTCTCTCCAGCGGACACACGCGCACACACACACACACACGGGCTGTATCTAACCGCATATCAATCACCATTCCTGAGGTCTTAAGAAAGATGTCTCGCTCAATCTACCATCACATTGTTCTTAGGTGGAAAATGTGCATGTGTGAGGAGGGCTGTCAATTTGGCACACTTCACACCCTCATGGCTAAAATAAACAGAGGAGAAATGCCTGATGCAATTTGATTCAATCTTAGACAGAGCAGACTCAAAGCATACCTCAAAATTTGATGACTTAACACACACATACAAAGGGGAGAGGAAGGTGGGTCAAATGTTTTCATTTGACAGGAAATCTTCAACTGACAAGTTTGTGCTTTACAAAAGAAAACATATGCAAGAGCCTTGAATACCACAACATCCACAGGTTGAAAGCAAGCTATCAATACGAGACATCCCTGTCTCCTGCAATTCTTTGACCAATTTTTGACAATTTCAATGTCAACAAATACGTCTTCTTTTTTACTTCTTTGTCATGCCAATCATGTTTACAGAAAGCCTTGTTATTATGCAACGCTAACCTTCCTTCAAACTATTTTCTGTTCATTTCTAACGCTTATGAAGAGGATCAAGATTTTGTATGGATTTTTTTCAAGGTTTCTGTTTTTCAACTACTTGTGATAATCAAACTAACCGTAAGACATTTAATTTATACAATCAAGCTTATTCCCCTTCCTTGTATAAAACAAGCTGTGTCCCTGTATATCCTATGTGTGAAGAGTAATTATCACAAAGTCTAGTGTTACTTAAGTTTTATTGATTAATGCATGTAGCACTTTGGACTAATGCCAGTGCTAACCTGAAATCTGTGGATCTGCTGACCAGACGGGAAGCTGCCCTTCATGGCTGAGCAGAGTGCTGAGGCCATGCATGTGTCCTGGCTGTCTGTCACCCAGGGCACCTGTTCTAGACAGGTTGAGCCCTTTCATGGGCTGATTTAGACCTGAACCTTCCCTTGCCGCTGCCTTCATTAAACCAGCACACCTGGCAAGAGACAGCAGAGGCGTGATGGATGAAGCGGGCATTAGGTGTGGACTGGCCCTGGACACAAGCTGGTGGTGAGAAGGTCGGTCAGCTCAGTGAGGTTGGACGATTTAAACTCCCTTGTGCTGAGACATTTACAGGCGCAGGGAAAGGTGGACAAGTGGCTCCATCAGTTTTGAAAAACACTCAGTGGAGTTTAAGTGGTGTGAGCCTGTGAGTTTGCAAGTTGTTGGATCAGATAGATGTGAGTATAAGAACTGGTGTGTGTGTGTCTGTGTGTGAATCTGTTCATGTCCGTGTCCATGTGTGTGATTCAAATGCGTTTCAGGCATGGCAAGTTTTAGCCCACATACTACCCAGGAGACACTAACGACTCAGGGAAACAAAACAGAGAGACACAACCGTTGCTTGGTAAAGAGATTGACAGCACCTCAGGCAAGTTTTGTAATGAAATTTTTCAGCAGCTGCATTTTTGGGCCGAATTTTGAACTTGCTGCCCCTTCCCCAAACAGACCCAAAAACACAGCTAGCTGTGCTTTCCTGCCATGTTGTTTGTCTGAAAGTGAGGAAGTAATTTATGTATTATTTGGTTATGGTTCATTAGTGTGGAGAATTGGAAGTGTGGAGAGGGAGTTTTTCTGAGCCCCACACTGGGTCCATCTGCTCTACCAGATTGGCCATACAATATCACACACTGCATCACACACTGCAGTAAATATCGCTTGGAGTGAGTTAAGGGGTAGGCTCTGTAACACTGTCTTAACAAAATGCTGTGTTTAACTCCATTTATGTATAATTCACTAATGAAACCAACGAGGTGCATCGCATAAACGAGTAGCTTTGTGAAATCGGTTGAATTGCTAACATAGATCAAATCCAATCCGGACAGCAGCCAAGAAACCGAGAGCTCAGGGTCGATCTGGAATTGGTTAAACGTCTGATACCTTAAACAGCTCTAATTGAGGCTGGGAGGGTTAAGAAGATTTAATACTGTTCTCCAAAGCGAAGCCTATAACGAAGACGCCACGTCTAATTTAAAGCTTGTTCTGCTTCTGTGTGTTTGTGAGGAAAAGGCTTTAACATACAGGCACTGATATGCTTTGCTAGACTGTATGTTAACCCCCAACTGGCCCTTCTTCAAGGATGTCTGGGATCACTCTGCAGCATGTGTGTTGTACACAATACCTTGTACGAGCAAATAAATTGGGTCTCCCCAAACAACATGCTGCGGTCAGCTAAGCTCAGCATGAGACAACAAAACGTTGTTTGCTCTAATTTATGAGAAGCCTTTTGTGCAGCTGCAAAGCACTGATCAAACGGAGCTTAAGCACACATGCTGCTGGCTTTTCATTTTCATAATTCTTTGTTAGTCGGCTACTAGATGGGGGACAGATCAATAACAACGCCCGAGCAGACTATGGCACAAATGTGAGGAGGGGGATCGTGAAGCTGCTGCACAGACACCCCCTCCTTTTTTTCAAGACATTTTCTGACCACTTATCTCACTCCCTTTGGACTGTGACACAAGAGAGAGTTAAAAAAGATACAATCTGCAAGTTCAATAAGCAGCAGAGGGTAAATCCATTTGCACTGCCAAAAGGAAGAGTGTTAAAACATGAATTGTTTGGAGGATACAGCCTTATATAGCATTGGATACAATGAACTGGTTTGTTCTGAATCTTAAAGCCCTGACGATTAAAACTCCTACACATCCAAACACACACATACACAGACTACAAGTTCTCACTACACTGATATCTTTATTCTAATTAGCCAAATACTGTAGACCCTCCAATTCGTTCCTCTAATGAAAGAGGTGCCCACCTGTGTACTGAAGCACAAATCCATTGCTGCTGAGAGAAGCATCACTGCGAAAGGCCAAGAATAGAGTGTTGGAGCTGCTTTCGATGCGATCGGGAACGTCTGCGCCATAAAAGCTACCCAGCAAGGGGCTGAGAGAGTCCGGCCCATCATAGATATGCAAGAAGTCATAACTGGGCTCCAAGCTGAATCTGTATAGAGAAATGTAAGTTTCATTAACATTTGCTGTCCAGAGGAGCTGACAGACACTCCACAGGCTTCCTTTTTGAGTTGATAAGTCTAAATAGGTCAACATGTTGGAAATGATGTGCTATCGAAGCTTACTGGTTAAAGCTTAAAGCGATGACATAGTCCAGTGTCACGGTAACTCTCCAGTCACACTCTCTGCCATGCGGATAGGGTTCAGGATAGTCTGGAGACAGAATCAGCCCACTAGGACCTGTCAGGTTCCCACCGCACGGAGCTATGGACAGAGAGAAATCAGTCAGTAAATGATGCAAAAGAGTAGACAACACAAGAACTCTATTTTCAAAGTAGTCAATTTAACATCCCTAGATGGTAAACCTTAGCACAACATATTCAATTCAACTATGTTGTTTTGTTGATTTTTTTTTTTTTAATTCATTTTTTTAAGATGTAACTTGTTCTTGCTAATATTAGTTAGTTTAAAAAATATATCTTAAAAGCTAATTCTTGAAATGCGATTATAGGCAAACACTACTATAGTGGAAACACTACTTAAAGTAAAACACAAGGGATATAAAGAACAGAAGGTATCATTATACATTGTTTAGTCTTCTTCTGTATATGATATAAGACATTCATCCAACTAAGAAGTGACACATGCTTAATTAAGGCGTAGCTAATACCAGACGACATCGCTTTCATTTTCTCACCTGTAGCTCTCACTCATCAAAAAAATATTATCAAACTAATTAGGCTTAGTTGTAATTAAACAAGGCAGGTAATTGGGAGGTTTTAATATCCACGGTCAAGTCACAGCACTTTGTCGAGGATAAGAAAAATACATTTTATATTTAAAAAAAAAAAAAGGAGATGAGTAAAGGCCTGAATGAGAGCTGTGTTGTTACTAAGAAACAGGCTAATCAGATCTCCCTGTCTGCTGCACTGACTTCAGAGACATCTGGGGAACATAGCAATCGGTTTTGCCACTTAAGATTCACTTAAGGAGTCTGTTAAGTAATCACATTTGGAATCTGTATCGTCTACCTGTTTCTCTAAGACAGAGCAGTGGGAGAGGTGAGGCAGTACACTGCATTAGATAGGGAGCAGTCCTAATATACTTGAAATACTTTAAGATAACTTTTACTTTAATACTATTCTTCTTAGTCTTTGGCCAATTAAATCATTTTTACATCTTACAACTACAAAAAAAAAGCTTCCCTCAGAAACTGTAGGCGCATATTTTACACCATATTATTATAACACAGCAGTAGCAACAGTATTCTCCACTGAATATTATAACATATTCAGTGGAGAATTTTCAGGCTGAAGGAGTACCTGTGCATGTAGGAGGGTCCGGCTGCCAGAAGAAGCGGCCGTTGATCTCAGTGCAGATGATCCTGTTGGCACCCTGCAGGATGTAGCCGGGATCACACTGGAACGCCACATGGTCCCCAGGCTTCCTGCTGTCCCCACTGCGGGTCCCATTTGTTGGCAGGCCTGGGTCATTGCAGGAGGTCGCAGTAGAGACTGGAGGAGCAAGAGGAGACTCGATCATTGCAATGATGTGAAAGTAATCCTCAAATACAGGAGGAAAAAAAACAACATTATTTTGCCGTCAGAATTTACTGATGACCCTGTGTGTCTCAGTCGTTCAACCCAAGTTAATGTTAGATTTCCATTACACCGCTTCATCCCACCAGCACTCATCCTCACCAGAGAACTGCAAAGCAAAGCCCTGTTTGCTGGTGAAGAAGTCTGTGGTGAACTGCAGGCTGACAGTGTTGAAGGTGCTGTGGGCATCCGGGGGCAGCACCGAGCCACTCAGCTCTCTTAGTAGGACCCCTCCATCCTGGGGCCCATCCCAGATTCGAAGTACATCATGGACCTCCTCCGTGTGGAAAACCAGGAAATGCAGGCTGTTGAAGAAAAAGACAAATAACTTTAGAGGGTGACCAAAAAAAAACAAAAACAATCCTCATTTTAATATGTTTATGCTTTTACCCCCCCCATGCATGTCTCTGTACAATTCCACCATTAAGGAAAGCAACTTTATGCAGACAAAGTTCTTCTACATTTGTGTGATAATACAAAAAGGTTAGCTATCGAATTCACCATTTCTTCAATGTAAAATGGGATGAGTCAGAGGAGGGGGAACTAAAAAGGTTGAATCAAACTACTGAGTATTTAAAATAATCAATGTAGCCAAAGTAACAATGTGATTAAAAGAATCAATTAGAATAGAGGGAAGAAAGGAGAAATCACAGTTAAGGGCACGAATGAAAGAAAAACAAAGAACGTTTTCAAGTGAATCGCTGATTGAACATCCAGAGCGTTCAATAGATGTTCTGCAACGTCAGTCAAGCAGATACGTCTGCCACTGCGTTTAATAGTTGCAGTCTAGACATCAGAAAGATGATGCTGTCAAAACATCTACCCTTCACTTGGGAGCAGACAGCTGTCAGGCAGCTGGTGGTCCTCTGGATGTGAAATGCACTGCAAGGTGTGTATGTGTGTTTGTGTTTAAGTGTGGTAGGCTCAATGGAGTGGATTCATAATAATATATTGCTCGGAGTCTTGTGCAGTAATAAGTATGTGATTTGGACAGATGCAGCAGGACTAAAGGGATAGAAAGCTTTCTTTTCGAAACAAATGAGAGACTGGCAGTAATGTTGACATGCTTCACTCAATATAAAAGAGTTACTATAAGGCAAACAGTATTCTCGGCAGCTTTATCCCGCAGCTACGTCTCTATAAGACTTAGCAACATTTTTACAAACACGGCCTGTTTATGTCAGCTCACTTTATTTAGCGCCTTTCATTCTTCTCCTTTGAAACAAACCACTGCCTCACATGCCGACAAAATAAAGCAAAACAGTAGGATTCAATGAGATGAAGGTGTTCTCAAAATGAAGGAAACACTTGGTTTAACTTTGCTGTTTCCCGTGCAAAGTGTTTTTCACAACAACACGGTTTATTTTCTTCAAATGTATTACAGCAAAAGAAAACACTGTGTCTAGTTTAATGTCAAGTGCTCTTCTTTGATGATGTGTAATATCTTGCATGCGTGTCAAAGAATATCTGAGCTCACTGGGGAATAACACTCGCATTCGGTTCCTGCAGTGAAAACTTCACTGGTGAAAAATTCGAATACAAGATAATACAACAAATGGATTCCAGAACTTCCTGAATTTTACATTTGTGCTTCATGAATTCAGAAACACAATCATACTGTATATCCATATCAAATGTATTCATAAAACAATCTATTATGATCATGATGTCATCACTGAAAACCATTTTGCCCCAAAGCTAATCGCTGACACTCTTCCTCATGTTTCAATTTAAATAGAACGTGACAATTTTTGCAATAAAATACAAAAAGCTAGCAACAGCATTTATTTTGAAGCACACAATCTGTGAAGCTGTGTTTATTTCATTATCATGTCCACAAGCTAAATCTCACCGTGTTGTTAATCTGTCCCTTTGTCAAAATCCCATTGAAACTATGTGTTGGATGATAATCTCTGCCCTACTCCTCCTGGATGAAACCATGGTTCTCTATGTGCTTTTAGTATCCTCATCCTTCACACACGCGGGCACACACACACACACACACACACACACACACACACACACACACACAGAGCCTTAAGCTACAGATGATGCAGAGGAGAAACAGCAACCCACTGATATGTCGGGTTTAGCAACAAGTTCCCACCGTTCCTGCATAATTGGTGTCAGACTCCCGATTCCCATATTGTCTGATGTGTGAGCAGCAGCCAGAGGCCACTCAACAATGTGCTTGGTGTGTGGATACTGTACATAACCTACTCGACAAGCCCTGTCGCGATGCCTGTGAAAAAATAAAAAAGTGCTCATAAAACAAACAGATGCAGACAGGCGCATAGGTGCTTTATCCCACAAAAGTACAGAGATATGTATGTGAAGGGTATTCTGTATCACATGCCCATACATCAGCATTATGCCTCAGAGGGAAATGCAGGAACAAGAGACATGCAACACAGACTTTGAACATTAACCCTGTTATCTCCACAGAGCAGTACATCACATGTTTCAAACATTCATCTTCTGAGAAAAGTGAAAATCACTAATCCTATTATTTGGACTCATTCCTCTGCGCACGCTTCTCTTGCTAATATCCACTGGAGCATAGATAACACCCTGCGATATACAGTAATCCTTCGAAGCTCAATGGAAACAATTAAGACCAGCAAAACACTACACATGTATTCAAAACATGTGAGCAGTTAGCAGAGGTGAGAACAGACATCAAGCTAAAGCTCTGTTTACGTCTCCTCGCGCTCCGGGCCTCGCTGACAAGTTCTGATTTGCTGCCAAACACAGCTGCGTTTTCTCTTGTGGCACAGAAAATCAAACCCTGAAGTTTATAGTCGATTAAGAGTTCGAGAAGACACCTTTTTCTTTTTCTTTTCTTTTTTTTTTGAGTGGCAGTTTGAGTGGCAGCAGCCTTAAGCTTGGGGTGATGGGTGTCAAACCCCTCAGTGCTTTGAATCCAAATCTGTTTGTGTGAAACTGACTCACTCTACTTAAGCAACTCCTGCTGGGGAGCACTTGTGAGGTGCAATTCACCCTGAAATGCTTTAGTAGAAGACAATGAGTTTCAATGGAAAGCTCTCCCCAAGTACCTGCTGCCAACAGTTTTGCATATGTGACATGTACCATGTTTAACTGTTTGAGTAACTTCTTCAGTTAAATGCGGTTTTGCCACAGTGTTCATTTCCCTGATCCTCCAAGGAGGACGAGGAGTTGAAATGTATATATTTTCAATACACTACTTGAAATATCAGTCCATGGTTTTACAATATAAACAAACATATTTTGATTTAGTGCGTCTATTGGTAGAGTCTGTCATCTCTCAACAGGAAGGTCAGGGGTTCAATCCCCAGCTCCTGCAGTTAGGGAACACTTAACCCTAAATTGCTCCCACTGATTTGTCAGCGGCGTGTGAGTGTGTATGATTGGGATTAGTTACTTCTGATGGACACTTTACATAGAAACCTTGACCATCAGTGTTTGAATGGGTAGGCATGACATGTGGTGTAAAATCGCTTTGAGTAGCCAAAAGACTAGAAAAGTGCTTTAGAAGCTTCCATTTAAAATCCATTGTGGTTAAAATAATATCATATTAACCTTTATTTATAGAGAACTTTTGAAAATCAAAGTGCTGAACAATGTCAGCAATAATAAACAAATGTAAAAATGGGAAGATCATTGATTATAAAGCAAGGCAAAACATTTTAAGACTTTAAAATCAATTGAAAAAAGTCAAATTCAAATTTTGAAGTGGTGACACTTATTTCCCTGAACCATCTTATCCAACCCCCCCCCCCCCCTCCAGTCCCATCAACCAACTATTTTGTTCATAGCCCTCCATCCCTGTCTTATAGGTGCCTTAGGCACTTGAATGCTTGTTATGCAAATTCTGTTATGTTTTACCTACACGCCTCCTCCCTATAGCCTCGCGGGAGACACAAAGGAGTTTCACATGATTTGCCAGCATGAATAAAACAAAAAAAACAGCATGTTTTACATTTTATGTACGTCTCCCTGCATAGACTATTAAAGGGCATATGTATAGTATCTGTGCAGTGTCTGACTTCAGACAACATAGCACAGATGTGAGAGAGGGTAAAAGAAGGTTCTGGGGATTAGCATGAGCAATGTTGGAATCAAGCAGCAGTCACGTGTTGGATCTCATGTGCTAGCAGGCATCACGTTGTAACGCAACCTTCAGAACTGTCAGACACCAAATGGCTTTGTCTTCATGCTCAAGATTTATGTGTAAGAAGGACAATGGAAAGGTGTTTGGAGGAAGAAGAGGTATGTTGAAGCAAAGCACAGGGTGAGGGAGAGAAGAAAAACAAGACCAGCGTTAATCATTGCTAGGTTGCTGGAAGAAGAGGTTGATGGAGAGAAGAGGAAGCTCTGACGGATAGAGGGATTTTACCCTGTGCAGTCGGATGGATGGGATGGACGTGGGCTGCATGTAAGGATACTTGGTTCGTTTTCTACTTGATCTAAATTGCCTATCCCGTCTTGTCACTGTCTAAGAGTGAAGGCTGGGGGGCGGGATAAGGGGATAGTGAGAAAGAGGAGATTGTATGAGGGATAAAGGAGAGTAGCAAGACGTTGACTTTTTCATGAAAATACATGTTTATCCTTTTCTATCTTTTAATCAGAGGTCCTAAATGATAAATGGACTCGAGCTTGTGTAGCTTTTATACCGCAGGTCACACCTACTAATTCACACACTGATGGCAGAGGCTTCTATGTGAAGTGTCCATCTGTATTTTCCTAATCCATTTACACAGAATGACATTCTGCAGATGAAGCAGCAGGTGCAACTTCAGGTTAAGTGTCCCAAGGATACATCGGACATGTGACTGCAGGATAGACGTCCCACTCTACCACAGAGCCAGACATCCTAGTACACATATAGGGCATGTACACTACATTTTCTTTATTGAAACTTTACTATTGTTTTTTTGGGAACTTTCCCTACTTTTATCGCTTAATTCCCTTTTTTTATTGCTTTGTAAGTGATTCAAACTACCTCTGAGACTTCGAAGTGCAGGTTCACCATGAACAAATCTAGTCAACCATAGTGTCTCATTTACAGAAGGAATTACATAGGGGTAAAGATATATTTTCCAGTGGGACAACTTCTCAGTTTAACACAAATGATTGGGAGGTGAGGTGAAGTGGGAGGATGGGGGATGAATAAAACCACAAGTTGACACAATGACTGGATCCTCAACAAAGAAAAGGGACATTTTGTTCCGCTTGTGCACATTTTTCACAATCATAAGAAACCATGTTTTGGCATTTACAGCTAAGGGCGCCCCTTTACACTCGTCCCCTACTTAAAGAGATAAAAAAAGCTCAATCAAGTGTCAGAGACGACATGACAAAATTTTGCAGATTTTTATTCTTATTTTGCCTTACTTATTTTGTATTCATATGAGAGAAATAGAGAGAGGAACAGAGAGAGAGAGCAGAGACTAACTCACATGAATACAAAATAGTCTGGCTGCAATCACAAGTCCTGTGGGGAGTCTTCAGAGAATTTGTATGTGTATATAAAGATGATAAATAAGCAAGTATGTGCGGATGTGTGTGTGCATGCGTGTGTGTGTGTGTGTGTGTGTGTGTGTGCATGTGTGTGTGGTATAACAGAAAGAAGGAATAGAGAGATGCAGAGCACACATAAGCTTGCAACGGTCTGCTTCCTCACAACTAATTGAGATTGCACAGAAAAGCTATGTCACACTGAGAAGCCATCCTCATTAATATGTGTAGAAGTGGCCTCTGTGGGACCATCCCAGTGGGACAATCCATCAAGGTTGAGACACATCCAAACTGAGGGCTTTGGAAGACATGAAGCACCTCAGACAGTACAAGCAGCACATGGAGGTTGTCTTGAGACATGAACCAAGACGTAGTCACAGTGATCTTTGTCCGGCTCACGTGCTGCAAGGCACACGATGAAATCACATGTAAGCAGAGTTATTGTACAGATACAAAGAACACAATTAAATACAAGGAGGATGAGGTGTGACACTGGAACATGAATCAGCCAGATTAAAGCAGAGTTTAAGGAACACACACACTCAATGTGCTTGTACCATCAATTTACCAAAAGTGTTCAACATTCCCATCCTTAACCATCTCCAAACCCTAATCTTTATCCAAGCCAAACCTTAATATTATTTTAAACTACCAGAATCCAACTCTATTTCTATACTATACTCTTTAAAATAATCCAAAGACCGGCATGCTACTACAATTTAGCAGTGTAGAAAAATATCCCTATCTGAATAGTCCAAAACTCAAATAGGTTCTTAAGAACATAAAGAAGGACACACACACACACACACACACACACACACACACACACACACACACACACACACACACACACACACACACACACACACACATCATTCAAATGGAAAATCCATAATATATGAAACTTTATTTTGGGCTGTGCAAACTCAGTGAAATGTATGTGCATATTCATTTGAATCCAGGGGCAATATTTTTGTGATAGAGCATGACAAATGGGGGATGCATTGCATTGGAAAATTGGAATATGTGGCTCCTTGAAGAAACGTACCCACACTCAAAAAATTAAACAAAGCCAACTTTTCCTTCAAAAAGTATTTCAGAGCTCAGATTTAATCCTCTTCTAACTATTCTTTCCTAAAGCTGAACAGCATAATATGTGCTTCTGCTTGTAACAAGAAGACACAGACGTCCTGGTGCTGCTTCATAAACAGTGAACAACTTGAACATTTAAGGAGATATAAGGACAGCTGCACCACTTGTGATTAGCTTTAGATTTAAATATGTTTTGTAACTCAGCTCTTAATAAACAGTTCTGAATGTTTCTGGAGATTAATTCATCAGTTTTTATTTGAGACAGTATGAAGAGTGAAGAGCATACACACAGTACACCATGATTGAAAACAATGGAAAACAAATTAAAAAGCATGCTTTTAACTCAATACCAATTTAAGATCAAATAAATAAATAACTTCATTGTTCAGGCGACCATGTGGCCTCCATCCGTCCTCATTTGATCTCTTTAGCAGTAACCACTGAATGTTCAATCAGTGAAATGGCTCATTGCCTCCCTTATCACCTCTATTCCTTTTACATTGTTATTTTCTCTTTATGTCTGTATCCCACACTCTGCCTCCCACCTATATTCTCCCTCTGTCAATATATCTCGGCAAACAAATCCATAGGCTTCTTAGATGTCTGCTGTCACTCTGCACAACTCCCAGTCTCCCTCAAACTCTGTGTGGTTTGATTAGTGTGCTACCTTCAGCGACACCATTTGAAATACAAGGAATCCCTGGGCTAATGCATTGCAAATTCTGCTCAATAATGAATTGCGTGGGTAGGATCAAAGGAATGGATATGGCGCATACATTGCAGAGGAATGCCAGCGACCCAAAGGTAGTGAAAGCACTAATGAACCTATCACAAGGGACCCAGGAATGTCAGATGTACCAGCTACAGAACAGTATGTACTCACAAACAGAATCATGCAGACAACCTCACAGAACTGTTCCTTGTCTCAATGTTTGAAGAAACCTTTGATTGTTTAGTGTTTACTTGTCAGACTTATTAAGTAACATTAAAAGTAAAAATGTAAGATTGGCAAAGTACTGGCTGTGTTAAAAATGTACTAACAGAGCATTAGTGGAGAGAAGAAACTAAATTCTGAAGATATGTTTAGACTCGAACAAACTATTAAAACTAATTATTTGTTTTTCTACAATTCCACAAATCATGTAGCAGATGCTTTTATCCAGAGTGACCAAAGTATTTCAGTTTATATGAAATTCTGAAGGTACACACTGCTCCCTAAGTGTACTTTTATTTTCCCAGAGGTTCAAGTCCACATGAAATTAATAATACATTTCACCTGTTTTACTCCATGTGTTAAATATTTATTTATGTGCCAAATATTTTTCAGTAAAGCTTCATCACAGTATTTTTACATTAAAAAAAACTATATCTTATCTTCCTGTAGAACAATTAAAATGTCTTATGACTCATCCTGCACTCAGGGGCGGTTACTATTTTTGAACCAATTAAAGAGCTTTGTCAAATTTAACAATCCAATAAAATCCATCCAAGCCTTATGTCATGCCTTCTGTTTTGTGATTGGTTCTTTCCCGTTTTGGTAGGGGCAGTTCAGAAAACATTTAACATATATCTACATGCATTTGAATTGTTTTTGTAATTGAAAGTTTAAAAAAAAGATCATCTTTAAGTTCTGTTTCATGGGGACTTTAAGTCGAAAGAATGGGCATATGTATTTGTCGTGCTTAATTCCTACAATGTGCGTGTCAATACCCTTAAATTTAAACCGAGTGTAAACATGTTGACCTAATAGTCTTTTCAGTTAAGACTCCAATGCCCTAGAGGAAAGAGCAACACAACAAAAGATTAAACTGTATGCAGCAGTACAGACTATACATAAATGTTCCTCTATGATGAGCATGGGATCTTCTGGGGAAAGTTAATCCAATTTATAAGAAGAGAGAGATTATAGCCCTCCTACTTAAACCATCCATTGTGTCCTCTGCCTCTCCCACATGTTTTCTTCATATACACACACGCTTATGGATTTGACACTTTTCTCATTGAAGAGCACCATTCCTTCAAGTAGCCAGGCTTACAAGATTATTACATTAGTTTATACTGCTGATACATGACAGCACATAAACAGTCAATATCCTCAATACATGCACCGCCACCGCATTTTGCTTGTTACATGTTTTGGGCTTAATGGCTATCCGTATCAATGCTGACACCATGAAAGTTATCAGCCACATGTTGACTGACTTTAGACCTAACATGTATATCGTCCTAAAGTAGCTTAATGGATAGAGAATACCACCAACATCAATGTGGTTAATTGTGATGCAGCACTTTAGCTCACATTAGCTCAAAGAATTCCTTAGTATCTTGCACTAACTCAGTGTGTATTTTTTTATTAGAGTGGGGGTAAAGGTAATGGTTTCGACTGACAGAGAAGTTATAGCATCAGGCACAGTTACTCATAATGACGTTGATGTGATGGCAACATCTAGATGAACAAATCCAGTCATTACTACTGTATCATTTAAATGAAAAAATAAAGTATAGTTTGCAGAGTCAATGAAGAGTTGGGTGGAAGAGTCATCGCTGCAGGTGGTGGAAGCTGAAGCATGAAGCTAATTATTCCCAAAGTTCCATAACTCGAGTCAGAAATGTCTTCTCCATGAGAGGCTTTCTAGTTAGACTCTTTACAGGAACATTAAACGAATAATGGTATGAGGACTGTACCTCACTAAATACAGCATGACCTCTTCATAACGTATACCTCGGGGTAGCCAAATAATTCTACCTTTAAGATCCTGCAGAGTGGCCTGCAGGGCATCATGTGGAAGAACAACGGGGTTGCTTGGTTATATTGCCATTACAACCTTTAACCCTGAAGAGCTGCTTGACAATAGCACGCCATCAAGATTGATGAAATAAAGCACCAATTAGCCTGAAAAGATCAAATACCTGGCAGGATTTTGTTGGGTTGGGTGTCATTTAAGTTCAACATTGAAAACCCAAATACAAAGGCCAAAATTCACTTGAAGAACTTGACTTTTTTCATGGAAGTAAAAAACCTGGAGGCACTGAGTTGGCATTTCACTTACCCAGTACTAACCCCGACTTTTGGCCAAAAGCAACTCACTGAAGATTGATTACACAGCAGACTGTGAAAGTGATGAATACCACTGCAAAAAAAACTGTGTGGCTAAATTGGAAGTATATTGAAAGGTAGCAGATTGAAAGAAAGTCTGAAAAAAGAACAACGAAATCAGGAAACTATCAAAATAAAAAAGGTAGACAAAAAATAAGTGTTTTGTTCAGACCTAATGGTGCTTCCAGGGGCGGCTTCAACGCTCCACACACAGTGCAGGTTGTGTTCATATGGAGCCGGGTAGCCTGGAGACAGTATGCGACCAGAAGGCTCATTCATGATGGTGCCACCACACTCAGCTGGAAGGAGGAAGGGGAAAAACAGTTGGAGAGATTAAGGAGGAGAAAAAATGAGTCCGTAAAGTCAAAAAACAGTGTGCATGCAAAAATGTGCTCAGCAGTGTTCTGAAAGTCATATCAATGAAAAAGGATACAGGGAGGTGAACATACTTAACACACAAGAAACTGAATAACCCCAATTCTAGTTAAGTGCATCACATGAAATCCCTCTCATCATTATTAATTATTGACAGAACATGCTCAAATGTAATGTGCTTCATCATCTTGTTTGCAATTTGAATGCTAGAGGAGGGAGAGCAGCCAACTCAATACACTCTGTGTGGATCTCCTTGGCTCAGCCAAGGCAATCCACCTTCCCAACCAATGACCTCATCCTGTTACCTTTGGAAGCTGATGGACTTGTTGACGGCCCTGAACAACATTCAGTATCTCAGACCAGAGTTCATTGTAACTTTAAAAAGACACATATTGCTGATGAAGTAGAATACATACTGTTACATGTATTTCACATATCAGTCAGAATAGTTGTAAACTGTTTGGAAGGATAGCTGCCATAATGGAGTTAGTGCTGATATCAGCATTTGGTGGGCAACATTTTAGGCAGTGCATCAAAAAAAGTAAGAAGCCGTTCATCAGTTATGGAGTTTGCTCACATGTGTGCAGTACTGGGTGTCGTATTAGCAGCCAATAAAATGCTTCTGATATAACATTACAGTTCAGTACCCCCACCCACTGCCCCACCCTAACCCAGGATATAATACATGAGCACGTTCATTCAAATCATAGACAACAACTACACAAACATGAATCTATGAGGCTACAAAACAAAATCAAAGGAAAGAACATTTTGTCAAGAACAAGAGGGGGGCGAATTGAGTTTCTTTTCAGCGTAGAGTAATGAATTGTCGGCAATAAAGCTCGGTGACTGAAAAGCAATTTTCAGCCCCCCTTTCAATTACCATCTCCTGCCCTTATCCGAAAAGTGAATGTAAAAAGAGAAAGCGTGCCACAACAACGTCAGACTTGGAGTGTTTTTGTTCACATTTTGGAAGTGTTTCTAGCTGACAAGAGGAGCGTAAAAGTGTTCTGGTTTCATTTCCCTCCCTTGAGAAGAAAATAGATCCTTCAAACAGGACAAAAGTGGAGGAATTATACTGATGATGAGTGTTATGACGAAAGTTTTGAAATCCATCTAGGTGAAGTAGACCCTTTCCAAAATGCAGGGTGAAAAAAAAACACATAAACACACAGACGGAGACAAACTGGCTGAAGGGAAGTAACTAAGGATCTTAAAACATCATTCATATAAGGGATAAAGACAATCAGGCTGTGATGATCTATACTTTCTAACATCAGAAATACAGGTTTTGTTACGGCTCCTCTGAAACACATGTCCGTATGTTTTTAATCATTAATCTTTCCTTGTTTTTTTTTCTTGTTTCCCTCCTTCACACTATCTATCTCTTTCGTGCATTAAATATTTAATCAGCAATCATCACTGCAGCTGGGTAATTTCAGCTGTCAGAGCATAAACACTGAAGAACATTTAAGGTTTGAGTGAAGGTTTTGTTTTACTGTCTTGGAGATTTCTTCTCCATGCTCTTCTCTGTTGAAGAAAACTTGCTGGTTCGTGGAGTGAAGAGAGGAGAAGGTAATTTATCACAGTAAGACAAAGCCTTCTCTTTTGTCAAGCCTTATGACCTTCCAAAACTACTGCTCAGTGCTGCCATGGCAGTGTAACTCCCTCAGCGACTCTACCCTTTCAATCGCTGTCTCCACCTACATCTCTCTAAGATCAACTGAGGTTCTCCCTCTGTATTTGTCTACCCCGCTTCTCAAACTTTACGAAACAAGAAAAATTGCATGTGAGCGATCATATTTTATCAACGAATGAAGATGTATTTTGTAATTTTACAGATTTTAAACACACACCAATAGGACTGACATAAAAGGGAACACTCAGACTGTGTTCTGTATAGTAAATACATTAACAGATAGTATGTGTGATTAGCTTAAAAACAAGCTAAGGATGCTTAATTTGACAATTTGACTTTGCACCCTTATTAAATAGAACCGAGGGCTGCTCAGGCATTCAACCTTAAAACTTTCCTCTCCTGTGACTTTCAGAACATGAACTCTACCTGCTCAATTTCACTCTCCTCCTCCCCTGCTCCCTCGACCAGTCTCATCTGTGTTTACTGTGTCCTTGCTGCTAGAAAATAATCCCACTATTACAAACAGAAGCAGTCCCTCATCTGCTCCCAAAATTCACAGTGGCTGTTAGGCTATCATCTGCAGTGAAAGGGGCATGGGGAGGACAAACGTGTTCACAAGATACACAGTATTCTGAATGTTGTTTGTACCCAGACATGGAATTACCTGTCAGTTTGAGTTGAAACGGGAGCCAAGCAATATTATTTTTAATCATGCTGGCTGATGTCAAAGAACACCATCCTGCCTGTTCTCTTCCTGAGCTTTCTGGCTGGTTTCTGAGAGACTCTGTCAAAATGTCGCCCAGGAGAAGATCGAAAATATTGCTTTGGGTTTGTTATCAAGACACCACACGGGCGGTATATGTGTGTGTATGTATGTCAGTTTATAGTTTTGAAAATAATAAGGCATACAGGTTTGTGTCAGCTGGCAACAATAACAAGTGAACTGTAGCTGAACTCTCTAAAAAAATAAATAAAAAAACATCAGATCAGGTACACCATCTGCTGAACTTTAATGGAGAAATTATCTCTTTACCATTGATTTGGGAAGTCTTTCCACATCTAACAGCTCAAGTTAAAAGCCCAACTCTGTGCGCCTGGTGGTGCAGTTGATGTGGGAAAAGTCTTATTTTAGTAAAATAAATTAATTTTGGAAGAGGGAATTTGCAACCGTGATGCAATGTGAATGTGAGGAGCCAAATGGAGCATCATTTTCTATGAGATAATGAACCAAATGAGGTGCTGGGAAAGCAACCAAATGGGGCCCCAAAATAGCAGAGCAAAATCAAACCGCAGATATTTTCTAAACCTGCAGCAGGATTTTCACATTGTTGTTAGGAGGAAGAACTAGGTCAGTCAGTGTGGTTCAGCTGGAAAAAAAAAAAACTAAGAGTGGTTAGCAATAACAGTGTGCATAACATTAAAGCAACCACTGTCTCATACTGTCAAAATTTAAAACAGCCCAATGCTTTCAATCTGTTATGACTTTTTAGTGGAACTCTTTTCATTATGTAAGTTATAGTGATGTAGGCAAAGGTAATGAGACACTGTGAAGAAATCACAGAATATCATTACATAACACTATGCTTAAGATGTGAAATAGATCATAAATCTCACAGACTTTTGGATCTGATCGTATTTCATATGAGCAGAAAAATGGTATTCATATCAAAACTCACTTGTCTTCACTGTATATATACACATCGCTGCAATCCCATCAGTAACACAGAGAGTTAGTTAACTTGAATGCACTTTTTTTTTTAGAAAGTGCTTTTTCTTAACAGACAGTAGAAAATGACACGCTGCATAATGTCTAAAGCAGTATCTGTTACCCCCCAACATGATCATCAACATTGTTTTTAATATAGATATAACTGTGAAAAACAAGTTTACTGTAATTTCCAAACATTATGCGAGTTACAGAAACTGGGAGCTTGTGTTCAGGGAATCTATCTTCAGTTTTTTACAACCTGGCACACACAGAGTTTTTGAGGCTAAGTTTACAACTATAGACTACAGATAGCTACAGGATAACATAGCGAACAAGTTACTGGTTGTTGTCGTTCTGCAACAAAGCACTGCGTGAAACCATATACACTGTAATATCAACACTTAATGATTTGTTGATGTGTGTTAGTCTGCAAAAACTCCTCCTGTTTGAACAGTGGATCTCCATGGCGGTACCACAAACTTCTTAAACACTGCCCTGCATTTAACTTCACAGGGATTTTGCAGTAGTATATTTATTTCACACAATGATGAAACATTTTCCATCCATCCGGGGATCACATGCAGTCCAAACAGTGGGGGGGGGTTGTCTGATCGGATCACAAATCAACTGTGATCTGTTTCACCACTGCTATGGAATATTTTTTCAAGGTCGTGAACACACCTTACAATAAAACACAAACATTCCTAAACAAAAAAAGCATTCATTTCATACCAATAGACTACTTTATAAAAATACTGCACTACTTTTATGCTACAGTGTGAATACGTGTTACACTGCACATTTATATAATGTAGTATACGAAGCAACACCCAATTAGCAGAAGTGTAATTACTGCCAACTAGATGTATACTGCAGCCAACAGCCTGCACACACTTGATCTTTATCCCCTTCAAGGAGCATCTTACTCACCCATACAGAGTGGGAGGGGGTTGTCCCATGCCCTCCTTTCTCCCCTCAAGCAGGTGAGCACCTCTGGGCCTTTCAGTGTGTAGCCCGGATCACAGCTATAGGACACAGTGCTCCCTGCAAAATGACCCTTATCTTCCCTCTTGAAGCCAAACTGGGGGACACCTGGATCCTCACATTTCACCAGCTCGAAACCTTGAAGAGACAGAGGGAAAATGAGGGTAGTGCAATATGAGGCAAAGGAGGAGATAGAAGAAAATAGTGTCAGTGTTTCTGTATAGCAGAGGCAACAAGGTGGGCTGGAAAATGACATTCAAGCAAACAAACTGGACAGAAATGTTTATACTGAATGTACAGGAAGGTGGGTGTTTGTTACTCACTAATGAAGTGCAGTTCAAAGCCTTTGCTGGTGTTATCCGCATTGCTGATGAACTCCAGCCACATGGAGCTGGAAGTTGAGTTGAGGGTTGTTTCTAGCATCTCGCTGCCTGTGAAGACCCCCAGCATACGGGCCTTATTACTGTTGCCATCAAAGACCTGAAAGGGGCAGAGGGAGAGTGGGTGGAAGCATCTGAATTAAGATAATCAGATCTGCATGCATAGATATGCTAACAAGCTTGCTATTCACACACACACAGGGAGGGAACAACTCCTCCACCCCCCTCACTTTAAGCATGTCATCCTCCTCCAGTCTGAAGTCTCGTGCTCGTAGCTGGATGCCTTTGCCAGGCTGGGTCTGTATGGAGTAGATGCACTCGTGGTTGTTGCCGTAGTAACCGGGGTAGTTGGGTGAGAGTAGCACCCCTTGCATGCCAGTCACGGATGAGCCACATTCAGCTAGAAAAAAGAGGGTGAGCAGAGAGAGAGAGAGAGAGAGAGAGAGAGAGAGAGAGAGAGAGAAGGTGATGGAGTTGGAGAGAGCAGAGGACATGTCAATCGCTATATGCTTGAAACTCAGAGTATATTTATTCATGGTGTCATGCATAGGGAGATGGGAGAGGTGATGAAGAGAGGAATGTGGTCAGTGACTACACCTGAATGTTGAGTGGCACATCATCATAATCAAAATGCAATCTGAATATGATTAACAGTTATTTCAGCTCCATTTGAAAATTGCCTTTTCTGAATCGCACCAGGGAAATAATGGAAACAAAACTGGAGGGCAAAGTTTTCTATAGAAACTTAGCTGCAAGAATTTAAATGACCACAAATGTAGCAAGAATTTTAATTGAATGAATGCAATGAGGTAAAAGGAGGTATAATGATGTGTGAATAAAATGTGCCTGCAGAGGCGACTTTAAACGAAGTAAAGGCAAAAGAAGACCAAACATCGACTAACTTTATTCCTACTGATTAACAGATCAACTTTTAATTTTGCTAAAAAATTAACTGACCTAATTCACACACTCAAAACTGAACATTAAGATATTAATAAGATAATACTGTTACTTAACTCATTTCTATTCATTGAAGTGTAATTTCTTATTTCCAACTGACTGTTAAAAATTTTGGGAAAAAAAGTGTATTTGTTACAAAAAATAAACCTTTAAGACGTCCAAGTAATTGACTGTGTTTTGCTCTTATGCAATTTCTGTTGATCAGTGCAATTATTCACTGAAGGGAATCATCTTAAGGACAAACACAAGTCACTGAATTATTGTCACAGTCTGTTATTTTCCTTTTATTAACACCATGAGGATATCATTTCAAAACAGAAAAGCAGCTCTTGCGCTTTGCTGCGTCATAGGATCAACTACTGACCTACATCTTTGTGGTCTGACTCGTCATGTTTCCAAAGGCAGACAAGACAAGCAACATCAAAAACTGAGTGTATTTTAGCTCTTTAGTGTCATCCTCATTAGAGCTGCTGCTCTCTACTATTTGGACAAAGTCAAAAAAGCTGTTTCTGGGAAGCTGTCCAAATGAAGAGACAATTTGTGGGCGGATGGAGGGATGATAATGAAGATAGTTGAAAGGGAAATGCCTCATGTTCTCTTATGACTGACAGTTTTGTAATGTCTTTGTGGCGTTGGGGTGGGTAATGTGAAAGGGTCAGTGGGAGTGGCAAGGGGGAAGGGGGGGGAGTGATAAAAGGCAAAATAAAACATGTGACCACCTACCAACACACCTTGGCAGAGGTGAGCTCCACACCCGCCTCCTGCCCCCTAAGCAAATCACCCTTGCAGGACCCTCCAGGCGGTAACCCGGGAAACAAGAGAAGATGAGGGCATCACCCACTCCGTACTGCAGGCCTTTTCTGGTGCTGTAGGGAGGTATCCCAGGATCCTCGCAGGGCTCCAAATCATACTCTGGAGAGAGCATGACAAGAAATGATGCCAAATTGCTCACCAGAGAATCATTTAGAAAAGTGTTACCGTGTGTGTGTGTGTGTGTGTGTGTGTGTGTGTGTGTGTGTGTGTGTGTTATAGTTACATGTTTTTCATGGAAATATCACAGCAGTAAAAATCTCATCAGAGAGGTTTTGAATTACACATAGTAAGCATTATGCCATGGAAATTCTTTCCTTTTTTTTACCTCATATAGACAACACCAAAGTAAGCCAAACTAAACAAACAGAGGTCCTAATTCTGGTTTTTAGATATTCACAAGGCCCTTTTTAAAAAACTCCCACCTTACATCACAGACTTTTTGAAGTGGAATTCGGGCACCTACATAATTGTCTTGATTGGCTTGTTTCTTAAAGTCCCTGCAGCTTTCACTGAACTTGGAAAATCTGCATTTTCTTAAAAAGCCTGAAATTCTTCTAACGCCCTCCAGCAAGCTCTAAAGATTAGAGGTCTCCCCCTTCTTGCAGAGTTTAGGATTTTTTATTTCTAGCCATTTTGCTTCGAATTGTAAGTACTTAAGATTATCTCAGTTGTTTTTGTAATTGATTAGAAGTGTTTGTTGTTGTTGATTGTGTTGCTTTTTAAAATGTTGTCAAAATCAGTAATGAGGGTAACCACAGTGTCCTTTTGACAATAAATAAAGGTTTGAATTGAACTGAATTATTTCTTGTCGTCTTTTAGGATATTCCTATAAAATGTAGATTAACTTCTCTGGTTACCGTACATTTTTAATCAAGTTAACTTTGTGCTTAACATTAAATAAATTGTGCTATTGCTAGAATAGAATTCTATCAAGAGGCAGCACCAATATGACCACAGCACCTTTCTCTGTTTCAAAAAGAACATAACCAGATTAAAACCTCAGAAACAGTGGGCTGCAGTGGGTCTATAAATGACCACCATTCATTCATCATTTTCAAAGAGCTGGAGGATTTTTGAACTGTTGGTAATTATCTTAAACATTTTTTGACACTCTATTTAATATGCATTTGTATTAAAATCAAGAAAGCCTGTTCACAGGGAGTTGAAATATTGGGCAAGTAGGTGGAGGTGTGCGCCATCTTAATTGATTCATTTAAAAAGCAATTATCTTTTGATGACACCCAGTTCATAATTATGTCTTTAGTTGCTTTGATTAGACAAATCTTGGATGCATTCTCAGATCATTAATTGCTCCTTGTTTACACTTGGCCTCCTCCTAAGCGTCACTGTTAGTGTCAATATCCTATTGAAACAAGACTGTTGTTATTAAAAGGTCAGAACAAGCCTGTGATCCATACCCGGGCATCAAAGATGTCCACTCTCAACATGATCCTGAAGAGCTAAATGTTCTGACCTTTCTTTTCATTTCTCCTAACGCCTGCATCTAAGTCTCTTCTGAATGATTGGCACAGCACAGGTCTGTAAGCACACCAATAGCCTACAGTTTTGAATGTCTAAACCCAGTATTACCTGAGAAAGTGATGTTGAATCCCTCATAAGAAACAGAGAAGTCAGAGAGAAAGCGGATCTGAGCCGTGTAGTTTCCAAACAGGCCTGCACTGAGAGGTGGAGGCAGTGTGGAGCCCGTCAGTCTCCACAGAGGCTGAGAGAAGCTGCTGTTCTCTGTCACCAACAAGTGGTCGTGGGGGCTCTCAAGATGGAAGGTATGGAAGGTGAACTGGACACCTAGACAAGAGAGAGAAAGATTCATTGTTAGCATGCGATGTTGTGTGTTAAACATGCTTTTTTTTTTGTACCTTCATATGTTACATGAGTCCTGATGTTTGTAATTTGTAGAGTTTGCAGTTGAATAGAAACATTTGTTTCATCACAATATCCCACATTGCCTGGAGTATTTGGATATATTTTGAGCACACTATTTTTAGTTTCACAATGTGTACTGCATCAAGTCCCTGTATTCCTCCCTTACTACTTATCAAAGACAAAACACCCACGCAGACAGAGCATCTGTAAATAAGGCTGTGTCAAATTGATGTGAGCATTCAACCAAAGGTGACACGATATGAGAGTCATCCCATGGCGCCGTAGCCCCAGGCCAGCCTCTCAGCTCTTCAGTCTTGCAGAGGCAGATTGTTTAGCACAATAAAAAGGCCACTCAGTAGGGGGATATGACATTGCAAAGGGAAATTGAATTTGACTGCTGCATGTGTTGACACTGAGTTTCTCAGCTAACCTTTGCCATGGGAGGTCTCGATTATCCATGTGCAGTTCAGGTTGTGCGGGTAGAAGTCTGGGAAGCCCGGTGACAGGATGGTGCCAAAGTTGCCCTGGATATAACCTCCACACAGTGCTGGCAACACAGAGCCAATGGAAACAGCGGGAGATGGATGAAGAAGAGAAATGAGAGGGAGAGCAGAGAGGCAGAAATCAGAGAGGGCACGGCTAAGTGGATGAAGAACTAAAATGTCCCCGAAAAACGGCAGAACTTGTCTGTGCATTTACAATGTGGTAAAATGCATTTTACAAGAGGTGCCCTTCGAGGCAGCATAAAAAGGAAAGAGTGGTATCATCAATATCATTACAGAGTGGGCCGAAATCAATACTGTCCTAAAATATAAAAGCATTTACAGATGAGGGAAAGGAGAAAACATCAAAGGGCTATCTCACCACATACATATAAAACATTTATGATGAAACGAGGCCGAAACTTTGAAAGAAAAAAAAGATAAGAGGAGCTATCATCTTATATGGATTTTTATAATAACTCTGAATTATATAGCAATTTACATGTGATGCAATAGGAAGCAAAGTACTCAGAACAGTTTTGTTTTGTTTAGAACAATTTACAACAATTAATCTTGCTTTAATCCCATTTATGAATACAAGAAGATCTGGTAGAAGACTATTTGTTTCTAGGTCAATATTATGGAACTTACCATCACAGCTAGGCAGTGGGCGGCTCCACTGAAAATTGGGTTCACATTCTAATGGCTCCGTGTCACTGAGGGTATAGCCCGCCTCGCAGCTAAATGTCACCAAAGCGCCCACATAGAAGTCGTTGCCATGCCGCTGTCCATTGACAGGTATACCAGGGTCCACGCAGTGATCTGACTGTAACTGCAGGGCTAGAGTGGAAGGTGGAGAAAGAGGGTGAAGGATAAGCAACACATGAGACAGATATAATGAAAATCCACTTGCTTGAATTGTAATTAAGATTTAATTTTGTTTTCAGGAGGTCAAGTCGAGGTCCAAAAATGTTGAAAAGCATTTTGCTTTCCCAAAGTAATCCTGCTAAATGATTTATTTGAACATCTCTTTCCAACAGGAATAAACCAATGAGAAGTTCCAGCACTCTTTCCCCCTGCACCTCGCATAGTTTCTGCTTAAGTAGCGCTTACAGTGAATTATTGAAGCTCTGCAGAGATTTACCACAGAGAAAGTGCAAGAGGTCGCCAGTGTGAGCCACACAGGTAGAAAGGGGGATAGTACTGTCTCAAGGTTTTATTTTAGAGCATGGGAGAAGTGTATGTGACTGTGCACATGCCCATGTGTGTCAAATCTGACAGCATAATCTCACCCTATTACTTGGTAATTATAGGTGTTTTAATAAGAAGCTTGATGGTGAAATTGAAGCCTGAAGAGGTATTATTCACAACAAAGACTCAATAGATTGAGTATTGTGATCCAGCCTTATGGCTGCCATCTCTGATTGTCCCCCATCTATATAAGGATTGATTATTATTTCTATATAGAAGTATGTGTGTGAGCCCTTCCTTGACTATATATCTATATGCTTACTCTTTGTGCAGGTTTGTGCAGCGCTCAAAGCCCTTACTTTCATAACGTATGCGGAAGCCGATGTCAGAGTGGCTCTTGTCAGTCGAGAAGAGAAGATAGAGGAAGCTGGAGGTGCTAATGAGGAACTGGGGAACCTGGGTGCCCTGGTAACTACCAATTAGAGGTGATGAGGGAAAACGTCCATCGCGCACCTCTAGGACGTCATAGTTGACCTCTGTACGAAACCTGAGGACAGAGAACTAAGTTACAGATGGCTTTTTGGGCCACGAAAAGAAAGAAAAAAAAAACATGATTTGTAATGTAATGTGTCAAAACTCTCAGCTGAAAAAGGTTGTACACATGCACAATTTATTTTAAAATGTTAAATTTAAGAAAATCCTGAGACAAATTGCACACTTAAGTAAGTGCATATTTGGCCAGTGTGCATGTGAGTGTGTGCGTGTGTGTGTGCATGCTTGTTGTGTCTTTCCATCTTTGTTGTCGGAGCCACTTCATCTTCAAAGCGATGAATAAATTGCTTAGATTCAGAAGCGTGTCATCTAAATGAAGCGGTTCGTGATATTTTATTGATGTTACATAAAAATTAAAGAGCAACAAACATTTATGTTGTATTCATTTTGCATGACGCGCTATCAGGGCAGGGAGGAGGATGAGATGGGCTTGCAAGGATAAGCCTTAGTAAAAACGTTAATGTAGCGTTTGAACCCATGACTGTGTTTCTCTGTTGCACACAGAGCTCCTCTCCCTTTGCCCCCCCCCCGTTCCACTTGACAGATCTTCTCCAATAACTTGTGCATTTAATACAAATGCACATTAAACAACATGCAGTTTTGAGTGCAGTCTCTTTGATTGAATGTGCATTTATTAGTGTACGTGTGATAGGGATAAGGATATCTATGGATTTTCAGGCAGCAGGGTATCAAATGAAAGCATCAAATGCCTGTTTTTGAGCATTAACAAAATAAAACACAGTGGCAACATAGTTGGATGTTGAAGGTGGTAGAAAGTTGAGAGAAAAAATATGAGTATATGTTGAAACTGTGTAAAGGTAAAAGCACAGAAGAGCCAAGCTTCCTCTGAAAAAAGGAAAAAAAAAGAAGAGTTCAGTGATACGTCAGCAGTTGCTATGAGGGTGGCTCACTTGTCGAAGATGATCTTGATGGGGTAGCCTGGAGGAGCCTCAATGATCCATTCACAGTTAAGGGCCTCCTTATAGAGTTCCGGCCAGCCAGGGGAGAGGATGATCCCACTGGGAGCCTTCAGATCCCCCCCACATGGGGCTAGGTGAGAGAGAGAGAAGAAAAGGAGAGAGAGAAACAGCAGAACGAGATTGAATTATGCATGTCTTTCCCAGCTGATGTATGACAATGTCCATGGATGATCTCATGCATCAACCGGGGCTCATCCCATTTCTTTTACTGCCAACCGTCTACCGCATGTAAATTGGTGATGGCGCACTTCAAGGTTAACCATTTCTCCGAGGGCTTCGCTGTTATTGTGGATTTCTATGTGCATGCATGAGCAAGGGCAAGCTGCATGTTTCCATGTGTGTGCTTATGTCTCCTCCCTGAAGCTGTTGTCTTTAAATCTGTCCATCTAACCCCTCCTTCAGAGGTGCTGCTGTCAGCCCCATCAAACAGGGGGAAACGGGACATCTTTGATCGCTAGCACAAAGACACTTGAGCACATCGAGCCCTCTCCCGTACCCTCATCCCTGTTACTGCTCACTTTGCCATGCATCTCTTTAACTGCCTATCCTTAACCAGAACACACGGGCACAGCTCCTCGCTGCCTTTTGAAGTGGAATGATTTAATCAGCCAACTCAGCATACTGAAGGACATCTATAAAACGCATTACGCTACAAACGTAGGGGTATGATAGATGGTCTCAGAGGAATACAAAGCTGATGGCACACGGGGGAAAGCGACATGTTTTAATAATGGTTTCTCCTTTGCGAATCATGAATACAGAACCTGATTTGGCCCCTTAGAGTCCTAGCTACGTCTGTGCTTGATGTGCTACACTCCAAGTGTATAAGAATCACAGCGGGCTAGCTTTTAGCTTTATCTTAGCTCACCTGCTTTATCAGGCCTTTTTAGTTTAGTGGGAAATTGTTTGTCTGACGCCGGGTCAGAAGGTGTTAAATGGAGTGTAACTGAATAATTTGGTCGTGGGATTTAAAATGATTGCCACAATAGTTGTTCCCAAGTTCCCAATGACAAAGGTAGCACCTAGCTTAATAAACATGTGAAATAGTTTGACCGCATAATTCTTTCAGTATAAAAGCCATGCCATATTTCCATTTGTGACTTTAGTCCTCTGTTTAAATTACCCCAATCCATTATTTTTCAGAGCCAAACAGATTCATCCGTTAGCTCAAACATAAAGGAACAGTTTGCTCTGCCATGTTGGTCACAAAAACATTCAGAATAAATCGCACTAATGTAGTCCATATTAACAACCAGCATAAAAAAAGTAGGTCAGTGAATCTAAGCATGTAATATTTCATACACTGATGTGTGTACCAAAGAATAGCTTCCTATAATGCAGCTTAATAATCAAGTTAAACCTTTTTGAAGGTACAGTAAGCTTAACTTGTTATGTTCGATAAAATGTACACACCTTCACAACGAGGAACTGCGTTATCCCACACCACGTTGCCATCCTTGAGAATGCAGGAAATGGTTTGGGAGCCATGGGTCTTTACAAATCCCTCCTCACACAGAAAGGAGATGGAACTGCCCAGCTGAAGGCTCTCCCCAAAACGCTTCCCATTCACTGGAACTCCTGGGTCTGGGCACTCATTATGGCGAAAGGCTAGGAAGACAAAAACAGACATGTTAGTGTGTAGGAGAAGAGGTCGGCGTGAGATGACAGTCTTTCTGTCGAGGATTTTTCAAAATTTAAAATATGTATGATGTATGTTGGGACCAGCCATGTGCTGGACAGACTCAGGCCTGTAGCCCCCATACAGGAGCCTGATTTGAGTTCTTTAGGAGGGAGACGAACAAGGGCCATGCAAAAACATTTATTCCCAGCATGCCCTGCCACTGTAGGGGGAACCTGGACTCAATTACCTCATTGGAGCAGATCTGGGGGATATCAGCAGGAAGTCCCAGGCTATAAAAGCTCTGGTCTCCCATTGTTCAGATGCTGGCCTTCCTGCATTAGAGGACACATCTAACTCATCTTCCCTATTTCCACGGCACAATTTTAAGAGTTGTGGCGCACAGTCAGCAACATTGGAGAGACCCCATTTGGAAGTTATTGTGCTATTACATCCACCTTTGAAACTACTGTTATAAGTGGAAAAAGTAACATGTTGTTGCTTTAAAGGTTTGCTGGTCAGTCAATCAGTAAAACACACAAAAACTTCTTAGGATTGTGCCCAAAGCAACAAAAAAAAGATTGGTTGAAGGCTTTTAAAATTAAATGAATAACAAAGTGTAATAATTTTTTATACAAATCGTCTGGAACTATTTATATAGTAATCATTTTAACATATTGCATTATCCATGCACTGCTGCTTAATTCTATGGAGAGTCTAAATTAATCGTCTGACTTTCTTCACCAAACTTTGCTTTTCTACTGTCAGCAGTTAGCAATGCAAACATTTAACAAGGAGAAATTTGTTTCAATTAGTGAGTCATATCGATTTTGCTTGCTGCAGTGACTCCAGAGAGTGGGGAACCACACTGTATGCAGATTGTCCGCACCAGATGACACTGCTGAATGATAGGTGGAGTAAACAAACAGGAAAAATGTGTTTTCATACGTCCTCAATACTTTATTTATCAGGCCTCTGAATAAAATGTCACGTAGGAATCAGCAGGGAAGGCCACTAAGAAATTCTGCACACAAGAAGAGGCATAACCCTGGAACGAGCCATGTAGACAAATATATCAGCTGCGCCGCTATCTCTCTAACACTTATTCTCTCACTCTCATTCTTGTAGACACACATGCATGCGGAGGTGACATGAGTAGGTGTTGATGAATCCTTCTTCTGTATCCATTGGACCCAAACGGAGTGCCAGCCACACCTCATCCATCACGATCATCTTATTTATTAGCGTGCCAAAAATCCCCTCAATGCAGTTTGGCATGTCCTTAATAAACATGAATGATGGAAGTTGTTTGCACAGGCCCATAAGCCCCCCCCCTCTAAAAAACAGTCATGCAGTAAGATGACACTGTTCTCAGGAACTAACCGTCATCTTCAATTAACTGCTCCAAACATTCATTCACCATGCTGCATGGTTATTTATTTATTCATCTAACTTGTTAATTAATGCATCAGACACCATGTGTTTCCCACGCTGTGGCTGTACAGGAGCACCTGGGTTGTTGTCACGGAGCCTAACTTCTCCTCTGCTAAATTCAAGATCATTTTTGATCGACGTTGGTGTTTAGGCAGACAGGATGGTGCACATTCCTCTCACTCATAAGACAATGTTGATGTTAAAACATGTGTAGATGACCTTTGTTCTCGAAAAGTCACTTACTATAAGTTAATATGACTTTAATGTGAAATAAACTTATACATGTAACAAAAACAGCACATCAGAGTGGAGCCCCTAGTAAAGCAGAGGTAAACCAAAGGTCAAGAGGAATGACGATTACAGGAATTCTAATGGAAGTCCAAAATTACGCTTTAAAAGATGTATTCAACCAGCATAGAACAGAAAATAGTGTAATGCTATATAAAGTTATTTTAGGATAGGATAGGATAGGATAGTCGTTACTCGAAGAAACACAATTCCCTACTCTCATAATCATACTGTTACATGATACATAACACATAAAACCACCTAACAACAACAAGTATCAAAAGGTAGAATCAAACCAAGGAAATACTTTGGTAAGCTGAGGGCAGGTGTGACAAAGTGGACCCTCTGAAAGCAGCATACTGTAAAAGTGAAAATAGCATTTCATTGTCTGTTTTAAAGTGAGTCACTACAGCTAATTATAGAGCCCAATCTTGTTGAGTCAATCCTCCCAACGGCACCCTAACTATCTATGAAACAGCTTTGTGGCTTGAAAGGGTTATGGTCAGACACTGTACCATCATATTTATTTTTGGATGTGAAAGAATGCAAAGATCCAGCTCATTACACAATAGTGTTATATGCAATGAATGCAAAAAAAATCCCGCTGCCAAACTCTCATGGTACAGTATATCCATGAAATGGGTTTACCAACAAGCAGCCAACATGTACTGCGTCAGAGCATTAAACCCATCTGGATGTTCCTCAGAAGTCAGCAGCGACCCAGAATAGAATATAATGAGCACTGCCGCAATGTATCTGTCAGGTGAGATGCTGCATCTTTGTTTGGGTTCTATTTAGATGTCAAGTCTCTATTTAGACAATAAAGACGGGGGTTTTGTCACTCTCTATGTCACTGTGTGTGCGTGTGTTTGTGTGTGTGTGTGTGTGTGTGTGTGTGTGTGTGTGTGTAGAAATATGCTGATGATGGCTGGAAGAGTTTATGCACTCTGTGGGAGAGGCACATAGATATACGGCAGATGATTCATGAGGCATTTTACATGCACACAAACTCACACTACAGACACACATACAGTACGTACACACACACACACACACACACACACACAAACAAACAATAATAGTGAACATCCAGTGAAGGTGTGCGTTTGTGATGAGCTTTAAAGACTTCCCTTTATCTCCTTTAAAGCAACACTACATTCTTACTTGTAAATGTGATGTTAAAGCCTCGGTCTGTATAGGTGTGGTCTGTGAGGAACTCCAGACGGGCCACATGGGCACTGGTTGTTAAAGAAGGAGGCAGGACGTCACCGGAGAAGGTTCCCAGGATAGGTGACTCAGCCTGAAGAAAGGCAGATAAAGGTTTTCTGATGAGAACAAAGGTATCATCAACTTAAAGGGGGAAAAACGAAGCGTACAAATCTTTGGAGAAAAATGGAGATAAAATAGGTAGGAAGTCCAATGACTCTGGCAGGCAGGGTGTTTAGCTCAAACACATAATTATATAGGCCTCTTTTCCCACTGACATGCACTATGACTGATGAAGCGATCAATACATGAAGTTCCACAGAGACCCATTCAAAGTAACTGAGGCTACCAGCTTCTAATTCAATTGTACCTTTCCGCCGTCCTTGATGGAGAGGAAGTCAAACTGTTTCTCCATGCTGAGGTCATTGAAGGCCAAATTGATTCGGCTCTCAGGGTTGGTGATGATCAGCCACACACAGTGCATGTTGTTGCCGTACTCCTGCGGGTAGTTTGGAGACAGAAGTACCCCTGACGGAGTGGTAAAGTTGAAGAAACAGGAGACTGTGGAAGTGAAAGAGATATATAGACAGAGAGAATGAAGAAAGAAACAAAACAATGAAACACAAAATTAGTTTTTTTTTGGTGGTAAAAACATCAGGAAAAATATATTTCCTTTCCTGAAAACAAGACAGTATGATTTGATATATGTGACAATAGCGTAATAAGACACATCCCACATACTGGAAGGAACAAACGCATCTGGAATGAAGTCATACTTCAAAAGAAATCGTGATAATATACTAAATCTATTGCCCTGAAATATCAACACAATTAGGTTAACAATCATTATGAATTAAAGTACCAAGTACAGGGAAAAAATAAATAAATAAAAAATAAATACAAATCTTTTTTTTTTTTTTTAAGTGTTGGTTGTTTATGGCAGAAAAGGTGTACGATTTATCCACAAAGCAGATGACCACAAAACTATCGTATTAAAGTAAGCAGTTTGAACAAAATTAGGATGAAGCCTTAGAAAAAGTTGACAGGTAAAGAAAGAATTTTTGTAATCAAAATCTGTTTAAGCGCATATGTGTTTGCACAAGCGATCGCAAATCAGATTGATATCCTGAAGTTAAACTGACTTGGTGTTATACTGTGATGATTAAGTTTTCCTTTGTAAGTTTAATAAAACCATGTTAACCAAAGTTATGGGGCCAAATTGACTCCTGTGCCAGGGAACCGCTTTGTCATTTTATCTAGATACTGCAGCTTCTGTCCACTCCTTCATCAATAACAGTGGGCATTATCTGCATACTCAGCTCTCTTTTCATTTTCCCTTCAACCTCAAACTCTCTGTATTTGTCTTCCATGGCATTAATGAACTAATAAGCACTCCTATTGTTTTGAAATCCACAGCCTCCACAGGCAAACTGTAGGGATAATCTGGCCATTTAATATGCAGCCCCCCCTGTGCCCGTTTGCACAAACATGCTTATTTATGCACCAACGTGAGTAGTGTTGTACTCAGAAGAACTTACAAACACAGCTGGGTTTCTTAGCAGACCACTGGTTGTTCTTCTGGCAGGTGATGTTCTTCTTTCCGACCAGCTCAAAGGCAGGCAGACACTCAAAGTACAGTTTGTCCCGTGGCGAAAACCTGTCCCCTCACGTTTACCATAAGCTGGGATTCCAGGATCTCCACAGCTGCCTTGGTCAATTTCTGTGCAGGAAAAAAAAGAAAACAGATGGAACATTGATCATGTGAAACTGACACTGAAAAGAATTAGAAATCACACATCACTCATGAATTCAGGTTTTACAAATAAAGATCTGCTTCTTTTACCTGGAATCACATTAGTGATATGATTTTAAAGCTCCATCTTTTATTAACACAAGTAAAGTACCTCACTTTCCTCTCATAAAGAAAATCATACTTTCAGCATCTTAGATAACCATCATGTGTATCCAGTAACAAATGAGAGACAAGTAGGTTGTATTTTCAAGGAGAAAAAGACATCCATATCCAAGGTTATTACTTGCTTTAGCCTCCAGCAGATATTGACAGATACAGCTACATAAGAAATAATGTAAAATAAAATAAAAATCAAGCAAAAACAGATGTTTTTCATTTATTGTGGCTCCACATAAATCTGTGGTCAGCTTTTTTTAACGCTTAAGGTACAGATTTTTGTCTGACGCCTAAATGTGTTCACTTTTCTAACTCCAATTCATTTATTAAAATGTGTTTTTCCTTTAGTCACATTCATGTGAAGTTGTATGAACCAGGACTAAATGCCTTTCCTTACAATAGCTCTCTGCAAGGATTTTCTGCAGCCATCTTTTATCAACACAATATTCCCAGGCCTTTCAAACATTGTCTCAACTTTTGGTCAAAATGCACATTAGAAAGAAACTCTGCATTATTCCCAGCACTTATTAAGGGACCACAACCTTTTTCAGTGCAGTGAAGGGTCTAATTGGTTTTGCATAGCCTTTTTAAACACAAGAAATTGGTAGGAATAGTTTGCATAATAAGTAAAAACCAAACCTATTTACCTCCTTCATCCTGTAAAGTGAGTGTTGTTAATAATAAGGTGGCAATGTAGGTTTTCATTTCTGAGGTGTAGTCTTATGCACAATTTTATTTTTGATTGCCATTTGCTGTTTGTGTTCATGCCACAACCTGTAATCAGCTCTACTGAGTAATTGTACGAGTGCTAGCTAAGGCAACGCATCGGGTATGTTGGTTTACAGTTCAGATTTCTATCTGATACACTTGACTCTAGGCATTATGAGGAGGAAATGCTGAAGAGGAGAACATATGGTATATGTATATATATATTTATTTATATTTTTATACTGTATATCATAGTATGGGTTGGGTGAACCAAGGCGACTAACCTGAGAGCGCTGCTGTTAAGTGCTCCTGACCTTAATAGAAATCTCATCTGGTTTTGCTGCCATTCTACAGGAAAGACATTCTTCCTCTCTGCCAAAGCCAAGGCTGAATGGATCTTAGCAATGACTATGAAACGAGCCAGCAAGCTTTACTAGCTTACTTCCAACATTTTTTTATATTTATTATCATGCACTTATTTTGAGTATAATGCTGTTTGAAACAAAGTAGTCTTTATTGTGACCATATCCTGTCAAATGTTGCTCACTCCTGCTGCTGCTGCTGCTCTCTTTCTCTCTCGCTCTCGTGTAAATACAAACATTCCCACTTCTATTTAGTAGCTGACGTAAGGCATACAAGGTACACACACAAGCCCGCACACACACACATGACCACCCGTCTTTCTTAAAACACAAGCCAATTCCATTATTGAAAGATTTATGCATCTCTCTCTCCCTCACTCATTCCTCTCCCTACTTTTCTGAGGTTGCAGATTGCAGATGGGAATGCTGAGGCATCTTATCGAGGCATCCGGATGGGGTAACACAGGGAGCGAATAAGCTCATCCATCCAGGAAATGATGGCAGGGCCTAATACGATTTTAAACCGCACCAGGGGTGATGCTGGGTATAAATCCATACTGAGCCCTAATGATGATCATCATTTAGAACACATATTTAGAGCTCACTGCTGTTTGGATGCATGGCTGTCATGAGGCAGCCTCATTTCGCAAGACAACTCATTGATCTTACATGAAAGTCACCTTAAAAGGAGGGAATTCTCAAAGTCAGATTTGAGCTGAGCCTGAGAGGGAATTTAGGGAAATATAAACAAATGCAATGTCTGAAATCCAATATCTGGAAGTCAGCTATAAGGCTCACTCAAATATTCATACTTACATAAATGTGCAAATGTTAAAAAGCTGCCTCTTGAGTCACTACAATAAGAACTAAAGGGAAAATGAACATTAAATAAGAGTGCTTTGGAGAGTGTGTGTGTGTGTGTGTGTGTGTGTATGTGTATGTTGTAAACATGTGTTTCCTGTGTTTCTCAGTTGTCAAACATGGGTTTGTGCATGTATGTTGTGTCTGAGAGAGCTGGCAGCAGTGGATAAAACTGCATTTGATTCTCATGAATAAAGGAAGAGCTGTAATAGCATATTTGTTGTCCCTGTCTGTTTGACATTCCAGAGTAATCCAAGCATTGTAATGGGACTCAGACTCACATTACTGTCATCAACTGCACCGCTGTCTCCCAGGGCCTCAAACGACAAAAGGACTTATACTAGTCCAGAGTGGTATTCATGGGGACAGAGGGGGGGGTAAGAACGATTGTATGGGCCTGTTACCTACAAGGGGCACTAAAAATGATCAAATCTTCTAATGGTTAATTACACACACCTTTAACTGGTCTATAACATGTAGAGTATGCAGTTGGGGGGAAAAAAAATGGTGAGCATATCTTATCAGTAAGTTCCAGCTCTCTTCAAACACTTTTAACTAGTATGTGTTGATCCATGGTGATACACAGCACTGCATGTTTAAACGTCACCTATAAAAAGAAACCAACTTTTGAATTATACATGCTCAGTGTAAGTAAAGGGTAATAATGTGTATTGGTTCAGACCTTCACATATGCATTAACACCAGTTTCGTCGCCCAGTGTTGTAATATATGTGGAAAGATTGAGGCCACAGCTGAGTGTTTGTACGGTAGGGATTGAAGTGCGTGTACTGGTACGACTGTGTTTGCAAATGCACTTGATGATCGGGCTGAAAAAAAAAAACAAGTAATTGAGAACGCAAATGAGATTTTGGCTGCTCGTCTTTGGGAGGTGAAGTGGTTCAAAGCATTTCTTCCCCCATCATTAAGTAGAACTCATTGTTTTAATTACACTTGGGTTCAGAATGTTGCTCCACTTTCTCTGTTATTTTTACTGATGAAAAATCAGCATCTGTGGGCAAGGGAGAAGACTCACTGTGATTGTGGGAGGCAAATGGGAGGCTTTCTGAGTAAAAGAACAAACACTCACAAAAACAGAAGCACACAACACATTTGAATATTCACGCTGTCGCTGCCACACACATGGGCACAAAACGGTTCACAAGCACTAACATGCATGTACACATACAGTAATGTTTACTTGACAGATGCAGGCACTGTGATTTGGAGCTCCATGTAAATTGAAAGAATTGGTTAAATGTACTCGTGGATGTATTGACCGATAAGCTCTCCACTGCATGTGGAACAATTATTTTAAAGCAATTTATTTTACAGAAATGACTCCTCTAGTAGCAGTTTAAGTTAATTTGAAGTCATTATTTTTAAATGGTGCAATGAAACAAACAATTTAGGGTTGTCTTAACCCAGTAATGGTACAGTATGAATTTTTAATTGAAGGTCTTTGTATGCCATGCAGCAGAGGGAGCTAACGTGGTAATAAGCAAATTGTGAGCCTTTTTTTAAGACCCTGTTCGGCTTCATTAGATGCAGCATTTTTGACCCCATCGTTTTCCAAACTAATTGAAGGTGATGAAACCAGAAAGAGCAAGGTCTTTCTGGGTCACATCAAATAAATATGTTCTATCCAAACCCAAGATGAGCAGTGAGTCACATGCACTAGGGTAATAAACAAACAAATCATGTGTCAAGAAAAAAACTTGACTTATAAAAATAAAGTCAGAAAAGTCAGCACATTTCATCATGCTCACCTTCATAGGACACCTTGAAGCCCAGGGAGCCACTGGTGTCATCTGTTTTGAAATTGAGCCACATCTGGTGACTGGTGCTGACCACAAGGTCTGGAGTAGTGGTTCCAGACAGGCTGCAATAAAGAAGTGAATGAATAAACATTAACTGTCTCTTTGTTTCGGCTACAAACAGAACGACTGTAAGGTGTGTTCATTGTGGAACACTGATCAGTTGTTTCCTTTATTAAGAGAGTTTTAGCATTTTTGCAGTGAATTGGGTGTCACTTCAACAGCTCGAGGCTCTGTTTTCAGAGTGTCATTAAAAAAACGTTAATGCAAGCAGCAAAACAACGACTGAAGTTTGATATAATATATTTATAAACTATCTGACTTTTCTCATCAAAGAGAAAGCACTCTAAAGCTGTTTCAGGCAATCGGAGTCTATGAAGCTTATTTTCTTTCCTTTTTTTTCCTCTCCCTCTAATTCAAAACAGTTGGAGACAAGAAAGTGGAAAATGAAGGCAAGATCAGTCAATGCCATAGAAGTAATTTAATCCTATTTGAATAGTAATTCCACCCAACTCTAATTAGGGAGTGTGTAGCTGCAGAGTAAATGATTAAGGGGTCTAATTTTAGTGACAGCACACGGAGGCTGGTGGGAGAAATACGCTCTGTCTGGATATGTAGGGTCTGTTTCTGCAGCCTTTTGGTACCTCAAAGTCAAACAGAAAAAAAAAAAAAATAGCAAGCTGTTGTTCAGGTGTCATTTGACATCAGCTGACACAGGCCTATGGTACAGATGGTTGACAGCTAACATCCAGCCTCACACGTTTGGTCATTTTCTTAGAAGCCTGTTCAAGTAAGCCTTTCTGCTGATCACCATCCTGTCAGAGAAGAGAGGATCTACTACCTATTCACCATCATATTAATGACTGTGCAGCAGCAGGGTTACACGCACCCAGCCTTAAAGTAAGGCAAACAGTAATTCTCTACTCTCTGCTCATGCTTGCCTGCACCGCTGAGTCACACAAATATGGTGTAAAGTTAAACCGTGCCAATCTGCAGTCAATTACTGGATCCTAAATTGTTTCTAGTTTGTTTGTGTGAAAGAGCTTGTCTGATATCAATGACAGAACTGCTCACTCTGCTTTCATATCATAAAGAAGTCCATGAGGGCCGAGGGAGTTGTTAATTGGATAGCTTTGGCTATATGGTGCGAGGAAACAAAAATATTAAAGGGGTATTTTCCTCATCAACCAAACCCTCCTCCACAAACCTCTCCGTCATTTATCTCCCACCTCGCCTCTGTTCCCGCCCAGGCGAGGCAGCCTGGCGTAAAAATGGATCTATAAAAACTTTATTAAGACGGTAAATTTCAACACAATTAATAACAGCATCCTGTGAATTGTTATGGAGCATCTGCTGGTGCAAACTCCATTAGGGGGCATCAATATGCAGTTCGCAATGCGGTGCCACATGGCTCTGATCTTGTTTTTAACATTGGAAAAAAAAAAAAAAAAAGCGATGATTGACAATGCGGTGCGGCATCTATTTTTCATGCTCTGCTGCATCAGGTGGTGATGAAATGAAAGAGAAACAGAGAAAGAGAGAGGCTACGGCTGGAGGGTAAAGGGAAGAGAGCGGAGAGCTGCTGGCTGAAAGGAAGTGGAGGAGGAGAAGAGGCGCGTGTGCCAAAAAGAAGAAAGTTGAAAAGGGAAAGAGAGAGAGAAAAAAAAACACAGTATATGATTAAAAAGAACATGAGTAGCAAAAGAGAAAATAACCGCGAGAGACATCGGTGTGCATAAAGGCCAGGAAAGCAAAAGAACTGAGAGGAGATTAAAAGCGAAAAGATGGAGGTCAAAGGAGTCACTCACACATGGAAGATGGTCTTCTGGTCTCCCACCACCTCGCCGTCTCCCACAGTCAGGGTGTCGTAACCTCGCTCCAGGTCAAAATCCTCAAATGTCAGCTTGATCACCTAGATAAGATCGGGGACATCGCCAAGACAACCGTGAACAACAGATGCTTGAATTCTTGGGACACCAGGTGCAGAGGAGAGACCCCCGTCCATCTGTGACTTTCAGTCCCTCTGTCCATCCATCTCTCATCAATCATCACAAAGATATGTCTGGCACAATTCCCTCCACAGCAGGATCAGTGAAGTTTAAGTTGATATCTTTCTGTTATCATGTATATGGGCTTATATCATATATTGTGGGCCTTCATTTATCATATCACATGAATGTATATGCACAGTTTGCATACATGACTGTGAGTGTACAATTTCTTACATCATTAGCTTTCTCCCACTAGTCAACTATTTCATCTGACCGCCTGCCAGACAACAACATGACAACAAATCAGCAGGTTGCAGAAGCCTTAGTGGCCTACAGGTAGGGAGGTTGTTGAAGGGGCCTTTAGTTGTGCATAAGGTGAATATATGTATCCTAATAATAACACAAAACTTTGAAAACTTTGACTTCTGTTTTTAATTTTAACCAGGAGGGAAACAAAACAGCAATTCATTGTCGTCACATTTCTATCCTGCAGGTAGGAGCATAATGAAAAGGTGGAGACAGGTTAGAAAAACAATGCGTACAACATAGCCGAAAGAAGCGAGAGCCAACTTTAATAATGATCGAAAAACAAATAAACGTGGTTCTTATTAGTGCAAAATGTTGATGAGTAAAGACAAAAAGCAGAGTAATTTGGAAAGCTAAAATATAAATAAATACACGCGCACACGAGGGGACTTGCTTTGTGTCCTTTTTTTAAATTGACTGACAATGATTTCCCCCAAACTCTTAATGTTTTCAAAGGACTGAGAGAGCCAGGCCTAATGAAAAAGCTTATATAAATGCAAATTGCATTCTGTCCTATGTTAAACCCGCTGCTTAATGAAAATTGCCAAGGTGAAGAGAAGAGATGGATGGTGTGTGGGCAATGTAGGTCAGATCACTCGATAAATAGTTTCATAACACAAACTCATCTCCCATCTGCCAGCCAACAGGTGGGGCACTGAGAGGGGGGCAGGGGGGGATAAACAGAAAAAAGAATATCAACAATATATAGATCTTTTAGATTGTTTGCAATCTCAGACACCATGTCTGACATTTTGTTGTTTCAGAACAGAAACCCCTTTGGCCCTGCTGCTGACGGATACAACCTTAAAAGATTGCCATCTAAAAACAGCTGCATCGGTACCATCGGGACATTATGAAGGAGTATCACCTGACGAGAACCCACATTAGTCAAAATGTCAGCAGGTTGCATTTAGGGTCACGTAGAGCTGTGTCACCTCCCTTTCCAGTTCCGCGTCACGCTCCTGTCTGACCTAACGTCTCCTCTGGCTCGGCCTACGCGTACAGGCAGGAATAGAAGCCCATTACATCTTTAAACAGAAAGAACAACCTCACTCCATCTTCATCTGGACCAGACACAGAGCGAGAGACAGCCCAAAGTAGCACTGTCTGTTCCAGCAGGCTGCCCGCTGGCTTTACCCAAGGGTGTCTATGGCTGTGTGTGTGTGTGTGTGTGTGTGTGTGTGTTGGTATGAATGCAAGCAAAGGGTGGGGTTTGGTCGCTTTACATTATGCCTCGGATAGCCTGAGATAGCCTCAGATAGCCTCTTCTTCATTGGGGGCAGGGCAATAGGGGGGCAGATTTGTAAAACGCTTTAGTTTTGAGTTCAGAGAAGGGTATTTGGCAGAAAAGCAGTTGGGTGGCCTTGAACACAACTCCAAAGTCAATGGTCTGAGCAGCTATGACACTTTCATGATATCCTCTGAGCATGCACTCAAAGCCTCTCCATTACTCTTCCTCACTGTTTTTACGCTTCTCTCCTCTTGCTCACCACAGGTGTCTTAACTGCTCTCTTTGTCTTCTGTTGGCTCAGTGCCAGGGTTATTTTCCTCCTGTTTCATCTTCCTTATCGTGCACATTTTTCTATGAGAGAGCTTCTGTCACATGGCGTGTTCAACAGCTCTCCCGAAAAATGTCCAGCAGCAATTATAAAAAGGGGAAAAATGAGACGTGTATCAGAGTGGAACTGGAGTCTCTCTCTCTCTCTCCAACAGGTGCTCAAAGACTTTCCTGCTGGTTTACAGTCTAATGGTGCCTCACCATGTCACATGACACTGGAAAAAGAGGATTAATTTGGTAACGCAAAAACAGCACTGCAGTGTTAATAGATCCTATTCTAAATGTCTTTTACCTTGGAGGTCTCCGTCGATGTGATCAACCATGTGCAGTTTGCATTGTTGTCGTACTGGACCGGGTAGTTGGGAGAAGTGATGACACCACTCGGTCCTCTCAACTGGCCACCGCACATTGGTGCTACAAGGGAAGACACAGAGAGAGAGAAACATTTTTAGTCAATGACAGTTTAAAAAACACATTTTGTCATTTATAAGCCAAAAAAGATTCTACATGTTGCAACCCTCTCTGGGGAATGCTTTTCAAATCCACCGGTCATGATGCTATCGGCAGTGTGGATTCATCCTTCAACCACCTTTTGGCCTCCACCTGTTATGGTTTTGTTTTACTCAGCCTTGCAGTTGTAAACTTTTTCTTTGGGCATTGTGTATGATCAATATTTTAGTTAACCAAGGAGCAGCACTGTCAAATCCAACGGTGGAACTCTCTAAAATCCATCTGTTTGGCTTGAGGTACCTTTAGAGTTCCCAACTGAACTGTAAGCAAACATTTAGTTTGAAAGTTTAAGCTGTTTAGCAAGTAATCGCCAATGATTTTTTTTTTTTTACATTATCAAATTGTTAAGCAAAACGGCCTTTAAAAAACAAGCACCTTCTCTGTTGCCAAATAATTGCAGCACCATGAAACTTGAAGAATGTGTGACATTTTACACATAAATAAAGCAGAAATCAAGTTTATCCTCTGTAAATGTCTCTCTGAGTCATGACTGTCTACAACTAGTGTGAAGCGAGATTTCACCAGCTGTTTTGATGTCAGAGACGTGTTACATCATGTTTACATGGCGGGAACTCCCTGGTGTATAAAACTGTTTCAGTCAAGGACTAGAGAAGAATAACATAACCTAATCACTGCTCATTTTAATGTCATGTAAGTGACTTTAGATCTTTAGATCACGGCCATTCTGTCTCAATTTGTGTGCAATTTTAAGCTATAAGTTAACCAAAGTATGCTAACATTAGCCTGCTAACACAACAATACAGGCCACAGCCAATTCCAGATCGCGTAAAGGAATGAATAACTCTTGTGTGAACGTGAGTGGAGAGGGGTTGGAGGTGAATAGCAGAGGTTTTGACAAAAAGCAGTTTGTTTGTTTTTTTTTTAAGCTGGTGCTCAGGGGCGACATCTACTGGATCAAAAAGTCAAACATTCGTCCTTTAAATTAAACCCATAAGTGACAGTTACTCCACAGGTCTGAAACTGACTGTATTTTTATCAAACTAATCTATCTATATATATACAGATATATATATGTAATCTTTACTTTTATCTGCCATTTTTAAATCTTATGAAATGTATTGAGACAATAATTGACACGTTTGGTTACTTTTCATGTGTAGCTTGTTTTTCAGAAAATGTCATCATGGGAGTAATACTCAAACAAAAGACAAAGCGAGCATTCTGCTTTGGTATTCTGTCTGAAAACAGCAGCTGAGCAAACCAAGCTTTAAAGGACAAAGTGACTTTTCGATTAAGGCCCGAGGGTGTCTGCATGGCAAAACTGTTAAACACCCCTTCAAATTAAATCTGAATTCTTAATGAGTAGTTTAAGGGAGGTGAGTGTATACCTGTCCTAAAACATGGGGTACAACCTGAACATATTTAGAAGGGGCTGAACAAGCTACCCAGATTTTAATGAGTTGTGTCTAAGAGAGGTCCTTCGGGTGTTCAAGCCCCACTACATGCGCCACCCCCTTTCCACAACATGGCCCCTTATTAAACTGTAAAAAGAACTTTGGTAAAGTTAAGGGGAGAGTAAAGAAATTAATTTGAGTTGAGCCGACAGTGAGGGTGACCTTCATGAAAATAATACAGCAGAGAGAAAGTCCAGTAAAGTCGTCATATCCCTCCTATTTTCCTTGTAATCACAGGGATCATCGTCTTCATCGATATGAAAGTGCAGCAGGCCACCGTGCAATAAAAGTCTATGACGAAGAGGAAATGCAGCAAGAAAGACAGTAGAAGGAGAGTGAGCCTTGACTATCACATCAGAGGAAGAAATGTGGAGCCTGAGAGAAGTTTTTAGATTTTTTGTTTTTTTCTGTGCTAATCATAGTGCTGTTTAATGATGACTAATGCTAATTTGGGATACAGATCTACTATTATTCCTGGATGATTTCTTATCTTCATTCAGGCAGATAAAAGCCACAGTACAAAATGTTAAATGAGGATAATACAATGTGACATTCTTAAACTGCGGTTTCATTGACATCTCTGAGGATTTTATCTCAATCTCGAGTGTTTCTGTACATAAAACAGAAAACCAACTGAACGTGGCCTGCAGTCATACGGCTCAATTACTTTGTTCATTTTTTTTTTATACTTTAAAGAACAATAGAAGTCAAATGTGTCAGAACAAGACCTTCATCGCTGCGTTTTGTGACACAGAAAAAAGCAGAATCATTTTCTGAAATGCTGGCAGCTGACAGTAGTTTGGAAGAGACGGAGCACTATCAATCCCTCCACCTCTATAATCCCTCTGAGATCAGGCCTCCCTCTCCTCAGCGCTGTAATTTAATTTAGGTTAAATTGGATCAGTCCAAGACAAAAGAGAGAGTGGGGTGTCTGTAGTAAGCTGAATTTCTTGGAACGCATTAACTCAAGTGGAGGAACGGAGATGGCCTGTAGGTGATCTTAAAAATGGATCAAATGCTGCAGGTGATTACATTTGAAAAATGAAAAAATCCCAGGCTTCATATGACTATGTCTATAACTAACATAGCTCTCATGCAAGCTTTCAGTATACTGTCCTTACTGATGTTTAAATTTATTAAAATCCATGTAGCTGCAGGACATAGGAATGTCATAAAAAGTATGAAGAATTGGGGCATTGTGGCTTTAAAAAAAAAAAACAGTGAAACGTAAATAGTGAAGGCAAGTTAACTATGACCTAAAGATGTTATAAAGCTCTGGAGCAGAGGAATCCCTTTCAGTTTTACATAGTTTTCAAACTTCATTTTAATACACTGTACATTTACGTAAATTTAAACTTTTTGGAGGAATGATTGTGTTTCTGTTGCGCTTTCTTCGATCATCCTGCTAGTGGAAAGAACAGCACAGTTGAAAACACAATGACTCATTATTTGTTTGTGCTAACTTGAGCAATATAAGTCATTACTTACATAAATCCTGGCACTGATCAGAGTCACTTGAATTTGATACAATTATTTTTCTTTGACCGTCTTGAGTTCTTTTAATCGTACCAATAATAAAAACTCATAGATTTAAACCAAACATAATTCCATAGGACTACTTTTTTATGAGTTTGCTACACACTTTGTGGAAGGAGTCTTACACATTACACTTATACAGGGAAATAATAAAGTCAGCTGATAATGACCATGTCTTTCATCCGTCATTTTTTGGTACTTTGTTTATGTTTTTTTAACTTTCAGGGACCAATTCAACCACATTAAAGCAAATCAAAACGCTTCGGATAAGTTGATGTCCATTATGCACATGATAATCAGGAACAGCCTGACCATTTTTCTTGCCTGTCACAAAATGGTCAGAAGTGAAGAAGACATGACTGATGGTTAGCACCACACCAGCATGGCTGAACAGCAGGGAGCAGAGAGTGCTAGCCACAGGTCAAAGTCAGGGCAGTCACACTTTCACGGTAAACATGGCATCAATAAAAATAAGAAAAGGAGAAAAAAAATGACAGGGATGTACAGAACATGGCACATAAGACAAGACATCAACATCAGGGCATCTGGGTACGAAAAATATAAATTGAGGTCACATTGGGACGACTGGCATAACACATGTGCATATTGACAACCCACTTAGGTCCTTACCTCTGCAGATGGGCCGATCATCACTCCAGCCTACATAGCTGTCAGTCACTCTGAGACACGTAATGCTCTTTGAGCCCTGCAGTTCATATCCCTCGTCGCAGGAGAAATGCACTGTGGCTGCTCGCCTGCAGTTGAATTGCATACAGGGAAAACACATTAGCATCAACAGCCCTTTTCTGCAGAAATCACTGTGTGGCAGTAAAGAGTGCACATGAGGTCAACCAGAAAAATGTGGAAAAAAAGTATCTTTTAGACTTTTTCCGGCTTTGATTTCCGAAAGTTCTGCTTTGTGGGTGAAGGATGTTGCCCATTTGTCTGTGTTACAATTAATCAATGGTAGAGACAACAGCTCTGACAGGAATTATAGTCTACAATCCAACCTAACATCAGCTACACACAGAGGCAGACTATTACTGTGCAGTGGCTGAAACTGTAAGATGCACACATTTTTCTATCTAGTTCGGAAGCAGCAGCTTTATAGGGCATGGCATTGGGTAGTATGCACATTTTATAATGCAGTTTGCGACTGTGTTACATTACCGTATATTGTCTTAATAACCCATTTCCTTTCTGAGCTCTTTGTATATTAAAACTCAATTGGAATAAAAGTCAATATGATCAGTGGTTAACAGGGAGGTAATCTTTGGGTAAAATCAAACTTTACATAAGAGATCACATTTCAAATAATGTGGCTTTGGAGACATTTTAACATGCACTTAAAACTGCAAGTAGCCAATCATAACAAAATAAAAATGTACACAATGAAAACTAAATTAAACTTCATATCCCAGAAACCTAATAGAAGAGTAGAACTAATAAAAGGAATTATATGGGATAACTGAACTGAAAATAACAAGTGCTAGGGCAAATTTACCAGTAACCGTTACTACTGCACACATTGTTAACAGCTAGTCAATGTTAATCATCCTTTTCTTGTACAGGAAACCTTCCTCTGTCCATGCACACTTCCTACTTAATAAAATAGTTCAGGAGAAATTATTTGCTTGCTTTCACCTGAAGTCTGAGCCTTTTCTTTTCCCACGATCTGGGATCCCAGGGTCTGGACACATGTTGTGTCCCTGCGCTACACCCATCTGAGACACTGTAAGAAAGACAGACAGAAAGTAAAGTAGAGGTTGTCAACAAAGACGGTCCAAATACAATTCTGAAAATGTTCCATTAGAACTTACATATCTGCAAATGTAAACACTTGGTACAAGTCTATGTTAATGTCTTTGTCATGTTTTCAACAAGAAAATAAAAAGCAAATAAGTGTATTAAGAGTCATTGTTTTGATTTTGCATGATACTTTTAACCACTATTTGTCATCTGACACTAAATCTTGAATTATCATTCTGAAACAATCAATGTACAGAAAAATAAGTTGGTTTGCTGAATATTACAAATGCTTAAAAACTTTTTGTCTCATAAAAAAAACGTGACATGTACAGTTCACTAGCTGCCTCAACCAGTGGTGTGGGCAGAAGTTTAATTTTGGGTGGGGCAATAAACAAATGGGTCAGCCAACTTCCCCATGAGAGAGAGAGAAGCAGTCTAAAAGGATCAGTTTTCAATTTCATGAAAATTATATCAAATCAGCAATTTTGTTGTTATTATTCATCAGAACTGTGCAGGAATATAACCGCATCAAGCTGACCGGTGTCGGATAAGAGAGAGTGGTGTATCCACTGGGAACAAGCGTCCGGGCTAACATTCTTGTGGGCAAATGAAACAGTACAACTGGACTTCTGTCTTCTTCCCCAGCTCGTAATTGTTTTAAATAAAAAAAGAAATGTGTACAATGTTTCATATACAATTTTTATTCATGCCAATCGGTGCAAAATTGTGGAAGATAAAGTGCCAGAAGAGGTCAGAAAAGTTAAGCAGGACAGACTGTTTGACCAAGGGGTAAGGGTTGAAAGTGTGCAGTAGTAAAGCACTGCAACACCTTCTCATTGGCCAGGATCCCAGCATGGACAAAAAATAAAAACAAGGCTGACTGGTTCAGCAGAGGTAAATCAAGGAAGGGCAGAAGATGTGAAGGAACAAGACAATTAAAAAAATAAACTTAATCATTTTCATTCAAAAAGACATATTCTGTTACGTGACTGTCTTTCCATTGGAGATCACAGGTAGTCAAGTTTGGCAAAATGAAGCAAAATACTGTGTATAGAGAAATGTTCATTGGAAAACGGCAAAGCGGAATAATAAGCACAAAAGCAATGCAAAAGACAGAAAAGAAGAGAGATGTAAGGATTGAAAGCACGAGATACAGACGGAGGTAGAAGTGCAATGAATTGTGAATGGCCTTGAGGCAGGATTATCATTAATTCACCCTTTTCTGTTCAACAGGTTGTTCTAAACCCTTCTACATCTGTTTCTTTGTATTAATGAATCCAGCCAGGTGACACGTGGATATTGAGCTTTTAATGTTACAGATGTTCTCATAAAGCTGTAGGAAATAATGAATGGACAATTCAGTCAGTGGGTGAGTAAGAACAAGGCCAAGGAAGATGGCCATGGCGAGACAAGAAGCCAGTGCAATTATTGCCATCCATTTGCAATTGGAATCGTGACTACAGTCCAGACAGTGAGTTAATTTGTGCCTGAGCCTCTAACAACAGCCAGCAATACCCTGCTGTCTGGCCAAGGAATGGAGGAATCAAAAATCCTGAATGACTTTGAAAAGGAGTGGACTAGAGCAGCGGGAGACATCTTCTCCAATAGATAGAAATGTAAGTTATAGAAAAGCAGATGTTCTTTTTTTCCCAAGACAAGTGCAATTCACAGACATTATTACTGTCTCAGGGTTGTTTCTTTGCTGCATTGATCCTTCAGTCACTTTTCAATGTCATTTTCAGCAATGAAACTCAAAGTTCAGTTCATAACTGCAGCTTAACATGCTGCTTGGTTTGGGCAGGATATTTAACAACACCAAGTACTCGTACAGTCAGTCTGCAGCACGGTGACTATAAAGCCTCTGAGAAATTAAACATTTGTGAACATTTCTACATTTTCAGTGACCCAACTTAAAGTACACTTGTATAAACTGACCTACTTTGACTGCTTTATGATGAGGATAAAAACACATATGTAATTTCCCCCTTTGTAGAAAAACAATGTCTTCAATCTCATTAGTTTCTCCCTTGATAAGCAATGGTTTATTAGTTTATTGCACCCGATGAGTAAGAAATCCATTTTCAGTTTGAAGACAGTGTAGACAGCCACAGTTTGTTACTTACACACTGATATCTTGTGGTTGTTGTCCTTGCTGGGCAACATCTTCACACCTCTAGACTTCAGTTCTGTCATCTTCTTAACTGTAGAGGGAACAAGAGCAACAACAACAAAAAACACATTAGATAGCAAAAACTGTGATAATGACACCCACACCCAGTGTCTGCAGCAGATACAGTACACAACATACGTATACTGCACCATGCATCATTACCCACACCCACTCAAGCTATGTTCACAGCAGTTTTGAAACAATAAGACCGAAAGCATTTCTACACTGACAAAAAAGAAAGACCAAACTTTCACTGACAATAAAAGACAACTTTAAAGGCTCTACAACCTTCAAATGCTTTATTTTGGTCCATTAGTGGACTTCATCTAGTTTGTAAAGAAATAAATCATCAATCAAATATATATATATTGTTTTGCAACCCTGTGTGTGGTAGGTGGCAGAAAATAACATTAGTATTAGAAAATTAGGATTTGAAGGCAGGGTATAGAAGATGCTAAATCACTTATTTATATACGAGGAAAATACGAGGATTAAATTGTTAAGTTTTATGATAATTGTGGGGAAAACACAAACAAAGTAATCATAGCAAAGTAAGAGGCTCATCTAAATGCATATTTATTCACCAATTTCAAAAACACCATCAGCATTGTCTGTGCACCCCTTCACACTCATCCTATTTAATTACTTTGGCGCTTCCTGACAATGGAACTTTATTTCTTTTTCACAAATATGTTTAATTCTTTGCTCAGTTTCAGCTGCATTAAAATTCAACCTGAGTCACGTGTAAAAAAAGGCTCTTTTGAATATGTCTGGAAGAAAAGTCACAATAAAGAAGCTCCCTTCAGATAACCTGATCAGAATAAGAGGGTATAATCTTGTTTATAGCATAAAACCTAGCTCTTAGGTTTAGGGTTTTAAGTGAGGGGGCTGCCTGCTGTGCCACAACAAATGAATATAACTATGGAGGAAAATTAAACAAATAGAGCCAAGGAAGATCTCAAATTAATGGACATCTTCTCACTGGAGTCACCATTTTATTGAGTTGAAGTCCCTAGTCTCTCCCTTATAATGTCTCTGAGATATCCAGAGGATATCTGGAGCTGACCCACTTGGAGATCCCCTTTTATTTGTGGTGGAACTTATCATTTTTTCCCTTCACATCCCTTCTCAGAGCTGATTTCTAAAGCTCCAAAAATGGATGGGATGGAAAATGAATGCACAGAGAGAGAGAGAGAGAGAGAGAGAGTGTGTGCCTAAATGTGTGCTTGTGTACAATATTGTGCCTGCAACAATGTTCCCTTTGTTTTCCAAGAGCAATCACAACTTGTCTGCCCAAAATAGTGGGATAGTTTCATATGGTGCCAGTACAGTTGTGATACTGTCTAAATATTGAAGTAAGGCATATCATAATAATTAGTGATATAAACTAATCTGCACTAGAAGAGAAAGGACAATGTTAGACAATGTCGCTTCTCCATCTCATACTGGACTTCAGACCCTACTGATGGTTTCCATGGTTAGTTTAGTCCTAAAAGAAAATATGGGTACCACTAAGGTCATTCCCATGCCATTCACGTAGGTATTAGTAGGCATACCTATTAGTAGGTATTAATGTGCAAACTGCCAAATGCATGACCAGATATGATTTTGGAACCTCCATGAGAGAACTTGTACAGTGTCCAATAGTGACAGTTCATCCTTTGGGGAGTGTAAATGTGTTTCATTTAATGGCTGAAAGATTTGTGATGTTTCTTGTGTACAGGTGGAAACTTAATTCTGATTTTGGCACTAGAGAACAGATCAGTGGGTCAGAACAATGGAGATTCATCCCTGGGGTAACAAGAATATTGAAAAGAAATACCCTTGACAATTGTCAATTATTTGCTTTTCTTTCTGTGCAGGCTAAAATCTGGTACATAATTCCATTTGTTGTGAAATTCCATTCAAAATAGTCGAAAGTCTTTTTGCATTACCTTGATACTGGGCGCTGAAACCTCTCAGCTTGTGGTTCCCATCCGATGTGAAGTGTAGTCGCAGCCAGTTCTTGCTGCTTATGATGGGTGAGGGGAGGTTGGGGCCAGTAAACCTGTGGACACAGAGAGTAAAGTGGTTCCGATTATTAACATCTCAGCACATTAAAGGTAGCAGCAAATAAAGTGAAGCAATGGATACAGTGAGCCAATAGTACAATATGTGCAATACAATATGTGCCTGTGTGGGATGATACCCTATGGTATGAACCAGTAGAATTGATGCACACATCATGTGTACATCAATTATGTTTATCTGATGAAACTATTGGATTTCCCATTCATCTTTTAGTCACCGTTTCAATTTACAGCATTGGAAAGAACTGTGCTTTCCTGTGCTCCAGTTTTGTGCCATAAAGCAATTATGTAATCCATCAGATTTCCAATAAAGTCAAGTCCAACGGCTTACACTATATTATAGAGGCTGACAGAACCTGCCAGTCTTCCCGCTGATTGTCTTGTTTGTTTATGGTAATTGTACTAATGTTTCAAAATTAATGTGGCCATGAGTACAGGATGCTAAAATGACTCCCCTTTGAGATCTATTAAAGGGAGGGTCTGGTACTCAGGGGGAAGTTTAATGTTAACGACTCTTAACCAAACTGTGATCCAATAAAAAATGAGAGCTGGAAAGAGCAGCATTGGCATTTACAGGGGGGAAAAAAGAACAATCCGTTTATTGCTTTGAAAATGCAAAAGTGAATTATACTTTGCAAACACTTATATTGCCTCCTGATCTGTATGCTAATGAGGGCTGTTGCTTACTGGGCACTTCTGCAGTTGTTAAAGCCAAAGTCATTTGGGAATGCATTAAGTTTTATCTTGAGACACACTAAAACAAGTGTACTCCCACAGCCATACACACACACCTTTACACTCAAATGTGCATGAATGTGTGATAACATTTCCTAATCATGTCCACCTCATCTCCCACACCTACATATCTGCTGCACTCTATAAATACAGAGGTACTTCACTTCCAACCTCTCATTGGTACCTTTGCAAAATAGAAATGGCAGAAATGGGAAAGAGTGCAAATTAAATAATTGAATCAATGGAAAGAGATGAAAAGGAGTTAAACATACACTGAACTGCAGGACTTATAAGTCCTTGACAGCAAGAACTTTTTTATTATTATTCTATTGCCATGGGAGAAAAGTTCCAAAAAAAACTAAGCTCCAACTATAGAACACAGCTATGTACTATGAAGTGATATTGAGTCTTGTGGGGGTGTTTGGTGGAAATGACTGACGCACCAGAGAGCTCTCTTAGGATCAATTTTTAAAAAGCGTTGTTTTCGGGATGTATACAGAATAGCTTTACTTCTTATGAAAATGTTCAACTGTTCATTTAGTTCTGGCTGCAGTGGGACAACAGCCTCACGATGCGGCTGCTCACCTTCTGAGTTAGTCAGAACACAATTGACCTTAAGGGTCACATAGAGAGACAGAAAGAGTTTTGGGCAGCGGGCTGGATAAAACCACCAAGGAGAAATGAAACAGTAACAAAGACAGATTGAGTATCACATAGTCAGTGATTTTGCCTATTCAGCCACACTGCAAGCAAAGAGCAGAGGAAATAATATGTAACTGCTGAAATTCTATGTTTCCCCTGCCTATTAAAGCTTATTTTTAGTATTGTGGCTGCCATCCTCCCACTTGTAGGACAACAAAACCTTGACCTCAACCCTTGGTTAAGAGATTTCCACTAAAGGAGGATTCTATAATCAAACCAGATATGTGCAAGTCCAAAAAGGTCAGGGGTTAACCCCGTTTCCATAACCAAGCAAAGGAGCTCCTGTAAGACTGTGTCAGCGGCTTCAGTGAAAAAGGTCAGTGCATCGAGAGTGTGAAGGCGTGTGTCTGTAATGGTCAGTGTTGTGAGAGATTTTCTGCTTCTAATGATTCAAAAACAACTCACTTACCATGCACTATAAATGCACAATGGGCTATAAAGCAGAGAAATTCAGTGACCAGATAGTTTAAAACTACCCTTACCGCAACTGAAAAAAACAACAATACGGTTCTTGAATTCATTTATAATTTACTCTTCTCCTACATCAAACAAATAATGTAATAGCCAGAGATTGGTTGTCACTGTACCAGAATTTAAAAACTAACAATGTAAGTATTGAAAACGAATGCTCTTTCAATAGGAAAGTAAAAAATACCAAGGACACAAAATGTATGTTTTTCAAAAAGACGTGCACATGGTGCAACGGAAAAAGGAACTGAACACATACCATCACTTTTGTAATAATACTAGAAGTATTGTAAAGTTTCCTGGAAAACAATGTATATGTCATTCAAATTAATTCAACAAAATCAGGCTCCTTAGCCCTTTGTTGAAAATGTGATTGTTGATAAGTGTTTTTGTTTCTTCGGAAACAGTTCTACATTGTATTATTTTAAACTTGTGGTGTCAAAGAAGGAACCCAAGTGCCCTATGGCCCAATACAATTTTATAAGAAACACTTTTTTTTTTGTCTTTTAATGAGTATTCCCATTTCTCTTCTGAATATATTAGTTATGTCACTGATCAACTGTGTTGCCTAGAAGCTGCATTGGAGTATTAAAAGTAAGGCAGAAATGTGAAGCCTCGTGGTGCGACACTGGCCTTCATTTCCAAGTGCAGGACTGATAAAGTGAGTTGGCATGCCTCGGGAGATTTTTTTTTTATCACTTAAGAGAAAGGGAAAGATGAAGCATTAGAGAGCCTTTGTATTGTCTGGCACATGTGCGTTTGGAGCTGTACGATAGGACGAGTGAGGACTAGGACGAGTGCCAGAATCACCTTTGGCTCTAAGTACATAACAAGAAGACAGCTTAAATCCTTGGTAGTAAATCTTGCTCTGACAAATTACAGAATAAGATCCGCTGTAGCAGTACCTTTGTGCACACGCAAGAGCCACAAAACACCAGTGCCAATATGTAAATGCAAACTGCTCAGTTCAGTTGTGTTGACTTACTCCTCTTTCACCACAGGGACAAATTAAAGCTTCCCTTCGGATTAAAGGGAAATTTGAGCTGAAATCAACATACTTTAACACACTATAAACACACTATGCACTGACTTAACTGCAGCAGTAGCAGAGGATAAGGGACTGATGGATATTTGCACTAAGAATTAGGCGTTGTACAGTGAATTTACACAACACGGGATGAGGGATGAACAGATCAGCTGAAATACCATATTGACCCAAAGTCACCTCTCCCTTTCCACAATCCTGTGTACACCTCTTTTTTTGCTGAGAAACATTAAAGTTTAAGGATGAAAGTGACCGTGGGGAGCAACAGAAAAAGTCCTGAGCTGGCTGATGGAGGTCTCCTGAAGGGTGTTGAGGCAACTTCTACGGTTCCTTTTTTCACCTCAGCCCTTCTTGCTGTATACCTCTCTCTTTCTCCCTCCGTCTGGCTGACCGTATTACATTTTATGCGGAATTGTCTTGAGAGTGCAGTGTTAAATCAGTTTCCATTTCCAGGCCCCAAAGCTCCCCTCAGTCTGAGTCAGACTTTTGATGATTGTCCAAGAAATGTGTTTTGGCCGAGCCAAGGTGATGGAGGCAGCCAGTTGTGATCTTGACACGGGGGACTGAGCTATAAAGCACACACTGACACGCAGACATATTTTGCACTGCTGCGGATCCTTTCTTTCCATTTACATTGAATATTATCAACTTTAAGAAAAGTTTAGGAATAGTTAATGGTGGCACAACAGCATTGCAGGCATCTATAGTCCAACATGTAAATCCCTATTGCTTATACCGGTCCTTTCACTAACAAATTATGATTGAGGGTCTTAGGAATACACAAAACCAGTCAAAAGTTAAGTTACATAACACCAGCACTGAGATACTTTCCATAATGATGTGTTATGACTCATTAAATTGTGAATGCCCTTCATGATTTTGCACAAAGGTTGTCATCATCAAGTAATTCAGCAACCCTTCCTCAGCAAAACTGATCTTTATCTCCTTTATAGTCATCATTTCATGTCATCTGGTTTTTGTTCAAGGGGCAGGGTTTCAAATTACTTGGTGCATAATCAGTAATGGGCGGGGTTTAGGTGTCAGAGGTGACTGACTCCACATTAGGATCAAACGCTTTAAATTACTGCTCAGCACATGAATTCATTGAGATCCGACATCTGTGTCCACGTGTGGGTGTCTGGGTGCTTGCGGTGGAGAGAGGGCCGATTCTGGACGGAGAATGTTCCGAGTTAATTGCAGCCACTCCGTCGGATCAATCAGAGCACTGCTCTGTATGCAGGTCCATGGTCGGTACAGCAGACCAGAGGTCACAGTGACTTTGCGAAGCCAAACTTTCAGCATGTTAATGAGGATATGTGAATTATAGCAAATGCTTCACCATCCAGATGTACATCCAGACACCCACACATCATCAGCAAACAGTAACAATTACAAACATGCATGCACATATCAGTTACGTCTCTCTTTCTCTCTCTTTCACACACACGCCACATCCTTTTAAGTTTAAACCAATCAGTGTAGAAGACCCTTAAGCCCAGAAAGGGAGTATTAGAGTGCTGGCTGAGCTGTAGCTGTGACCTTCAGATGTAGTTGAGCCCAGACGTACACTGGGGGTTTAAATAAACCACTAAAACACCCCAGCTCCAAACAACATAGAAACCACAACACTTTTCATTAATTTCTTCAAACAACCACCACCTTCGCACTAAAAACCATCAACCTGGCGCTATAAGTTAAGGCCAAAGTAGTAGGGGGGGCCTCAGGGCAGTTATGTCTCCTGGGTCTGTGCTGTACTAGACTGAAGCCCTGAGAACAAAAATGAGGAGTTGCAGAGGAGGTTAAAACCTGCAGACCCATCAGAACCAACATGTCTATTTTTCCCCTTAGACTCCCATGTCCGACAGAGCCAAAATGTCTGTTCTTCCCTCTCTTCCGCCACCATGTATTATTCATGGACAGACCTCTGGCCCCATCAGAAAGCCTTGTTAAATCTTCAGAGAGATTCCTTTCTTCCTCCAACTACAACTTATCTTATGCCCTCACAGAACGTATAATACAGGCACTTAT